GTGAGCATGAGGGAGGGAGTGTGTGACTGTGTTTGTGTATGACTGTATATGTCAGGTGGGACCTTTGACTCCTCCCATCTCCTGGGACTTCTTGTGATGATATAGATCTTCGTCTCCCCTCCCCCTGCCACACCTGGTGTGGAGTGCGGTGCCTTGGTCTGCCTGGGTCGTGGCTCCCGGGTCAGGGAGTTTAAGATTTTGGCATCTGCCTGACCAATCCTGGTGGCTGCCTGGTGGGGTCTGGGTCACTGGGCTCTGCTGGGTCCCCAGCGGGGGTGGTCGCCCCTGGGTCCCGGGTCATTGGGTCCCGGGCTCGGCCGGCTAGGGGGTGGGAGGCTGCGGGCGGGCCTGTGGGCTTGCCGCCGATATCTCCCTGGACTCTGCCGGCCGCTAGTTGTGGCCCCCCGGGGCGATCCCCTGCGCCTCTCAAGGGGATTGGGGGCTTTTCTGGTCGCAGTCTCCCTGGAGTTCCTGTGCTCTGGGGCAGCTCCTGGATCTCTGGGACTTGGAGCTCCCTCCATCTCCTGCACATCTTTAGGGGGCAGATATGTGGCCCCTCACACCCTCTATTGGCCGCTCCTATAGAGAAACCTTACATATACAAGCACGTGTACACACACAGGTGCTCACATGGTGCTCTCATAAGTATGGACTTGGGCATTTTCAACACAGGTCTTAAGGCTATGGTGGGCACTTAATGCACTGTGATTTATTATCGTGTGATTGTTCAGTTAAACAATGTTGATTATATATTTCTTCATCAAGTTGATACAGTGATAACTTGCTCCTGTTGTATTGTTGTTGTGTCCCATTTTTTTGTTTTTTTTTCTTCTGTCTTTCTGCAGATCTAGAAGCAGATTCTTGTTCATTATTGTTTATTTTTGTGGAAGCCCCATCTTTTGTCTTTTCCTTTCTCTTTCACCTCTGTCTCCGTGTCTGGTCGGAATTAAAAAGCATTCAACAACAATAACAATAAAGTTTTAAGTATCAGGCGTGACATTAAAAGCAGACGCTTTGATGCTCCACCTGAGAGTAAATCTGTAAGGCTTGTCACCAGCATTCAGACATTAATTCTGTTTGCTTCACAGCCAGACAGGACACACACACACAAAAAAATAAAAATAAAAAAGATGTTTGAGAAGCATTGTCCAAATAAAAACTGGGAAACAAAATCAGAGGGAAAAACCATGGGTAACAAAAGGAATACTCCAAGCATGTAAGAAGAAAAATACGCTATATAGAAAAATGTTTAAGGAAAAAACTCTAGAGTGAGTTAAACTATAAAAATAAATAAATAAATTAATTAATTACAATATTGAGAAACAGTAAAAAAGCTCTTTACAGTAAGATTTTGGAGGAAAATAAAAGTAATGTAAAGGAAATTTGGAAAATACTGAACACTATTATTAAACATAGCTGCAGTGACAAAAATTACCCAACAGAACTTTTGGACAACAACAACACAGTGACCGGTGATGCAAATATAATAGCAAATGAATTTAATTCATTTTTTGTGAATGTGGGTCCTGAATTATCAAGGGATATTGTTGACTCCCAGCAAAATGGGAACATAGAGGGTAAGACCATAAATATTGAGGAGACCATATTTATAAGAGAAACAGATGAAAAATAAATTATTGATATTAACTAATTTAAAAATAAGAAATCCACTGATTGTGATGGACTCCAAATGTTTCTAATTAAAGACATAATAGATTGTACATCAAAACCTATTGCTCACATTTGTAATCTATCACTGCAAACAGGTGTATTTCCCCACAAGATGGAAATAGCTAAAGTCATACCTATATTTAAATCTGGCAATAAACAGCTACTTTCAAATTATAGGCCGGTCTCATTACTACCACAATTTTCCAAAATATCAGAAAAATTATTCCTTATAAGGCTGGCAAACTTTATTACAACACACAACATATTGTGTGAACAACAATATGGATATAAGAGAAAAAGGACAGCAACACATTCACTCATCGACTTTACAGAGAATATAGTAACAGCAATAGAAAAAAAAAAAAGAATATTCGATAAGAGTTTTTCTTGACTTAAAAAAAGCGTTTGATACCGTGGATCATAACTTGTTACTGAAGAAACTGAATAGTTGTGGAATTAGAGGTGTTGCAAAGAGTTCTGTGGAAAATAGGGGACAGTATGTGCAAACGCAGGAAATTAAATCCCACACACAGAGAATCAAGAATGGAGTTCCCCAGGGGTCAGTGTTGGGGCCCTTTTTGTTTATCTTGTATATAAATAATTTAAGGGAGGCATGCATTGAGCTTTTACCCATTTTGTTTGCAGACGATGCTACCTTAGTTTGTTGTGGGGAGAATTTGAATACGAATAGTGGCTAATGCAGAATATATGGTCAACATACTCATTCACTATTTGTTAAATTAAAAATTCTCAAGTTTAAAGATCTTATAGAATAGCACAACTTATGTTTAAAATACTTAACCAAGAAGACTCTTACAGTGTCCAGAAGTGGTTTCAACTAAGGGATGGAAATTATACTTTACGTGGAACATTTATTTATAAGACACCTTTGATTAGAACCAACAGGAAATATCATTGTATTACATCCAGAGGAGTATAAACATGGAATAACTTGAGTGAAGAAATGTAAAACAATTAGTAAATTTAAAACTCTCTTGAAGATGGAAATGTTAAATACATATGGTATGAACACATAGTGGCAATATCTTGCTGACATCACCTGAGTGCTAGAATTGTAATTGATTAATGGACTCAAAACTTTTTTCTGTGGCATGTATGGTTTGATTTGACTAATTGTTTTTTTCTGATGATTTTCTGATAAAAGTCAGGTTTATGAGAATGCATTTTTGTAATCTAATCATCATGGGAAACTTAAATAAGCTGTTTCAGCTTCTTGGAGTCCCTTTCACAGATCTAATTTATGCAGTAGTGATACTGTGTATATTGTGTACAGGAATGTTATGAAAATGGTCTGTAAAGAAAGAAAGAAAGAAAGAAAGAAAGAAAGAAAGAAAGAAAGAAAGAAAGAAAAATGACCCTTGGGTCAGACCTTTTGCTGCTACTTGTTTGCCCCCAAATTGGGGGGCATTGGGGCTCAAAGGATAGGTCGGTAACTATAGCTTTCTTTCCTTTTGTGTGTCACCAAGTGTATAAAATATGTGGTATTTATATTTAATAGTCTCATACAGAGATTTAGTCATAATACAGGATGAGTTTTGGGAATTTTATAAATGTAATGTTTACTAAATTTAAATTTGTGAACCTCAGCACAGACTAGACCTCCTGCAATCCGAGATCCACTCGGGGGGTCGTGAACCCCAGGTTGAGAATCACTGGACTAGAAAATCTTTTCAAAAGCGCTTTGTCGACTTTTGAAAATGTGCCAGTATAGTCTGTTATTTATGACTACAGAATCCCCTTATTGGCACAGGTTCCCATGTACAGTCAACAACAGTAAAATGAAACCTGGATTTAACACAAATCAGTTTTCATCATCTCTCCTTTACAAAAATAAAAATATTGCAAGAACAAGTAAAATTTAGAAATCTGCTCCTCATCTAAAAACTCATTTGTCCATTTCTTTTTTGGAAATGATGGTAAATTAAAGAACACTTTAGCTGTGAATTTTTGATGTAAGCTTCAGTGGCTCACATAAGGAGTTGATCTAAAAACACAGAACCAGTGTTAATCGTTATCTGAATAAAACAACTGCTTTATAAAACAAGCAGAAATTATCCTTCTCAAAAGAGTGGGTTAAAGTGTGCGGATGTCCCAGAACAATTGGCTGTCTCTGTCCTACAAATCAAAGGTTTAATGTTTACTTTAAAACAATATAAGATCCAGTGCAGTAGTTATAATCTTACCACCTGGTGTCATTAGAAACTCTATAAAAAAGTCCAGGAAAAAGTTCCATCCCACAAAGTTGATTCTTCAGAGAAAAATGAAGCATAAATGATTATCATTTATTATTATTATTAGGGTAATGGTTGTATTTTTAAAGGCCGACCGATATATCATTTCATTTCATTTATTTATTTAAGGTCAGTGCCCATCAATCAACATTTCTGTAAATGTGCCAGTGTTAGCCAGCAGGCAACTTTTCAACTGTAGTCCATTGGCAAGATGTTATACTAAGCACATGAAAGCTAAAAAGAAAGAACATTTTATGGAGCCGATATATTAAACTTTTTCTGTATCAGCCATCAGCCAAAAATAGTTTTTAAAGCAAATACATTTTTTTTAAACAGGCACCTGTGTAGCCAGCTGCCTCCACAGTTCTAGCATAGAACCTTCCTTTAACTTACATTGCTTTATGCTAAGCTACAGCAAAATGTACTGCTTCAGATCAGGAGAACTGAGCTTGTTAGCTACAAAATCCTTTTTCTCTCTTTAACTCTGGGAAATCAAACAGACCACATTTTACTTCTGAGTGGAATTTCCCTTAAAGTTTGGTGTTTAATGTTTGCACTAGTTTTTATCTATAGTTTAGATTTAATCTTTTACTACAATGTGGTAGTGTGCTTTACTTTGTGATTTTTATTTACTTGAAGATTCTACCTCGACCAGCCACTATTGTGCACCATTATTCTGGGTACTGTTTGATTTTCTTTATTTTAAACACTTAAAAAAAACTTGAATCGATTTGACTTTCTATTGTTCTGAAACAGTTTGCACATTGTTAATGTTTTGAGTTTGTTTTATATTTGAAGTTCAATAAATATTTAAAAAAATTGATTTATTTAATTTATATTGCACGACAACAAAAATCTTTAAAAATCGGTATCGGCCTTAAAAAAACATATCGGTCAGTCTCTATTACTGAAATCCACACATGAAAAATGGCTTAAAGTCCAACTCAGGTGCAATAATACTAAATCTGTTTTTATAGAGCCAATTAATTTATTAATTATAACATCTTTTTTAATACATCTAGCAGGATTTTGACTTAAGCCCCACTTATGAAAATCAGCACAAAGACACCACAGAACTACAAGTTGTGACTTTATTCAGATAAAATAATGAAGTCAGCAGGGAAGCATCAGTATTAGATAGTTTTAAAGTTTCATAAAAGCTTAGAGGTTTGATTCTGGTTTATAGAAGAATCAAATATGAAAATATTAGACAGAAACACTTTTTAAATGAGCTGGAGTGTTTTCTGACTTGTATATTCAGAGTGGAGAGGCCATAATACACCTCAGAGCAGATCCGAGGGTGGCCGACCCTTTACTACCATTACATGATCATGCATTGATCGAATAAAGCATCAGATACAAGATGATCGGACAGTGTGAGCTTTGATGTGTTTTATTAGTGTGTAATGGTGCTGGTTTTTTACTTGGAGAATGTGTGTCATGAAGCACTTAGTTAGGTTAGAAAAAAATAATCTAAATCAAATCTCCATTTCCATTTTTTAGTAAAATGAAAAAAAAAAAAACTATTTGCCTGCAGCATTCAAATAAATGAACATTCTACTAATTTCTACATCAGTTTCGTTTGGTTAATAACTACTTTGTGTTAATATTTCCCCAGCAAAATATTCCAGTGGAAGAAATTCATGATTTACACATCAATAAGTTAAAACAGGACATGTGGGTTCTGTACAGGTTGTTGTGTTGATGAGAGATCTTTTCTGGATCTCATCAGGATAGCTCTGCTCTCACTCCCCCTTGTAAAATGGAGGCCTCTTCTCCTTGAATGCAGCAAGCCCTTCCAATCGGTCTTTAGTTGGTATCACCTTTAAAACAATATGCAGGTGTGCGTTTGTGACAGTTCAAAACCACAAAAATCTTTACCTGAAAATTACCTAAAGTTTCTACACCCTCACTTTCCTGAGGCCCACTGTTCTCTGCTGAAATCACAACAAACCTAAAGGGTTGCAGGTTTGCATCACAAGTACAAAATGAGGTCAAATTACAAAACCTGTATCCATTCTTTTTAAACAGGAAATGGAAAAACTTTGCAAGCCACAGATTTTAGCTTACAGGCCAAATGGAACAGCCAATGAATCTCCTAGTGAAGTAGACCAAACTCATGCTTTGCAAAGTTTGGTCTGGGAATGATCCACTGGAACCTCCACGGCTACCTAGCAGCATTCTGGTGGGCCATTCAAGGCACTCTATTGGTTTGATGGGCGGGATGATGCAACAGAGTGGAACAAGATGGCAACAGCTTGTTTGAAATGGCTTTTACATCAATTTTGGACTATTTGGACTTGGACTTAATTAGAATCAGGAGCAGATAGATGTATTTAAGTCGTTTATTTAGAAATGGGATGTATTTTCACCTTCTTCAACAGCGGACTGCCTCGTTGACTGACATCCATTGCGGTGAGTATGTCACGTTGTTCCTTGTCCAGTAGCATGCGAAGATCATTTGAAAGACAATGGTAGAACCTGCCCCAACACTGAGAGGCATCCATGGAGCGTTGCAAAACTAAATAATATTTTAATTTAGTCTGGCTTGCCAAACTACCAATGAACAGTATTCTCCAGGTCATGGTGGAAGGTGATTCTCAACACAAGACAAATTATCCATCCACCCATCCATTCCCTCTGCTTATCCAGGGTAGGGTCACTGGGGCAGCAGCCTAAGCAGAGGCCCACACTTCCCTCTCCCTGGCCACTCCAGAGGAGTTCAAATCCCGGCTTTCCACAGGAGCCGTCAGCAGCACGTTACTGCAGCAGCACGTCATAGCTGCTGATAGGAACCGCTGTGGTCAACAGAACCTTTTCCACTGGAGCCGTCAGCAGCGCAAGTCGGCCGCGTCTCAGGAGCAGCATGTCTTTACGCGCCGGTTCTATTTTCTACGCGCGACGCCTCTGAAACGGGTCAAGTTCGACATTTTTGGGGAAGGAAAGACAGGAAATCGGACGCGGAAATGGAGAGAAGCTCCCGAGATTTTCAGAATAAAGAACGTACTGCCTTCCGGTTGCTTTACTTTTAAAAAAGGTTACTAATTGTGCGTCCCCGTGAGAAGTTATCACCTAGCTAGCGGTCTCCTTTGTTTTTCAGGTCTGTAATGGCGATTATAAAACGGACAGAACATAAAACACAAACCATGTTGTAATTTTCTCCTGCTTGTTGTTGTGTTTACTGACGAAGTCACTCGTGTGACTTCGTGCTCGGTCGGTGACAGCTGCTCCCCTGCTGCTTCGCGTCTCGTGGGAAGGGCCAAGCAGCAGCTTACGCGAGCAAGACGTGCTGCTGCAGTAACGTGCTGCTGACGGCTCCCGTGGAAACCCGGGGTCAGATGTTCCCAAGCCAGCCAAGAAAAACAGTTCCACCATTGTGTCATGTGTCTTCCCTTGGGTCTCCTCCCAATTGGATGTACCTGGAACACCTCACCAAGGAGGCATCCAGGAGGTAGGGCTGGGCGATATGGCAAAAATAGAATATCACGATTTTTCCAATATTTTATCACGATTTCGATTTTATCATGATTTTTTATCCATGAATAGCATAACTTCAATTGTGTATTAAAGAAGAGAAACATTGAATAAATAAACATTTATTCATATTAGGGATAATCAGCACAGTGCTAACACGCTTATATTTTAAACTCACACCAGAGATGATAAAAGCTCTGAGAGAAACAATTACAAAAATCAGTTTTTCTTGTTTTTCAAGTAACTTAACATAAATTAAAATCGTAAACATATTTAAAGTGCAAACATGTCAATTGCAAACGTATTGTGCAAACATTAACTTGTTCAAAATACTATGTAGCTCCCAGTTGCTCATGTAGTGGATAGTTAAGCTCAAATACGGCTCTGATGTGCGGCTGGACCAGAGATCGCTTGTGGTAGCAAAAAACTGCGCATTCTGAATATTTTCTGCAACAAGTCTCTAAATAAAGTAAAATTTTCCAGTGCAGATTGGAGACAACCCATAGAAGCACTGATTTGATCTCATTTCAGAGAAAAATAGAACAGGTTAGAAGCACCTAATAAATAAAATTACTAACAAACTCAGGAATCTTTCTTTGCTTCATTGTTCTGGTGCTGAAAATATCACTAATGTGGATCAAAGGAGATACACAGATGAATGCACCTCTTATTATTTGGAAACTACATTTACTGCAGCTGGCAGAGGCAGAGATTGTTTCTATTGATACACGGAGTTTACAGAATCATTTTAAATTGTAATAGGGGAAGACTGCAGGAGGGAGCGGTAAAATACAGCAAAAACAAAAAAAACTTTACGAGTCTGATGAAACCTGCTGGTTTTCCATCAGGCAGTCACGGGGCAGCTCCAGCGACCCAGTGACTGAGCTCAGTCCGGCTCGGCAGAGGGTGAACGAGCCGAGGTGACGTCGTGCTCTGCTTAAGAAGCGGTGTTATTTTCCTGCTTCAGAAGAAGCATCCAACGTGTTTTTACGCTTTCTCCGAGACATGTAACGTCGCTAAGTTGTTAGCGCCGCGCGCTAAGGAAACCCTGCGTTCCTCTTCGGAACGAAAACCTCGTTGTCGCTCAGCCGCGGCGAAGCCATGTTTGTTCACACACAGGTGAAAACAAGCGGGGCACTAATATATTACTATGACTCACTCTGATTGGTTAAGGGTCAAACAAAGGCGTGTCATTCGCCTGAGGTAAGTTCCCTTTTCATTCAGAGGCAGAAATTCAACAGCAGAGCTGTGAATCATGATAAAACGGTCTCTCAAAAATGACAGACCGTCAGATGTGTAGATCGTAAAACGGTCTAAAATCATCATATCGCCCAGCCCTACCAGGAGGCAACCTAAATCAGATGCCTAAGTCACTTCAAATGGCTCCTCTTGATGTGGAGAAGGAGCGGGTCTACTATGAACCCCTTCTGGATGGTCAAGCTTTACAATCTCTCTCTCAGGGAGAGCCCAGACACCCTGTAGAGAAAACTAATTTCAGCCGGTTGTAACTGCAATCTCGATCTTTCGGTCACTACCCAAAGCTTGTAACCATACAGGTGCTGGCCAGTAAATTAGAATATCATCAAAAGGTTGAAAATATTTCAGTAATTCCATTCAAAACGTGAAACTTGTACATTATATTCATGCAATGCACACAGACCAATGTATTTCCAATGTTCATTACATTTAAATTTGATATTCATAAGTGACAACTAATGAAAACTCCAAATTTGGTATCTCAAAAAATTAGAATATTCTGAAAAGGCTGAATATAGAAGACACCTGCTGCCACTCTAATCAGCTGATTTACTCAAAACACCTGCAAAGGCCTTTAAAAGGTCCCTCAGTCTTGTTTTGAAGGCACCACAATCATGGGGAAGACTTCTGACTTAACAGCTGTCCAAAAGACAATCATTGACACCTTGCACAAGGAGGGCAAGACACAAAAGGTGATTGCTAAAGAAGCTGGCTGTTCGCAGAGCTCTGTGTCCAAGCACATTAACAGACAGGCGAAGGGACGGAAAAAATGTGGTAGAAAAAAGTGTACAAGCTCTAGGGATAACCGCACCCTGCAGAGAATTGTGACGACAAACCCATTCAAAAATGTGGGGGAGATCCACAAAGAGTGGACTGCAGCTGGAGTCAGCGCTTCAAGAACCACCACGAGGAGACTCATGAAAGACATGGGATTCAGGTGTCGCATTCCGTGTGTCAAGCCACTCTTGAACAAGAAACAGCGCAAGAAGCGTCTCGCCTGGGCCAAGGACAAAAAGGACTGGACTGATGCTGAGTGGTCCAAAGTTATGTTTTCTGATGAAAGCAAGTTCTGCATTTCCTTTGGAAATCAAGGACCCAGAATCTGGAGGAAGAGCGGAGAAGCACAGAATCCACGTTGCATGAGGTCCAGTGTAAAGTTTCCACCGTCAGTGATGGTGTGGGGTGCCATGTCATCTGCCGGTGTTGGCCCACTCTGTTTCCTGAGGTCCAGGGTCAATGCAGCCGTCTACCAGGAAGTTTTAGAGCACTTCATGCTTCCTGCTGCTGACCAACTTTATGGGGATGCAGACTTCACCTTTCAACAGGACTTGGCACCTGCACACAGTGCCAAAACCACCAGCACCTGGTTCAAGGACCATGGTATCCCTGTCCTTGATTGGCCAGCAAACTCGCCTGACCTTAACCCCATAGAAAATCTATGGGGTATTGTGAAGCGGAGGATGCAATACGCTAGACCCAACAATGCAGAGGAGCTGAAGACGACTATCAGAGCAACCTGGGCTCTCATAACACCTGAGCAGTGCCACAGACTGATCGAGTCCATGCCACGCCGCATTACTGCAGTTATTGAGGCAAAAGGAGCCCTGACTAAGTATTGAGTGCTATACATGCACATTCTTTTCATGTTCATTCTTTTCAGTTGGCCAACATTAGAGAAACAAACATTTTTTCATTGGCCTTTAGAATATTCTAATTTTCTGAGATACCAGATTTGATGTTTTCATTGGTTGTCACCTATAAATATCAAAATTAAACGTAATAAACATCGGAAATACATTGGTCTGTGTGCATTGCATGAATATAATGTACAAGTTTCACGTTTTGAATGGAATTACTGAAATATTTTCAACCTTTTGATGATATTCTAATTTACTGGCCAGCACCTGTAGGTGAGGGCAGGAACGTAGATCGACCGGTTAATTGAGAGCTTTGCCTTCCAGCTCAGCTCTCTCTTCACTACAGCAGATTGGTATAACACTCACATCACTGCAGACACAAAACCAATCCACCTATCGATCTCACTCTCCATCTTTCCCTCATTCAAGATACCAAAACTCCTCCACTTTGGGCAGGACGTCGTCCATTACCTGGAGAAGGTATTCTACTCTTTTCCAACCCATGATCATGGTCTCGGACTTGGAGGTGCAGATTCTCTTCTAGGTCGTACCACACTTGGCTGTGAACTGCTCCAGCGAAAGTAAGAGATCACAGTCTGATGAGGCCAACAGGACCATATTGTCTGCAAAAGCAGAGACCTGACCTTCAGGCCATCAATTGGGTCCCATCAACTTGCTGAAATTCTGTCCATAAAAATTATGCACAGAATCTGTGGCAAAGGAAAGCCTGGGCAAAGTCCAACTCTCACCAGGAATGAGCCCGGCTTACTGCCAGTTATGCAGACCAAGTTCTGACACGGATCTACAGGGACCGAACAGCCTATCATGGGGCCTGGTACCCCATACTCCAGCACTATGGGACACTGTCAAATGCCTTTTCCAAGTCCACAAACACTATACTCACACCTGCAAACTACGATCATGTTTAGAAAGAGCTACAGCTCCACGTAAATGCAACTTCATCTCAGCTGTTTGCTTGAAAACTTTAATAAACCACTGCTAAGAGGCAAACTGCTGTTCTGACTCTTTAATGCAGCAGAAATGTTACAATATTATGAAATTATCTCATCATGCCTTTCTCCTCAAGCGTCCTCAAATCTTCCAGTGCCCAGATCAATATACTGGGATTTATTTTAAAAGAGTTAGGTTGTAGCACACTGGTGGCCATTTCTGTGACTGGTCAAGCACGTGACTAAAACACTACAACAGTGATCATTTGTGAACAAGAGGAGTTTGGGCCTGCCACCAAGCAGTGGTCACTCTGCCCCACTCTTTACCCGAGTGTCCAAGACATGTGACCATAACTCAGATGAGACAACAGAGTTGATCATCGAGCAGCAGCCTAAAGTATCCCGGTGCCAAGAGCACATATGGGCACGGTTATTAAACACGGTGTTTAGCATGGACAATCCGTGACTGGCATGGATGTCTAATAACAGGGCACCACTTGGGTTCAGATCGAGGAAACAAAGGAGTCACTCAAAGGAGAGCTCTCCAGTGCCTCGTCCAAGGTTTCCAACTATGGTGGGTAATCTGACCTGCTGTTTGGTCTATAAGCACAAACAGCAGTCACGACTCTCCACCCACGTAAAGGCAGAGTGTGTTTGTGAAATCTTCCAGATTCCTTCAAAGTACTTCACTAGTTTTCTCCTTTCCTGTGGGCAGCAGCCCCTTTCTGTCGTGGTGCAAGGTTTTCCTCCATTTTTTATTTTGTGGAGATATTTAAAACTTTCTGTGCTTTTAACAATCCTACAACGTCTTGATACTTCAGCTTGTTGAATTTTAAACCAAAACTTAATTTACAGAGCATATTAAATCCTCACCTGAGCATAGCATGCCTCTTCAATAGCCAGACCTGTAGATAAATCCACCTGAAAGGGAACAAGGCATCCCTCAATGAAGATTAATGATGAAGCAGGAAAGACTGAGTAACTTTCTCTGGAGCCACCGACTATAACTCTTTTAACACTTTATAGTTAATGCCCGAAATGCTGGTTACTTTTGGACTGGTGATGCTTCATCCTTAAATTATTGAATAAAACGCCTCTCCCATCAAGAAAATATCAAAACAAATATTTTACTGGATGTCAGGCGTGGGTGATATGGTCCCAGAAAATTATGAGTACTAAGGCACTACCTGCTGGTGATGGTTGGAGGGATCGGTGGCTCCAGTGCCTCGCCTCTGTCAGTGCATCCCAGGGCAGCTGTGGCTACATTGTAGCTCATCAGCAGCAGGGTGTGAATGTGTGTGCGCATGGGTGAATGACGGTAGAAAAGTGCCTCGGGGGGTTCTAGGACTCTAGAAGGCACTATATCAAATAAAGGCCATTTAATGAACATTAAAAGAGCCACACGAGGGAATGCCAGACTTCCTTCCTTTCATGTGCCTATATTTAAATATGCCAACGGTTAAAAACAACAACAAAGCAGCACTGGTGTAAAAGTGGTCTTCACTGGCTGACAACTCACCTCTATTCCCTGGTTTATTGCTAGTTTTGCCATCCTTACTGCAATCGGGCCCTGTAAGAGCAGAAATCAGAGACTCAAATCATAGCAGGTTACAAGGTTAGATGATATAAATCTGTCTGTCCAGTCCCATATTTCACTGCCTTTTAACTCACGTGCATATTAAAAAAAACAAAACACCAGTACATTTATATTACCTGAGGGTTAATCTCACGAGCGAGCTCTAGAGCCCGCAAATACGCAGCATCTCCACTGTCGTTCTGCTCCACAGAATGATTGACCAGCCCCAGGCGACATGCCTCGTCTCCATCCACCACCCTGGCAGCAAAAATGAGCTCCTTGGCCAGAGAGACACCTATGACCCTGGGGAGGCGCTGTGTTCCACCTACAAACAGAAGATCTACCTCATGGAACAATTCAATTCAATTCAAGTTTATTTATATAGCGCCAAATCACGGCAAGAGTCGTCTCAAGGCACTTCACATGATAAACATTCCAATGCAGGTCAGTTCATTAAGCCAATCAGAAAAAAGTTTCCTATATAAGGAACCCAGAAGATTGCACCAAGTCACTGGCTGGTGTCAGCAATCCTCATACTAAGCAAGCATAAAGCGACAGTGGAGAGGAAAACTTCCTTGTAACAGGAAGAAACCTCCAGAGGATCCTGGCTCAGCATAAGCAGCCATCCTCCACGACTCACTGGGGATCAAGGCCATCTCTACACGTTCTTTTCTCTAGAAGCAAAAACCCTGGAAATAGCGTCTCTTTAAAAAAAAAGATCTAATCTTTAATTTTTTTCTCATTTACATTTTTTTTATTAATCTGTAAAATGAGACTATAAATAAAGCTATATCTTACCTGCTCCTGGGATTATTGCAAGTTTTGTTTCGACCAGGCCCAGTTTTGCAGTGCTGGCTAAAGAAAAGAGAATTATTGTATTTAATAATAATAATAATCTTGAGGCTTTTTAAACAAGCACAAATAGTAAGTACAAAACAATTGTAAACCCTTTCTAACAAGCAGTGGAACTATAAAGATTCAACTTCAACAAAAAGGCGGTAAAAGTAAAGCTAACGTGTCTTCATAACATTTATTTTAAGATAATTTTCCAAAATAAAAGTAATCAAAATGATTAATTTGTGTTTTTCTTTGAATCATTTTGTTTCATAAAAAGTATTTGATGAAGTGAGGAGAAGTAGAATTTAACTCATGAAAAGAACAAATGACATCCTCAGAACAATCTGTGGGTTCTGGATAATCCCAGTGAATGAACAGGTTTGATACAGAAGCTGCAGACAAACTGTTGCAGTTCTGCTCCACATACATTTGTCAGAAGACCTTTTTAGCTCCTACTTGCATGAATAATGGATACAGATCTTGACTAAGCATGAATGATAATCTGAGGCCAGGATTGGACCCAGATTGGACTCATGTCCAGAACATCAATTCTGCCCATCTGGCTGTAAGTCTTGTACATCTCCTTACTGCAGCGTGCATGTGGATACCCTGTTGATTGGTGTGTTACTGTTCACTAATTGGTAAAACACACACAGGGTCATGAGTGTCTTGCACTGCTAATCTGATTCTAACTGTACTAAGATAGAGGAGACTTAGCTGACCCAATATAAAGTCCATTGTGTCTTACAGGAGATTCTGATGTCACAAGCAAGGGCCATTTCCAAGCCTCCTCCTAAAGCAGCTCCATCAATTGCAGCAATTGTTGGTACTGGAAGGTTACCTGAACAAAAACACCAGAACGGTTCAGTACATGTCATCCACTCTGCACACTCTGCATGTGTTCAATAAAAAGCAGTCATGTCAAAGAAACCTCCAAAAACCAATTAGCATTTAGAAGCATCTTGTGTTTGTATTAAAGCAGAAATGGTGAACATCCAGAGGAATAATCCTAACTAAATAAATCCCTCGTTTCACTTTAGAGACCACGGGCTCATCAAAGAGCTTGTTTTTAATGGATTTATGTTAATGATGTTAAGAGTCCGTACCCAGCTCTGTGATGAGAGTTCTGGCTTTGGATACAAACGGTCCCACTTCACTCTGGTGCATCTTTCCCCTCTCCTTCAGGTCTGCACCTACGTGCACATGCACACACACACACACAAACACACACACACACGACGTTAACTTCTAACTTTCTGAAACAAGGAACAGAGAGCAGCTGTGTGAACTGAAGGTTGTGCACCCACATGACCCTCAGCGACCCATTCTTCTACCCGAATATGGTGGGTTCTTTTGTTGTGTGTGTGTGTGTGTGCGTGCGTGCGTGCGTGTGTGTGTGTGTGTGTGTGTGTGTGTGCGTGCGCATCAAAGGAGGCTGGAGGGGCATGACAAATCTGCTGTTTACATCACATGAACAAACTGCAAAATGGATGATTAGTCATATTATATAGTAAAAATTTCTGTTTCCTCTGTAAAATTAATCCATCCTGGTCCTTATGAATGAATAAAAAATATACACAAAATTAGGGAAATTCATTTTTAAAATGAATGGTAGAACATTAAAAACAACACTTTCAAACTATAAAAATGTACTGACATCGGCAATAGCCAGAGAAAGCATACCTGCACAGAAGATACCAGGGACCAAACTGCATAAGATCACACTTCTGACTTTATTATTCTTCTTGATGCTCTCTACAGTCTCAAACATCTGTATGAACAAATAGGACTTTGGATTAGAACCTACATACAGATATTGTATTGTGTTATGTTATGTTACAGTGTGTATCACCATTAAAGTAAGACACTTTGGTACACATGAAATAACACCTAAACATGTTTTTTAATAAATGAATAAAAGTTTAACGTCTAAATTTTTTAATAGAATATTATGTGATTTATTAGTTGCGACTAACCGCATGGGGATGACTAGAAGCCCAATATCTACCCCTAGTTTCTAGTCATCCCTATGCGGTCGGGCGATATAACTCCTTAGTTAAGCCGATTTAAAGTCAGGCACATACCCGGGCAGCCCGGTGCTGCTGCAGAATTTAAGTGTATTTTAATATTCCTGAATAACATATGCTTTATTAAATGCTCCAAAAAGGATTTACAACTAAAATTATTTTACCAGTTTTCAGAAGTGTGACCAAGTCACTGCTTTGCAAGTCACAAGTCTTTCCAGTCAAGTCTCAAGTCAAGTCCAAGTCAAGTCCAAGTCAAAGACAACCAAGTCCAAGTCGAGTCCAAAGTCAATGATGTGGAAGTCCAAGTCAAGTAACGGTATAAGTCCTTAACTTTGATTTTTCAAATGATAATCAAGTCATTTGTCCAACTTCAATTTAATGACAATGATAATAATTAAATTCCAGAAATAAATCTTCTAAAAGATTTATTTGCTGAAACAAGCAGAAAGTACAACTGAAACTGATTATAAACAAAGTGCTGCTGCAGTTAGCAGAACAAGATCTAACCCAGAACCAAGAATGATTTATGATTTTTGTCCATGTCTTGTCACTTTTGTGCTAAAATATCAAATATGCTCAAGTCATCATCAAGTCAACAGATGCAAGTCGATTCAAGTCCAAGTCAAGTCAAAAGTCTATAGATTTTATCAAGTCAAGTCAGAAGTCATTGAAATAATGACTCGAGTCCAAGTCATGTGACTCAAGTCCACACCTCTGCCAGTTTTGAAGGTCCTTCTCAAAAAATTTGCATATTGTGATGAAGTTCATTATTGTCTGTAATGTACTAATAAACATTAGACTTTCATATATATTAGATTCATTACACACAACTGAAGTAGCTCAAGCCTTTTATTGTTTTTAATATTGATGATTGTGGCATACAGCTCATGATAACCCAAAATTCCTATCTCAAAAAATTTGCATATTTCATCCAACCAATAAAAGAAAAGTGTTTTTAATACAAACAAAGTCAACCTTCAAATAATTATGGTCAGTTATGCACTCAATACTTGGTCAGGAATCCTTTTGCCAAAATGACTGCTTCAATGCAGCGTGGCATGGAGGCAATCAGCCTGTGGCACTGCTGAGGTGTTCTGGAGGCCCAGGATGCTTCAATAGCGACCTTAAGCTCATTCAGTGTTGGGTAGGGCTGCTCGATTATGGCAAAAATAATAATCACGATTATGGTGACTGAAATTGAGATCGATTATTTAAGACGATTTTTCAATTTATGTTGATTTTATTTGTTTTTATTCTGTCATAAAATTGCTCAGGGCACAATCAGGACAAAATTAAATAAGAAATAAGATGATCACTAAAATAACTCCTGATTCCCAGTATAAAAAGACCAATATACTTATAGCTCATTGCTTATGACCCAAGGGCTATAGACCTTGGTTTAACTCATTTAAGTCTAACCAGTACAGACCCAAATACCAATATCTTGCAAATACTGACAGCAAGAATTATACAGTGGCATTTATAACAAATAAATGCAAATAAATTGATTTTCATAAAATGTTGCATAACATTTATTGAGTCGTGTCAAGGTGCTGTTGGAGCGTGCACTAGCACCGTGTCCTCAGAGAGATTAGTTATTATTTATCAGCGTGAGGAACTTATTTCTATCTATTTCTACCTTATTTATAAATTATTTATTTACAAGTCCATCAGTTAATGTAATAATTGTCCCAACCACAGCTGCACCCCCTAACCCGGTTTCACAGCAATCATGGGCAAGCTGTACGTGTGTTTAGCACGCACACATTTAGCTGTTTTTAGCAGCTCAGGAGCCCGCAGGTACAGTGTGTGTCACTCACTCTGGTTAATCCAACAGGGAGCCGGCTCTGAGAGCCGTTTCTATAGCGACTGACACATCACTACATCATTCCCTTTCCTAATGTCCTGAAGAACGGTCGGGAGCGCAGGCGGAGTGTTTAGCTAACCTGCAAGAAATGTCAACGACAGTTATCCTGAAAGCAGCTACGGGTTACCAGAGATGTTTCTGAGGTGGTCGCTAGGTATTTTTAGGATTTAAAAAGTCAAGAAGGGGGTCTGAAAAGCTGCTAGAAATAGCGTCAAAGTCGCTAAGTTGGCAACACTGTGGGAGAAGCGCTTCATTTGCAACTCAGGGCAGCACAAGTGGGAGGAGCAAATAATCAGCTTGTTTTGTTTTTATAATCGTTCAAAACTCAGATCGTAATTGGGATTAAAATTCGATTAATTGAGCAGCCCTAGTGTTGGGTTTTGCGTCTCTCAACTTTCTCTTCATAATATCTCACAGATTCTCTGTGGGGTTCAGGTCAGGAGAGTTGGCAGGCCAATTGAGCACATAAATGGTCAGTAAAGCATTTACCAGTGGGTTTGGCACTGTGAGCAGGTGCCAGGCCGTGCTGAAAGATGAAATCTTCATCTCCATAAAGCTTTTCAGCAGATGCTCCAAAATCTCCTGATAGCTAGCAGCATTGACCCTGCCCTTGATAAAACACAGTGGACCAACACCAGCAGCTGACATGGCACCCCAGACCATCACTGACTGTGTGTACTTGACACTGAACTTCAGACATTGTGGCGTTTCCCTCTGCCCAGTCTTCCTCCAGACTCTGGCACCTTGATTTCCGAATGACATGCAAAATTTGCTTTCATCCAAAAAAGTACTTTGGACCACTGAGCAACAGTCCAGTGCTGCTTCTCTGTAGCCCAGGTCAGGCGCTTCTGCCGCTGTTTCTGGTTCAAAAGTGGCTTGACCTGGGGAATGCGGCACCTGTAGCCCATTTCCTGCACACACCTGTACATGGTGGCTCTGGATGTTTCTACTCTAGACTTAGTCCACTGCTTCCGCAGGTCCCCCAAGGTCTGGAATCGGTCCTTCTCCACAATCTTCCTCAGGGTCCGGTCACCTCTTCTCGTTGTGCAGCGTTTTCTGCCACACTTTTTCCTTCCCACAGACTTCCCACTGAGGTGCCTTGATACAGCACTCTGGGAACAGCCTATTCGTTCAGAAATTTCTTTCTGTGTCTTACCCTCTTGCTTGAGGATGTCAATGATGGCCTTCTGGACAGCAGACAGGTCGGCAGTCTTACCCATGATTGTGGTTTTGAGTAATGAACCAGGCTGGGAGTTCTTAAAAGCCTCAGGAATCTTTTGCAGGTGTTTTAGAGTTAATTAGTTGATTCAGTTGATTAGGTTAATAGCTATTTTTTGAGATAGGAATTGTAGGAATTTTGGGTTTTCATGAGCTGTATGCCAAAATAATCAATATTAGAAACAATAAAAGGCTTCAACTACTTAATCTAATATATATGAAAGTCTAATGTTTATCAGTACATTACAGAAAATTATTAACTTTATCACAATATGCAAATTGTTTTTAGAAGGACCTGTATTTAATACTTGGTCAGTTTACTGATTTGTTTGATTAAATTTAGCTAGATGTCTGATTTGAACACTGACCACTGCACAAAATTAAGATGTAACAGCTGGCTAAAAACAGTAATTAAACACTAATTTAGCTTCTGACATTTTGTGCATGAACTGATGTTATTACTGACATTTTAGCATAAAAATAAGGTGGAAGATGTCTAGATATCTGCCTTTCAAATTGAAAGCACAAATCGGCCATCGGCGAACCATGGCCTTTACATATTGGCATCTGTATCAGCAGTAGAAAAAACAATATTGGTCAACCTCAAATACAAACTATTGGATAGTAACCACTAGGGGTGTAACAATATCCAAATACGATACAATATTTATTGCGATATTGTGGGGAAGCTCACTATATTGTGGCTATGCTCACAATAATAAACCTGTCAAATTAAATTACTCTGACTGGTCATTGGTACATTTGTTATTAACTTTATCACTGTGACATTTTGAACAGCCTGAAAAGCCATAAAGTGCAAAATCGTAGTAACATCTCAATATATATTCATAAAAGAAATGACAACACAGGTACGGAATTAAATAAAGGCATTATTAAACAGCCCATTCAATAAATAAAAATACCCGGGCACTAAAATACCAGGCTGTGTGGGCTGCACAAAATCCCATTGGAGTACTGGCCAATGACGCAGAAGCAAAGGTTCATGGTCCATGTATTTTAATTTGCTATGCTCCTGTGGAGCAGACTGAAAAGTGTTATTTTTACCTCAAGACTTACTGTACAATATCGTGACAAAACCATGACGATATTGTGGCCATTTTACTATGGCGATATCATGATATTGCTAATATTGTTACAGCCCTAGTAACCAAACACCTCCAAACATATGTTAAATTTCACATTATACTGGTTTCAATCATTAAATGATTCATTTTCATCATAAAAGCAAAATTTAAAAAGGTTAAATCCAATACTTACCAACTTGACCAGATTTTTGCTAATAGAATTTTTGGCTTTGGGTCGATTTATTCCAACAACAACAATACCTGAAAAACAAATGTAATAATAAATAAAAGTGTTTTTATGAGAATGTGACATACAAGGCATTTAGTAAAATAACTTACACTTCATGTTTGAAACTCAAACGAAGCATACTAGTAACTTATTAGATTATATATTTTCTACCAGCTTGTGTAAAACATCAGACCTAGCCTAGAAATCTAGAGAGACAGTGGCTGAGATTAAATGAGTTTGCTCTACATGTTGGTCTAGCCATGCTCCATAGACGCTTCAGCAGGAAACGGCTTTGGCATCAACGTTGGCCTATTTAGACTTGGGTCTTTGTTGAGTCAGCAGCAGATAGTGGTACTTAAAGTAGCTTTCCGGACTTTTATCCTTTCAGAAATTATGTTTGATTTTTTAGAAATCAGTAAAAGTGATCGTCTCATCATGTACTGTGATATAATGTATGCAATACATCACCTTTTGATTTATTTTTTGCTAAGCACGCCCGCTGCCCAGCAGAGCTCCGTGCAATAGGAAACTGAGTGCTGACCAGAGCTAACCAACAGCGTTAGACTACCGTTTATGCGCTTCAAATTTAAGGAATACCTTGGCTGATGCAGAGTTGATGAACTTTTCAAGGACAAGTAAGTCTTTAAAATATAAATATATAAGAACATAGCATGACATGAGAATAATACTTGTAAAGCAGCATGTTTGAGCTCTGTTTGTAGGCTACAGAAGGACATAAATAACATAAAGTCACCATCTTAAAAAAATGGATCGACAGACGATTTGTGTGATATTCTCGCCAGCCACTAGATGGTGAATAAGAGAAATAGTCCGGAAAGATGCTTTAAGTCATTTATTTAGAACAAAGACGCATTTGCGTCTTCTTTGATGGTGTGTGGCAGACTGCCCCACTGACTGACATTTATAGCGGTGAAGAAACAATTTTTTATAGCGCCTCTCAAGATAAAAATCATGAGGCACTTCAAAGGACAAAATTAAAATAGATCAAGAAATATAACAAAAAATAAATCTACATAAAAAACATGAGGAAAAGAATGAAGAAAAAAAGGTAATCATGGGATCCTGATAAAGACAGAATTGGTAGAAGCAGCACCAAGAAAAGAAGCCAGTGAGGAAGAAGAGGATGAGCTGAAGGTTACCAAAGCCAGCCTGAACAAGTGAGTCTTCAGCTGCTTTTTAAAGGAGACCACTGAGTCCACTGATCTCAGGCTCATGGGGAGAGAGTTCCAGAGTCTGGGGGCCACAGCAGCAAATGATCGGTCACCTTTGGTCTTTAGCCTGGTGCTGCACAACCAGTAGGCTTTGGTCACTGGACCTCAGGGACCTGCTGGGGGTGTAGGGACTAAGAAGATCACCAATGTAAGATGGTGCTTGTTCATGTAAGGCCCTATAGACCAGAACCAGGATCTTGAAATGAATCCTGAAGTTGACTGGCAGCCAGTGAAGCTGGAGGAGAAGCCTGGTGATGTGGGTGTGTTTGGAGGACTTGGTCAGAAGCCGAGCACAGGCGTTCTGAACCACCTGTAGACGGTTCAGGGAAGTTCTGCTCAGACACGTGAAAAGAGAGTTGCAGTAGTCCAAGCGTGAGGAGATGAAGGTGTAGATGACTATCTCATGTTCAGAGCAGGACAGCATGGGACTCAGCACCATGTGAAATGAACGTGGGTATATCACCTTGTTTGTTGTCCAAAAACATGCAGACACTGAAAAAGACAACCATAGATTCTTCAGCTTGTCGAGCTAGATGAAACCTCCACTTTTAGGATTTGCATTTAGCAGATTTATTTTGCACCACAAAAACGCTGTCAAGCCTTTTGATCCCTTTTCATTTTTCTACATGGAATAAAATGATAAGTTGGTATTGACCCCTATCAGATTGGAACGCCCCCCAAAAAGGGGCGGGGAACTTTGTTCCGTGGTGAAGTACCCGATGTGCTCATATTACTAATTACAATTCAGCTTTTTACTTCAAATGCAACAACCTGATTGGTTCAACAGTTTGAGCAGTCTGACAACACGGAGAACAGAAATATTCACAACCGTGCCCGTGTTTCCATTCTGAATAACCTAGGGTCAGTCTTGAGTTGTTTCCCTGATGAGCGCTAGGCAGAACCGCATCACAGTTAACGGAGACTCGTGGATAAACTTACCAGAGTCATTACCATCCAGGTACCGGACTCTCAGGTCATCCGTGGAGTCGGAGCTGTAATGGCGAGTAGCCGCAGCGTCTCCGCTGGGCCGACTAGGAGGGAAAACTTTATCTGGAAAAACGTATTGTCTGGAGCAGAAGTAGGCGGCCCTGGCCGCCCTTTCCCGGTCCATTGCCTGCACGCGACAGGCTCGCCACAGGGCGAAACGTCCCACCACGGTCGCCATGATGATTATTGATGCTCCTTGAACTCTGAACCCAATCACGTGACAGCAGTGATCACGTGACGTGAAAGCGGTGGAGAAAATCACAGCGGAAAAAAATAACATCCTCCTGTTCAAGTCTGATTTCTAACATGTAAATGTATCGAAAACCTCCAGAAAAATGTAAGATTTGATTTACATCCAGTGTTTGTTTTCTTCTTAAATTACCATATAGAGCTATTTTTAGAACAACTAAACAAGTTAAAAATGTGGTTAATTTTAAGTGGAAGGATTGCCGATTGTACGATTTAATATTTTGGAAAGGTCACATTCACATTTAAGGATTGTGCCTCCATGGAATGAGCAACACTACTAATCATGTAGCCTGTCACACATCTGTGATATTCTCCTGTTTTGATCTACAGGTGTGTGTCAGTCACAGCTCCTGGACAGTTTGGCCATGCAGTTTATGCTAAAAGTGTAAAATGTGGTTCTAAGTAAAAATAATTTCCAGTGTGTGGACACATTTCTACCTCTAATTTTCATTTTAGGGGTCCATCACAAACCGTGATGGAGTTGATTTTAGCTTTAACATAATGTAGATCTGTTCTTGTGTTGTAGTTCTGAACAGATAATAATATAGACTAGAGACACTCGTTGGAGAGCAACAACATAAACGTCCACTATTGGCTGGGGTGGATCTTAAACAAGACGAGACACAAGAGGCCAGACACAAAGCCTCAAAATATACCCAACATATTTTCTCAGACCTTACTATTAGATGTTAAATCCTGGAAACCACGTTATTAGATTAAAGCGTTTCTCTTATTCCATGTAAATTAAAGTTGCCTGTGAGGATAATTAACATTCATGTTTTGCATCAATGACAATAATAATTTTATGGTTTTGATGTAAGAAAAATAAAAGCTTGGAGGACAAATTCAGTGACAAGACATTTATTGTAAGCAAAAACTCACCAATACAGTAAACCTGGAGTCTGCTGGACACAAGAGACATCACCACTATTATTGTTCCTCCAGCTTTGACACACACTTGTTTCATTTGAGATGCATAATTTAACACATTTACTAAAAATAATACAAATAACCAATTCTTTATCAAACAAAAATTAACAGGAAATGTTAGAAGGGCCTTTGAAAAACCATTAAAAGGTTCCTATTGCAAGTGTGTTAAAGTTTGTTCTCGTCACACACTGTTGGACAGGTGCAACAAGCAATAAAACTCTTTGGGCAGAGAGGCTTCTCGGCTGGGTTCTGCTCACCAAGTCTTAATGAACTAGAAACATTAGGACGTTTCAGACAATAGTAAAGAAGAACTGCTTTATCTTAGAGCTCTGAGCACATCCCTAAAGATATCCCCACAAGACCATCCATGTTCTGAACCAAAGAACTGCTAAAAAAAAAATCATCAACGTTGGAAATGCCAACATATTGGTCTGGACTTCCAGCTATAAGGCAAATCGTGGCAAGCCTTCATCCCCTCACAGGAAGGACGCAGCCTTTCACAGCCATTAAAAATAAGCAGAACAATTATCAATGGCAGCAGGTGTGTCAACATAAACAAAGAAAAGTGGCAGCAGGTGGGAATTACATTTACCAAAGAAAAAGAAACACACACACAGAATATAGAAAACAGCCAAGAGTTCCAACAATTCCCATTCTTGCCTTTCTTATTCTAGAATAATAACAGTGCTCCATCATCAATTTGTGACACTTTCTTTTCTCGTCTCACTTATTTGCAGTAATTTCAATAAAAACTGGATAAAAAAAAGAGACCAAACAGGAAGTAAATATTTTGTTCATTTCATTAATTTGTTTCCAGTTTGATTGGCTTACTAACAGCGCCAGCAGATTATCAGAGTCTCAACCCAGTGGCACGGGATAAACTCTGGTATTAAAATAGGTGTGCCACACCTAATTCATGTATCAAAAGTTTATGCAGTACCTCCTCTTGCTTTTGCACAGTGGTGCCTGCTTCTCTAGATTCTCCACTATTAGTCTCTGGCAAGAGTTTAACTCATCTTTAAAATTTTAACATAATAAAATAATGTTCAACTGAAATGTGAACAACAGTGCAACAACTTCTACAGAGAAAATCCAAAATATGAAGGTCAGTCACAAAGTTTTGATGGTGCTTTTGCCTGACCCTTGCAGGTTTCTACACAAGTCCTCAGCATGCTAGTGCATAGAAAGATTCTTTACCACCTACAGTGGTGTGATTGAGCTGAAGCTCAGGATTGGTTCACTGCCCTGGCAGCCACCCTGCAGTAACACCGTGTTTCACTGATGCTCCAGTCTTGCATGTTGGTGACCTGGACGGATAAAGGGCAATGACAGGGCTGGGTGTACTCTGAGGAGTCCAGGATGGTGCGACAGCCTTGTCCCTCAGAAACACTGACAGGAGAGGAGGACTTTCCAAACGACTCGTACTCATGATCAACGGGCTCCACTTTGATTTGAACGCTTCTTGATTTGATGCGCAGTTTATGGGGCAAAGCTGAGGAACAGGGATCTGGCACTTTGTGAGTGGAGACGATGACACTCTTTGGGTGAGCTGCAGGTCGGGCCAACCCCCTTGGAACCTGCTGCTCATCTTCACCATCTGATGATTTGCTTACAACGCTATCATACGAGCTGCTGGGTGAGTTACTGGATGACCTGGTAATCTGTGCCGATGACACGGGCTGGGCGTAGATGTCCAACAACTTACTGGTCGTGCAGTTTTTATACAGTTCGTGTGTGCTACTCCCTTCCTGTGCAGGGCTGACATTTTCTGCTGGTTCTTGCTTGAGATCTGTTGTCCTGCAGATAGCAAAGCCTTCCTGTGTTGTGGAACAAATCTCAGGAGTGAGCGGTGAGTGTTTGATAACTGATATGCAGCTGCTACGCAGCTGTGAAGGCTCCACGTCTCCCTGATCCGAGCTGTGGTTTGAACTGGCTGGAATAAAATCCTGAAAGGAGCTGAGAGCGGAGGGGCTACAGAGCTTCTGAACTTCTTGTGCGTAAGCTGCCGAGCTCACGAGGCCAAACTTGAGCTTCAGCAACAGCAGTTCTGCCTTTAGGGAGGCGTTTTCCTCTCCAAGAGCCATCAACTTGTTCTCAAGCACCATGTCATTTATGCGCCGCTTCTCCCTTGAACGCTTAGCAGCCTCATTGTTTTTACGCCGCCTCTCCCAGTAAACTGTGTCCTTCTTCTCCTCGGGGATAAACTCCCGTTTTCTGCGACATGCAGATCTGGCTTTGAAAGAACCTGCAGGAATGTTGTGGCCTATTAAGTCTGCATCAGGTCCAAGCAACAGGTCATCGGTCCCACTGTAGGGTTCACTCAAATCTATTTCTTGCTTAACTGATTGCATATTATTGATGTTTGAGACATTCAGATCTTTAACTGTACTCCATATATCAATGTTGTATCGGTGACTCCCCCCGATAAGAATCAGTCCAGCGCAGATGAGGAAGTCTGCAAAGAGAGAGAAAAAAAAGACTTTTATGATCCCAGGGTGAAAATAACACAGTAACCAAGTTATCATTTTGAATCTCCACGACTACAAGAGTTCAGACCCTTTTTAGTCAAATGTTAAAACCTGAGGGTGGATGTGGGTTAGGTATATTTATCCAAGAGGCCAGACGAATCTACGGCAATGTCTTAAATCCTGAAAGAGTCTGAATTTTCAGAGGTTGTGTTTTCTGGATCGGAGTTCCTTGTGAACAACCTGTAGTCCTTCCTGTGGATGGCATTAACATGGCCTCCAGAGCGAATGTAGGAACACTGGTGTTATTCTGGACCAGGGTGTCTTCTAAGAGCTCCAGGTCAACATCTCCCTTCACTAAATCCTACTTTTTCACGTTTGTTCGCCTTACGCCAAGACATCTGGGTAACTAAAACAAAGCAGCCCCCGCTAGTCTATTCATGCTTTGAGAACGCCTAAAATTCAGTTTGGCAGCTGCTCCAACACACTCAGGAGCAGATTTAGACAGTTTGTTGTCATGGTTTGGCCCACATGTTTACCACAGTTACATGTACTGCAGGTTATCTGAATTGCTCTGGAACTTAGAATGTATAAAAGGAGACAATTTGTTGCTTTTTTCTTACCTTTTCCCTCAACATCCAGTAAGCCTGAGCTGACACAAATGCAGCACAGACATAATGCAACCACTCTCAAAGGCAAATATATGACATCAATGTTATTCTTAGGTCACATATAGTAAAAAATAGGAGAGGGCATTACCCTAAACGTCAGTTAAGCCTGAGTTAGCCAACATAAAATTTGTTTTACCACCCTAATATTATAATTTGCAATAGTTTTAGCTGCTAAATTCACAACAGCAATGCTTTAATGACATAAGCACAGTTACTAGCAGGCTTCGGCCGTGTTCTTTGCAGTAAATACAATCATATGTTTTCCTGAGCAACAGAAACTAGGATGGCTTTTAGTTATTCTCAGATGTAGGCATTTTTTCTCTTTTTGGGCACAGTTGTTTGTTGCTTTGCACCTAATGCTAAATACTGGGTCAGCATTGAGCGGAACACCAATCCCTCCAGGAGTTCACAAACATTTTCCATGATTGCAGCCTAGGGCTGGGCAATAAATCGAACATGTATCGTTATCAAAATTTCTGACAGTTATTTTGATAATTGTTCCCATTGTCAATAAATTTGATAGTAAAAAAATGAAATGATGTGTGTAGGTTGGCAACGTTCCTGTCCCTTTAAGAAGCTGTACCACCTTGTAAAAATGTGACTCAACATAATAATAATGCATTGAACTTATAAAGCGCTTTTCTAGACACCCAAAGATGCTTTCACACACTCTCACATTTACACACTGCTAGTGATGGTAAGCTACTTGTAGCCACAGCCGCCCTGGGGAGGTCTGACAGAGGCGAGGCTGCCATTTGGCGCCGTCGGCCCCTCTGACCACCACTAACACAGGCAAGTTGGGTAAAGTGTCTTGCCCAAGGACACAACAACAGGATACCCCTGGCGGGAGCTGGAATCGAACCCATGACCCTCCGATCATGAGGCAACCCGCTCTACCACCTGAGCTAATGCCCCATCTAGTGGACAACTTTTGTGTCTGCGCATACCTGTAGTTATCGTCCATTTATCGATATCGAGGAGAAATCCTCAATATATCGTGATGTTGATTTTAGGCCATATCACCCAGCCTTATTGCAGCCTAAAATATCTGATTTTGCAGCTTTTTTTAAAATGCTGCAATAAAAGTTATCAAGGTCATGAAAGAAGCTGCAAATGTTCCCAGGGAACTTTTTCAAAATGGACACTAATTTGCCTACTGCTCCATTTCCCCCTGATTTGTTAACAAGACCCCAGGACCTGGTCCCTGACCTGGAGACGGCAAATGTTGTGTGTAATTTTTCCCGACATTAAAAAAATGCAATAAAAAGTACATTTTTGTGTTTCAACACAGTTATGGTTAAATGTATCAACCTGAGATGACACAATGTATCAACCTTAATGTATTTAAATGTATCAACCTTACCAAAACCAGAGATGATGTGTGTGGATGTTGAACTAATACTTGGCCCCTCCTTGATGGCCCATACTCAGAAAAACCCTAGGTCCACCACTGGGTTCATATTTGTTTCAGTAGGTCAGGTCTGATCTTTACCCGAGTGCAGGCTCTTTCAGACACACCTGATGGTTAGTTCAGATAATAATAAGCTCATAAAAGAGACCCACCACTATCTTAACTAGCTAGTATAACTAACCAACCTGACCTAGTTAGCGTCAGAACGCTATAAATACATATTCCATACATTAGAACGGTCTTAAACCAGACGTCCAACGTGCTTACGTAGTTTCCACTGAGACGCGACTGCGCACGCGCGACTGATTTGAGCAGCAAGTTGCGTCGGGTAACAGGCCCTCATTATCGCGTTGCCCCAGATTCACGTTGTTATTACACCAAACACCTCTCCTCTTTACCTTGCTGCAGTCATCATGAAACAGTAGGTCACGTGGACACAGCAGCCTCAGAATATCGTTGTATCGGTGAAATATGAAAGATCAAAATGAATATCATAACGGGTTGCGCCAAGACCTTTTCAACATGACATCATAGAGTTGCTTACTCATGAGTGGCGGCTGACGCCCAAAAGAGTTATAGGCAACAACTACGTGGAGAAGCTTTCCTTTCCTTGAATCCAACAACTAACACAGTCGAAACACGTGAACCACAACTCACCTGGAATAACCAAGTAACGATTCTTAACCAGCTTTGATCAGATTTATCTAGCAGCAGCACGTAATAGATCCGCACACGGAGACAACATGCTTCCACCCCTCTCGCGTCATAAACCACATTTATGGATGAAAACACTTCAGAAACATGAGCTGGGGCGTTCTTACAGCACGTACATGCATTTGATCAGGGCACAACCTCGGTCTTAACCACTTATTATTAACCCAAAGAAAATCTGTACCTTTTCTACCGCCAGATCGATTAGTTTGGTCTTGGTTTCCATCTCGTTTGAAGCACAGATGGTCGCTTAGGAAGGGATTATCAGTAGAAACTATAAGTTCCTTAACTAGCTCGGTCCGCTTCCTTGGATTTTTCCTCTCAAGGTGGCCAGTGACTCACGGATCTGTGTCAGTAGGTCACTGGTAAAATGTATTGGCAGCGGGAGGTTAAAGACGTATGCTGTGGCCAATCAGAGCGCAGCATTTTCCAACTTTAGCAAATGAGAGTAGGCTGCTGACCCTTGAAGCGGAAGCTTGAAATCTGTGCCTTTCTGTAAACGTCATTTGGAATCGTAGGACGTCCAAGGAATGTACCCGCCTTTCTTGCCTCTGATTGGCTGGAAGGACTCTCCTACGATTGGCTATTTTATGTAAGAGGAAACCATCTCCCTCGCCGTAGGGGTTTTATATTTTCATAATAACCATTCTGTCCTTTTTTTGCAACAAACCAGCTTCCGTTTCTTTTATAAAAGAACCTGAAAAACATCAAATGGAGTAAAGTTGACTTGTGTAAAGTAGCTGCTTCTCTAATTATTGATGCCCTATATTATCAATTCATTGTGTTTATTTCTTAATTCTAATTTACCTTACCCTTTATTTTTTACAAGTACCGCAGCAATTTCCTAATGTTTTAATTCTCACACATTTGGCTACAAAACCCTTCTGATTCTGAAATCTTGTTGCATTTTATCACACTAGACTGACTTTACACCTGTTGGCTATCTTATGTCTTCACTTTAATAGGCTGTTAACAAGTTAGCACATCTCTCATCATCTGTTTAAATGTGTATCGACATTTAATTCAAAGCTAAGCTGATTATGATTTAGCCCCGTTTTTCACAAATGTTCATTATTCTAGATGAGAAACAGAAACAGACCTGCTGCACACAGCTTTATTATGTTTCATATCCAGGTAAGGCACACATATATCCTATGTACCATGGCTTCAATGCTTGAGAGCTAATGCATATAAAATAAGTCCAACAGGATGATAAATGTAACAAGATTTATTATAAGTTAACATTTTACGTTTTTCTGTTTGTTTTTAAATTAAGAAACATAAAACATATTTCAAAACGGGACAGTTTCTGCTTTCTGACATTTTCTTTACAAAACTCCCCCAAACAGCTGTTCTGTTGGTGGCAGTGGGACAGTCTGCATTTAGCAAGGGAAGACGGTCATAGTAGAGCCCTTCTAGCCAATAAGAGGCGAGAAAGGCGGGATCTTCCTTGGGCATCCTACGATTACAAATGACGTGTCCTGTAGGGAGGGCTTAAAATATCATTTCTATAGCGCCTCTCAAGATAAAAATCACGAGGCGCTTCACAAAAACAAAATAGAAAAATGTAAAAATATTTAAAAAAAAAAGCGTTTAGAAAATATTTAAAAATATATTTAAAATTAGCAAAAATAAGCAATTACGATTTAAAAGGAAAAAACGTTAAGAAAGAGAGTGAATAGGGAAGAGGGAAATCAGTGGATCCTGAGGAAGGTGGAATAGGTGGGGAGAGCAGAATAAAGAGAGAGTGGTGAAGAAGGTCATACAAAAGCCAGCTTGAACAAGTGAGTCTTCAGCTGCTTTTTAAAGGAGAGCACTGAGTCCACTGATCTCAGGCTCAGAGGGAGAGAGTTCCAGAGTCTGGGGGCCACAGCAGCAAATGATCTGTCACCTTTGGTCACTTTTAAGGGGCCACAATAAAAAAAATGTAAAAAAAAAGAAATAGTAAAAACATGCGATTAGGTAAACAAGATATAAATCAACACTATGTCAAAGATTTCTTAAATAACATTTATTCAAATGTGTCAAAGTTGTAAACATTTATTACAGTAATGTTTACTGAGGTGGGGAGCAACGAAGTACTAATACTCCTGCAAATGGGATGGCTGGTACCCTCAACAGCACAGCTCAAGATAAAGTTCAGCGCCTTCAACCTTCACGTTCTGCGGGCCTTTGATAGATGCTATTCAAGGAGGACTTGAACATTTAGGCCACTAAGGCGAACAGAGAAAATATTTTTAGAAATTGAACCTCGTTCCGACCTCTTGAGACGACTTGCTCTTTGCTTCATAACAATAGTACACTCGTGCAGGTTTCAAAAGTAAAAGTACTCCTGGCTGGGAAATGTTGCCGTGTTTATTACGATCGTTGTTTTAATTTGGAACTAGCTTATTTTGAGCGGAATGAGAAAGTAGTGAAGCGGCTGTCACGTGACAGTTTTGAACCAATGCGGTGCACGATTTTAGTAAACACATTCCAACACGGCAGACACCGTGGATTTGGAAAGTTGCAGCAAGAGCAAGGACCAAGAAAAGTCACCGGAAAATCCAACAAAAACGAGCAAACAGGTTCAAAAGTTGTGCTACATGCATATAGCATCCGTGAAGCATGAGCAGGTACAGGATTTTACATTTACACGATGGAGTCGTTACAGAGTATCCCTCACAAAGTGGCTTTGATTGCATAGTGAGTCCAGCGTTAGCAGAAGTGTATCAACGTTACCGTGATATAGAATTTGAGAATATTCCCGACGATGCTGCCTTTCACCCCACCTGCTATAGACGTTTTATTGATAAGGGACGCGTAGAGCAAGCTGGGAAACGTATTGCATGTGAAGAGGAGACAACATCAGAAAACAGAGGAACACAGAAAAGAAACTCCAAAGAAAAAACTCAGCCCTGCGCATAATCTGCATAAAAGTTTAGAAGTATGTAAATGTTCATGGAAAATGCCAGAGAGCACATTTGGTTCAGGCTGAAACATCTTCTGCTGGTAGGTAACACTCTCTCTCTCACACACACACACACACACACACACACACACACACACACACACAGAAATGTAAATGTGACAACATAGTGGCTCTCTTCATTTTCCTGCACAAACTGAAAATGTATTCATAAATTGAAGGCCAGTTGCAGAAAGCTGATAAGATCAAGCAAGATGAAAGCATTCTGTTACACATCAAAGACAAAGATTGTGTGTCTCTGGAGGTTCTGTACCACAAATGCTGCTACAGACAGCACACCATCTTCCTGTCTAGATCCACATCAACAACAGACAAACAACTGTAAGTTTTGTATTAAAAGTATTGTTGTTGCTGTTTTTGTTATTGCATTTGTATTCAGAATTTCCCTGGATGTATGTCATCAAGCAATTGCAGTATTTTCTGTCTGGGTTTTGTGTTTTCAGAAATGAGCCCAGATTTCATGTTGGGTACAAGACCTTCTGCGAGAGGATCATTCGCCAGAGACTGATTGTGAACCAGGAAGCACTGAGAATGAGCCAGCTGACGAGGTCATTTTCAGATCTGGTAAAACAACATGAAGGTCTTTGGTGTGTTCTTGCTGTGTTGAAATTCTAATTCCATCTTTTAGTTCTTTTTAAAACACAGAAAGGTTTTATTTACCTGCAACGTTTCGTTTGCGGCTGTTGTCGTTTGCATTGCAGCCTGACGAAGTTTGCAGCTGCAAACGAAACGTTGCAGGTAAATAAAACCTTTCTGTGTTTTAAAAAGAACTAAAAGATGGAACAACATGAAGGTGTTGATGCTTCAAACTACAGGAAACTGTAATATGTTCTGCTACTGACTATTTCAGTATTTTCAGTTTTGCTGCAGTTCACGGTCAAATGGGTTGTTCTTAAACCAGTGAGACACTCCCGCCAACTGTTCCTTCAGTAACTTTGCAGCCTGTTGGGGAGTATTAGAAACTGTTAGAACGTATTAAAATATGTCAATTAAAAACCAATGTGAATATTTTCTTATTTGAATCCTTATAACAAACTTTTACTGTATTTATGTTTTTCAGGCAAGACACATTGAAGAGGAGGTTGATCAATGTCTTCCTTCAGCTGGTGTTTCATGCCCCTAGCAAGCGCAACATCTTTGAGCTGGTTTTGTGGAGACGCTGTCAACAGAAAAGGTGATAGACAGGTTAGCTGTTCTGTCAGCCACAACATTCTCTAGTGAGGTATGCCAAACTGACAGTGATGAGGAACACACCTCAAGAGGGTCGGAGAACTCCAGACGGCACAAGGACTCTTCATGCGGCAGCATTGTTATTAAAGAGACTTCTGGCTGACTCTCCTGGTGTGACGTGCCCATGGCCTCCCACATCAGATGATCTAAACCTCACAGTAGCTAAATCTGTTGTGCCACATGAATTATTCAGTCTTGTTTCCGGGATTGTGGGTGCTACTGAAGGCACATCAGTAGACCAGTATGTTGACACTGAAGATGATCTGCACCTAAAAATCTTATCAGTTTGTCAAGACCTTGTGTATCTGGCAACAAAGGGACGTAAGCAGACACCTAAGTCATTGTCTCTTGGTCTAACTGTGCAGCATTTAACCGGTTCTTCACAAATAGTGACACTTTTAAATAGACTTGGACATTGTGCATCACAGTCAAGCCCCCACAATGCAGGACAGAAATTGAGGCCAATGCGGAAGTGAAATAAATTAACCCTCATCCGCTGGAGGCTGGTGTCAAAAGTGAGCAAATCCTCATTGACTCCCATGTTAAAAATACCAATTTCACAGCAGAAATAAACATGTTTACAGCCTGGTTCCAAAACATGTTTTAGGTTTAATTGATCTAGTTTATACTCATGACAACTCTGAGGGGGGTGCATTTTTTTTCTCACTCTTCTGTTTAAGTGTATTAAAAGCCTAAAATTCTGTATAATTAATGAGCATCAGACCCACGTGACCGCAGAGCTAGCTCCGGGGAAAGGCCTCAGCCTTAAAACTGTTTCGTCATTTTCAGTCTCTCAGTTTAGACCATTAGTTGTAGCATTTGTGCGTTCTGTTTTGGATATTTTTTGTGCAATTGTTGGACAAATTGACTTGCTGTGGCATTAATTGCACTAATAGAGCGTCCAAGGAGTCTCCACTTCATTTTTTTCGGTAAGTAAAATTATATTTATGTATTTTAGGTCACTGCCGAGCTGAGCTTAGATTTTAACATGTACTGTTTAACCATGACATTTAAATGTAATAGGGTAAAACCCAGTGCATTTAACATAATGCTGCACTTTAGAAAATGGGTTGAAATATAACATGTTGGTGGAGCTGGATTCCGATTATCGGCTTGTGGAGCTCTCGGGAGGACTTTGTATTTTCTCTATATACCGTAAATCCTCTAATACAGGCCCGGGCCTGTATTTGACTCAAGCTCATCAAGCTCCAGGCCTTTATTGGAAGGAGGGCCAGTATTAGAGGCAGGTCTCTATTTCTATTTGAGCAAAATGAACTAATGGTTCGCTGGAGTTTTTGACAATTAAAATTGCGCCCACATTTTCAAAGTTAAACACATTTCTATTAACAACGATAGTTTCTGCTTCAGCCATCTCCCCCCTCCCCCTGCTTCAGCCCTCTCCCCCCTCCCCCTGCGCAGCGGCCGCAAACTCACTGATGCGCCTGCAGCCTCTCGGAGTTCCTGCTGCTCTAAACATTAAAATAATTATTTCATTTTCTGTTCCTCACTTCTGATGACCTTCAGTGGTGTCTGTTTGTTGCAACCACCAGGTACAAAAACTAACTTGTTTTTATTTGACTATTTTTCTGTCCTGTCTGTTTATTATCTTCCTGCATCTCCTCTCAATCCTAAAGAAAAACTGCTACCTGGGTTCATATTTATTCACCTCATGAGTTACCTTTGAACTGCAGTTCTAAAAGATCTACCGACCGCAAAAACAGCAGAGCGCTCGCTGTTTGGCGGCCGTATCAGTGATCAGTGCGTCTGAGGACAAGGTGATGCGCGCAGCGCCCCGCTCCACAGCATGCAGCGAAACGCATCAGGCGCAAATAAAAGACAGAAAACATTAAAGGAAATGAGCCGACATGAACGATCGCATGTTAAATTAGTTTTTGAGGTGGCGACACCTGATTGTTACTGTGGCCGTGCTCAGGAGGCAGATCTACCGACCGCGAAAACAGCGGAGCACTCCCTGCTTGGAGGCCGCATCAGTGATCTGTGCGTCGGAGGACAAGGTGAAGCGCCCCGCTCCACAACAGCGATACACATCAGGCGCAAATAAAAGACAGAAAACATTAAAGGAAATGAACCGACATGAACGATCGCGTGTCAGTACCTACGGTCTGGCACAGCGCGTTGCCCCCACCCCCACCCCCCGAGCGCAGGAGCTTGTCACCTGCTGATAGCAGGCTGCTGTCTTTTCCGAGGGCTGCATCTTGCCGGTCATTATCACGTGACAGCGACTAGTCGACGACAGGCATAAAAAGTCACTATAGTGAAGTTGACTAGTTCATACAACCCCTACTGCTGCTCTCCAGAGTGTGCACGTTCTCTTTGAACTTGATAGTGTAATGACCTGGCTGGGGTTGTAAGCCAGGTGCATTCTGGGTATTGTGTTATATGTGTTTCCTATCGTTCTGCTAGTTCCTATGTGCTGATTTGCGTGTTGTGTGAGTGTTATGTAAGCCACAGGGAAGGTGATGTGTGTTCTGTGGAGCGGGTTGAATTAGCATGGTTAACTGACACCGTGACTCTGTGTGGTAGGAGCGTGATAGAGGATCGTGTCTGTAGTGTTACAAAGCGTTGAAGAAAAAGCCTAATAAAGGTCTGTGTGAAGTCTATTGCCTCCTGCTGGTTGATTTGGGGACTATAATCCTGCCGCTGAGACTCTCATACTTGCTTGTTACCACATTCCACCCAGCCACAATAAGAGACCGGCCATTATTCACCTCCGCTGACTCCAACACCGGCCACAATTGGAGACCCGGCCAAAATTGGAGACCCGGCCTTTAATTGAATACCGGCCTGTATTAGAGGATTTACGGTATGTATACATGTGTACACCTCTGGGTGCACTGGTTTCTTCCTAGTCCAAAAACATGAATACTACAATAAAACTGAGCTACTGATACTAGGAAAACGTCGTCAAATTTAGAAAGTTGATATTCAATCCGCCAAAGTAGCCATTTAAAAAGCCAAGATGGCCACAATCATCCTGCTACACAGGCGGTTATGCTCCCAAGAACTGGACCTCCACTACCATGAGACTTTCTCCCTTCAAGGGTTCTCTGGGGAACCAAACCCGCATCTACTGTTTCCCAGTACTGAAGGCATCATATTCTGGTTTATCTCAGTAACTTGATCTTTCTACAAACATGGGTATGAGATTAACTCAGACCTAAACTCCAACTCTGCAACTCAAGGGCCAGTAACAATGGCAGTGGGATTCAATACAGGTACGACTGTTCCACGCCAAACTCCCACTCACCTTTCTCCTACAGTTAGGTAAATACACCTGGTAGGTCATTATACGTGTAGGTCCTGTGTCACACTGGTGACCTTTTGACGTCTCTTTTGCATTAAATACAGTTTGATAGCAGGGGTTTGATGAACAACTTCTATGACACCGTGATACTTTGCAGACACTTTATTATTACACTTTATTACATAAATTTCATGGTTACTCAAAATAGTACTCTTGCACTAAAACTAGTGCCATAACAAATATAATGTAGCCCACAAGTGACAGCTTAGCTAAACATCTATAGCATGCAGTTAAGGAAAACTTAAATTCAGACCTCCTATCAAAGTAAGAACAGATGAATAAACATTGGTTCAAAGTCAGAAATATAATTTTTTTAATGAGAACAGAAAGAACAGCATTCAAGGGCCCTGAGCGCCACTGTGTTTATGCGTTCGTATTCTGGGAATGTCGTGTGGTGCATTGCAAGCTTTTCTTAGGGCACAAAAATACCTTCTTGTCAGGAGCCAAAGTAATCAGTCAGTTTGGCTAATGTCTCTGGGAGCAAAAAGACTTCCTGTTTCATGGTAAGGGAATTAGCAATAAGGTTATAGTGACATTTACATGTATTTAGAAGGGTTACAATTTAGTTTAGGTGTTTGCATCCAGTCCTGCATTAAGCATCAGAATGTGGGCACATTTTAATCTTGTAATTGTGAATTTTAAAAGTTCTATTCACTGTCTCGCTCAACTGAGATGTGCTTTCAGAAAGTGAATCAGATGTATTCACGCACTTACTCCATTCAAACAGGATGACGTTGGCAAAGACTAAAGCTCTTGGTACCTTTAAATCCTCATTCATCTTTAGACCACTGACCACTTTGTAGGTTAAAACCTTTGAAAGGCGTTTGTTCGATGATAATCATCCTCAACTGGCACCTTTATTCCAAAAGAGCTACTGTTCAGGGGCAAATGAAAATATTTCCTAACTATTTTAGTGCACATAAAAAAATACACGATAGATTAATGCCGGTATCTAGTGCCGTGGTGAGGTGAGGAATCTTTGTGGAAAGTAACAAAACAAAGCAACATGAACACATATCTTACACACATATACACTCAGAATGTCAAAGATGTCCATGAGTAAAACAAGTCACTTCCTGTTCTCAGTGGGCGGGGCTAGGTGATGTAGAAACACAGACAAGATGACAAATGAAGTGGCATCAAACATGTACGGTTTGGTGCAAATTATGTGTGGCTAAACCTCAAATCTCAAGCTTTAAGTACTGTGCATAATGAGTTTAAGGCTAAGATGTAAACATTTCCAGGACAAGTTTATTAAAATATGTGTAAAATACCAAAACTGCGTTCCTGATCCAGAAAGTCACAAGTGCTGTTGTGTTTTTTATGCTGGACTGGAATGAATGCAGCTTAACTCTGAAATCTGTATGCAACCATTTTTAGGGGCTGTTTTTAAGGCAGCAATGTGTAATTTTCTCTATTCAGTTCCAAGCCTCTAAAAAAAAGAGTAGAAAATCACACACCTTCATCGATCTAGAACAAAAGTGTGTGGGTTTAAGGGGGGATGTTCAGGGTCTCATTAAGGCCTTTGACATCAGAATAAAGAATGTTTGCAATTCCTAATTAAAACCTTAAGATAACAAATGTAATAGATAAACTGTAGGAAAAAATAGGCTGTTTTCCATTTTGTGTATAATTTCTGTTGCTGTAATCTGTGCATTTACTTCACTTCTTATTAATAATGATTTAATACTCAGGCTATTTGATAGGCATCACCTGATTCTTCTTCTACTCATTGTTTTCTCTCTAAAATACCAAAAAACATTTAGTTCACTTCATACCTGACATTAATAATTGTGTTTGAGTAAAATTCTAAAACGAATTCATGAAAGTATTACAGGAAAGTTGGATCATTTGGAGAGTGAAATCTGAATTAATTTTACTCAGACTTAATTACCTAAGTTTTTACAAATACTGGTTAAAAGGAAGGAAGGAATTGAATCGTTGTAGGTTTTAGTTAACCATTTTGCTTCTTTCATGAGTCAAGCTCTTTCACTTCACCCGCTGTTCTCATACTGAGATGTGGCATTCATTAAATTAGATTAACATCATTTCAATTAGCAGCATGTGCTGCAGCTGCACTCAGTAGTTTAGAACATACAAAAGGTTAGCGTGTGTGTGCACTTTTCAATATTTGTATATGAGTATGAGAACAAGTTAAATACTAAAAAAGCTTGGCATGTCGGCCATATTGTTTTGGCAGCCATGGGTTTTTCTTTAAAATAAATGCTCATGAGGAAAACATAAGTTGCTTTTTCACATTAAGAAATTAAAACAAAGACATGAAAAATAACAAAATTACAAGTGAAATGTAAATTAATCAGCATAAATACTCTTGCTGAAATTATGTCATATAAGTCCTGATCTTTTCAAGAAGAACTACATTTTATACTTTTAACTGGCACCATGAAAATATTTGTTTGGACCATAACAAATGACATAATTTTGCCAAATAAACCCAGCTTCATTTCAAACTACGTTTGATATTGACATGTTGTAAAAACAAAGCAAGGAAGAAAACATAAATACAGTTCTATTCAGAACGCCATGTGAAGAATAAAAAATAAATCCAATGGAATTTATGTTGTAAACATTCAAAAAATCTCTTGAAATACTATGTTTGCTATTTTTTCAAAACATGCTGATGCAGAATGATGCATATTTATGAGCAACAGTATGTTTTGTGAATGACCTGTTCAGCAAGCGCGCCTGGTTTTCTGAATTGTACTAAAAGCTTCCATAAAAGCAATTTTACTAAGAGAAAAATAGAACTATAACTGTCATCAGGGTCGTGTGCATGTCTAATAAAATTTTCTTAGATACAATGCCACATTTAAATATTTACAATAAATAGCAGGATTGGCAGCATACACAACAGTTACAAACACAGTGAAGAACCACATCTGAGGAACCTAAGCAGAAGAGTGGCACCTGTGCCGCTAGGTTACCTAAGAAGATGAATGAGGAGGAGGCAGCGCAGAGTACTCCTCGTTGTCAGAGTCGCTGCTGTCCTCAACATTCCTCTCCTGGTCGCTGCCTTCGGTACTCAGCTGGTCAAAACCCTGACGACTGTATCCCTTGTTAGATGCAAAGAATTTTCCCAGGTTCAGGGAACCCACAGTTTTACCTGAACAGAGAGAAAACCGTGTTAGTGCCTGTGAGCTTCAGGGTGGCTTTCACAGGCACCCGTTTAGCTTCAATCAGCTCTCCTAAGGTTCTTCAAACTTTCTTTTTATTGATAGTTTTATGTTAGAAAGAAGCAAGAAAAAGGAACAAACATATATACCTCACTAAACCAGTGTACAGAGCATCTAAAACAAGTCACAACATGTTGTTAGGGCCTCACAGCCACTTAAGGTACAGTTACATACGGGAGAAGGTGAAAATCTTTATGCGTTTGCTTTGACATTACAGTCTTGAAATACTATGAGTCTGAGTCAGATACAGGTTCCATTTTTTCCAGTATTTCTGACATTCATCAGTTGCAAGTCTTAGTGAGAAAGTCAGTCTCTCCATCACATATATTTCATTAATAATGTCAATCCAGTCCAGCAGTGATGGAGGCTGTTCCATGTTGTTGCCATTTGTGGATAATTGCTCTCACTGTGGTTCGCTGGAGTCCCAAAGCTTTAGAAATGACTTTATAACCTTTACCAGACTGATAAATCTCAGTTACTTTTGTTCTCATTTGTTCTTGAATTTCTTTGGATCTTGGCATGATGTCTAGCTTTTGAGGTGCTTTTGGTCTACTTCTCTGTGTCAGGCAGCTCATGTTTAAGTGATTTCTTGATTGAAACAGGTGTGGCGGTAACCAGGCTTGGGGGTGGCTACAGAAATTGAACTCAGGTGTGAAACACCACAGTTTGGTGATTTTTTAACAAGGGGGGCAATTACTTTTTCACCCAGTAAATTATGCTGCTTCCTGCCTCGCCCTCTCCTAAGGCTCGGACACAGCAATCACATCTCTAAGCCCCGCTCTCAATTGAGTTATAGACTGGACTTTAGGCCCGGCTCACATGGCAGAATAATTGTGAAGATTTTTTAACCGAGCCAGATTAATGTGTTAACATGCATTTCAAAAAAATGATGTCAGTCAATTTAGGGCGATGGTTTGGTTTACTGATGCACATGTAAATACACCGAAGCTGTTTTTACAAAACAGTGCAGTCAATTTGACTCAACACTGATGCGGCATCAGGGAGCCTTAGGTTGTTTATAAGAAGTCAGACCGTGGCGTTGTGCAATCAGGTCTTTTTCACAAAAGATTACGCAGTGGTGGCATAAAGGGGTATAGAGGTGGTCTCTGCACTACTGCAGACATCCGTTTATTTTGGACATAACTTGCTTTTTATCGTGATCAAAGCCGCACTCATGCCTAAAGGTGTCTGTCCTCCACAGTCCCCGTGCAGTCTCGTGATCATGACACCTCCCTCTGTTGCGACAAGGCGCATCACCGTTTATGAGACAGACAATTACCACAATATTACTACCAAGTGAGGCAGAACGAATGCTGCAAAATTTGCCAGTAATGTTACGCTGATTTGCCGGCACAGTGTGTCTTGTAAAAAGGGCTCGAGTGACTCTTGAATATTAACAGTTAAACAAACAATTTCACATCCAAACATTAACTGCATGGAGCTGCAACACAAGCCCATATCATCAGACCTCCATATCCTTGCTTCCCTGTTGCTAGTAGATATTTTTGCTAAGACCCACTGGTAATCAGTAAGGGATGATAATAGTTACTGGTGTTAAAAGTCACCATAGTTATTTTTTTAACTTAAATGATCTTTATACGTATAAATTATGTTGCTAATTAGATGTCATACATACTGTTTTTCCTCCAGCACATAAAGACTCCCAGGAAGACAACAAGCAGTAGAGGAATAAGAAGCAAGGTGGTGATTATGGCAGGAAGCACACCCTTCTCCTTGTTTAACATTGGTCTGCTTTTCCTCTCTTCCATTTCCACCAATGGGTGATCTTTCTGTCCAACAATTTGCTTCTCCTGGACCAAAGCTGGCTTTGAAATGTTGAGATCTTGCTTCATCTTGCTCTGAACCAAAGACTCCATTTCTACATGTAGAGAAAACATCAAGATCAGTGATTACTTTGGGATTTTTTATGGGTGTTTCAGTAGGATGCTCCGTCAAGCCAGAACATCTAACCGTCCACACGCATTTGTGATTTTCTTGAAAGAAACAAAGAAAGAAAGAAAGAAAGAAAGGAAACAATCTATATAGCGCTTCTCAACATAAAAATCACGATACGCTTCGCAAAAACAAAAAATTTAAATATAAAAAACATTTTAAAAAATTATTACAATTATGTTTACAATGAAAAAATAAATTCATTATTTATTAGGTACTGTGTGACTGTAGGAGTGACCTTGTACTAATTATTATTGTTCCAACACAAAAGTCTCATTTCATCTCACAGTATTTTGAACATGGCGTTAATGACAAAGATAAAGTGAGTGCAAACTTGTTGGAGATAATATTATTCATTTACTTTTTAACATTCTATGAATAATGGTGGGTGAAATAAATCTACAAAATCAAGTTAAAACTTGCAGACCTTACCAAAAAGTTCTTGGATTTCGATTCCAGCTTTTTTAACAGATCGATGAAACTCTGGAAACCATTATAAAAAAGTTTATTGGGGGGGTGGGGTGGCACACACACACTGATGTAAGCACTACAGCAGGAAGTTACTGAATGGAGATGAACTTACTCTCAGCAGTAAACTTGAAAACAGAATTACTGCCTGCATCCCCGACAAAGACGCTTCCATCCACAGATAAAACAATATCATGAGGCATTTTAAACTCCTGTTGGAAAAGGAAAAAGAATTATAATGTCACTTAAGCCTTCTGAGGTTAGCAATCTGTACTAATGCCTGAGGGTTAAGCCTTGTTTTAAAGACCGGCTTATATAAAAATCTGGGTTGTGATCACACTCAAAAACAAACATGTATTACTGACCTTATCCTTTGGCTAATCCAAACGAGGTAAATCACAGTACACCTAAGTGTGTTTACCTTTTTGTTTGGGATGAATGTATCCAGAATTCTATTGGTTGAATAATTGATCACAAAGCCTCTGAGAGGAGCGGAGTGATACAGTGATTCTCCATTTACTGCAAAGATCAGCCCATCTTAAAGGGTGAGGCAGAGGAGCCACAGAGACAAACAGAAAGGGGGAGAAACCAGGTTAATGCACTTAAAAGGAGCTTTTTTATTAGCACACATCTAAATAATCCTACAACTATAGGAAAAGAAATTCATTTAAGCTAAGCTATCATCAAACACTTTTTTTTTTGTTTTTTTGTTAAAAAGAAAATGCTAAAAATGGGAGCACGATGTGAACAATGCATGACCCATTTGGAGGAAGAATTAACAAAAAAAAAAGTCTAGTTTTATTGATATTTTAAAGATGACTGAAAACTTTTTCACTTTAAATCATTGCATATTTTAAATATGTAGATTTATAGACACGTCAGGAAACAGAAATTCACATCAGGAGCTTCTGTGGTGCGTTACAGCAGCAGTCCGGCTCTAAAGTCAGTATGGTCTTTGGTGTGATTCAACGGACGTGGCACAGAGCGTCTTTACCAGTGACCGAGGGCTTATTTGCTTCCTGCATCTTTTAGTAGAGCAACAATGTGTTTGTCAGCATGGAGCACAAAGGTTTTAACCTGGCAGATGAGAAACCCAACATTATAAATCATACGTCCGTTTTACAGACCGAAATATAATAAATATATTATAAATATAATATAAGAATGTGTCTGACACACTCCCAATGTGAAGCACGTGAGGAAATCAGGCTGCTGCTGTAACATGTCATAGATGCACCCGGTGTGAACTGGGGGCGAGAGATATTTGCCATTTTTTCGGCCAGCTAGACTTATTTTCTTTGTTTTTTATCTTTCAACTCAAAATCAGTTTCAACTCTCCACACACACACAACAGCTCTAATTCCCAGTTTCACTCCACCTCGCACCTCCCAGCATGTGACCATAACACACATCATGAAGTCATTATGGTCTAAAGCAGATAAAAATCTTGTAAAATTAATTATTTAAATTTTAACTGAGAAAACTCTAAAATGAAATCTGAGACACAAAAAAAAAGTCCAGACACAAAAATGATCCTCACACTCACTACTGGTGTGTTTTACTATTCAATGGTAATGTGTCATTAAAGAGACATGTTCTATGTCTCAACATTAGTTCATACCTCCAACAGGGCTATAGGTGATGGCAAACAATTTTCCTCCAAACTCGTCTTTTTTTATTTCCTTGACAAACTGTCCTGTTTCAGCGATGAAGCACTGGATGCGTCCATTCTCTCTGTCAGCTACACACACTTCTTTTCTGTCAGGAAGGAAGACCAGACTGTGGGGGATCTGGAAGGGTGTCTGTCTTCTTCGGTCTGATGAACCTTTATATAAAAATAATAGGATAACAGGCATGAAAATGTGCCAGTTGTGTTATTTATTACATTAGCAGTACTAGTATACAGCTTTGGTCAAAGGTTCTGAGTACGACAAATATTATTTAACATAAAAGACCCCAAAAAAACTGAGGTTGAGGGAAATAAAATAGATTTAGAAAACTAATAATGGATTACACCAGTTTAAAATGAACACACATTTGTTGGGTCATTAGTTTCCCTTCATGAGCCCAGTCAGCATACCTGCACCCCACTGAGACAGGTATTTGCCATCAGCAGAAAACTTCAATATTCTGGCGTTACAGTAGCCGTCAGACACAAAGATGTCCCCAGTCTCTGTGTCTACAGCAACATCCGTGGGTTTGCAGAAGTGGTTGATGTCACTTCCTGGAGTGAAAGCTTCTCCCAGAGCCAGTAAGATTCTGTCTCTACCATCACTGTCCACTTTCAACACCTGAAAAAGTTACAAAGCAAGAGAACAGACAAATTATGACCCCTGCAGCTGAATTTAGAATCATCTTTAGATGAGCTATAATCTTCCTGGGAAAACCAGAGAGCAGAGCGTTACAGTCAATGAAGGAAGTAAACATTAAGAACGACACCCTGTGGTCAAATGTGGGTACTGCAGTCCATGTTTCAAAATGAACGAGCGGCTGTTATGATTTACTGAATTTGATTGTTTTCTAATTGTAAACGAATGGACTTGAAGTGAACTGTATGTAGGTGGATTAAAAGCAACTTTAACTGGATTGATTTAGTATTGAATGAACTGGGATGAACTGGATAGCGTGCATTTGGATTTCAGGTTAGAACTGTTCTTTTAGAACAGCGCCATGAAATGGTCTCACATGATATAAATAATTCAAATTGCATTAACCTGAACTTAGTGCAACTAAAAACATCAAAGGTTTTGATTAATAAGGACATTTAGGGAAAGTAAAAACATACAGCAAACTGACTTTAATTAGTAAAACCTGCTAGTTATTCAGATGTGTAAAGAAAACACTTGTGCTTCCAGTTCAGAGGGAAGTCAACAAACAATAACAGTTATTATAAATCAGTAATTGCTAGCATGACTAAAACATGGTGATAATAAAGTCTGTTAAATTATCCAGCAGTGGAAAAGAACAACATTAGTAGAATATTATTCGTTTATTCAGTGGCTGCAGCCCTAATAGTCAGTCAGATTAGACCATACCTGATGAAGAGCAACATCAGTCACCCAGTAGTTATTGTCCTTGTCTGTAGTTATACCATGGGGCAAGTAAAACCTAAAAACCACAAAATTATTCATTATCAAACAACCATTGTCTCTGTAATACTTACAATAGTATGACTAAAACACTGAAACACATTCTTACATGTTTCTGCCAGAAGCCTTCAGGATTCTGCCATTGGACGGGTCAACAGCTAAAATAGTGGACTGCTGAATAGGTCCCAGGGACCTCTGCAGGTACCTGGCCTGGTTGTTAAAAGAACTGAAAACACAAGCACACACTCACAAGTAAATAAATAAACCAGGTTTGTTACTTTTCATTCTGTTTTATTTCCACAGGACCTACAAATAGTTTTGTACTGACATTTATGTAAATGATAGAGGCAGAGAGATACCTCGCTAAAACTCTTTACACAAAGTCTTTCCTAAAAACAATATGTACTGAAGTCTTTCAACAAAATCTATAAATATAGAATTGGATCTGTCAAGAAAACAAGCCACTTACTCCATCCCCCAGCGGTGGTCGCCTCTGTGAAAAATGACCAGGTTAGAATTGGAGTCAAGAGCAAGTCCTGAAACCTGACCCAGCTGAAGAGAACTCTGGGGCCATGATGAGACCTGCTCCAGATGATAATCTACAAAGAGAAACACACCAGTCAGTTCACTCAGGGAATTTCAACACACACACACACACACACACACACACACACACACACACACACACACACACACACACACACACACACACACACACACACACACAGTTTTTTATATATATAAACAGAGAGAGAGGACCTGTAAGTGGCATTGACCCGATGGGATGGATTGCTATAAACAACACGGTGTAAAGGCAAACCAAACAGAGGTGTTATATTTTCAGGCATTCCCCATCCGATCGAGTCCCCCTGGAACATCCTGGTGTGAAAAAACCCTAACACATGAGTGCATCACCTCTAAAATAGGGGCACATCTACAGTCTATCCATTAATAAGTGTATTATAAACTCAGTTTTGTACTAAGATGTCAGAATGAACTCCTTTTTATTTAGCATCTCATTTCTTAAAAATAAAAGTTCCTGTGAGGAAAGAAAATACAGATGGCTTCGTAACATATATCCATAAAAATAGGAGCAAGTCTTAGGTCCAATCCCAGTACTCGCACTGCGCCCTGCGGTCTTCAGCAAAGTGCACTTAGAAAAAGTGTGCAGTAAGACTTCGAGTGCACAAGTGTGCAAATAATTGCCCAATTGAGAGAGACAGGGAGCATTGCGTCATCGACCGCAAAGCATGCCGGGATGCTGGTCCCTGTGATACTTTTTTAAAAACCTTTATTAAGAACTTTCAAACAAACAACCAAACAATTATTTGAAATACATTTACATTCATTGCTGCTTTAAAGTTTCAGAGCATCAACTAATCGTCTGAAAATCATCGCATTGACGCAGACTTGTGTGAAGTGCGGATCAAGGGCGCAAAAGAAGTGTGATCAACTTCTGCACTTGAGAATCGGGACACCCTACGCACTCGCACTTCTGGTCGGGATCGCGCAATTGAAATGCGCAAGGGTGGACATGCGAGTATTGGGTTTGGGCTTTACTCAAACACAAAAATACCACTTGCTTGCAATGATTTAGGTATGTACTGCCCCCTATTGCCAAGGAAAATACACACAGTCACTTTAAGGTTAGCAGCTAGAAATTTTGTCATCATCAATTTGGAAGTTGGAGTATTTTGAATAACTATCTCAGGTCAGAACAACTTTAAACAGATCTGTTCAAACCAAACATATAGCTTCTATTATGGAGTTTAACACTAGATTTGAATAACAACAATCCTAATAAATTTGCCAAAAGCAAAAGTAGGCTACACTGTGATTTTTCACTATTTATTACAAGCAGCGTCTGCCTCATTATCCCTGCCTGTGCCTGCTTTGAGATAAGTTTTCTCTTGAAACGTGTAAAAAAAATTCCAACATCAAAATGAAGCCTTGCAATCTGCAAGAGGAGATTTCGAATCCTCCTAAATGTTTGATGACATTTTAAAACTCCTCCATGAAACCTGTTTGCTTTTTGTCTCCAACAGTTTTAACCCACTGAGATCCTGGCTTGGGTCCCTGTTCCAGCAAACTTGATTCTCATTTATCAAACATAGCGTAGAATCCTTACTAAAACCGTACTTAAGCTCAGCAAAAAAAATGTTCTTACGCCAAGCAGGTTTGTTATCTATCAAACATGGAGTACGCACAGCTGCACGCAATCTCCGCTTCATAAATCAGAAACTATCTAGAAAGTTTCTCAGCTGCATTTTTAGTCACATCCCGCCCTCACCACGCCCACTTTCTGCCATAAATGGTCGATGCAAAGTGCCTCGTGGATCTCATGCATTTACATAAGCCGGCTGTTGCAGCATTTCGATCACAACCGCAGATCAAGGCAGATCAAGGAAGCACTATTTCACAAGCAGAAATTCAGGTACTTGTGGGTGAGGTGGAGAAATGAAAGGAAGTGTTTTTGCAAAACAAATAAGAGAAAATCCACGGAGTGGCACAGCGTTGCTGAAGCCGTCAATGTTGTGAATTCTTCAGAGAGATCTGTGGCGGATATAAAAAAAATTACCCGATCAGGATTCTATCCCCAGACTCCCAGGTGAAAGTCACGCGCGCTAACCAGTCAGCCAGATGGAGATCTCCCTTGTCCAAGTAGCCAGGGCGCATGATCAATTGGGCCACAGGACACACACTGTCACAGACGCATGACATTCTGTCTCAATCTGTCCCCCTGCGGATATTTGGCATTCCGTATTCTGCGCTTCAGGGTGTGTGTGTGTGTGTGTGTGTGTGTGTGTGTGCATGTGTGTGTACGCGCTTGTGTGTGCTTGTGGGGGGTCTTGTTTTATGTGAAAATGAAGCAGTACAAGTGATAATGCTGCAGGATTTCATAATTTTATCCTTCTCAGCAGCAGCACTGCAGGTGCTCTCCATGTCCAACATGTGTGTAAGCCAGGTCCTTAGTCAACTTAAAGTTGCGCACATTTTTCCGCTAAGTTTTTTTTTCATAAATCCCAAAGTTTGCGTGGAAAGTTGCTTAAGCAGTTTTTCAACCCCGTTTTGTGCGTAAGCAAGCTTGATAAATGAGGCCCCAGAACTCCTCAGAAGCATATTTACCCAACAATTTACTTTTAAAGCAGCTAAATATCTACAGCATACAGACCATGTGAAAACAGAGTTCCAGGGTGGGAAGACTCTGGTATTTAGAGAAAACAAGATGTGATTTGAGGCGTAGTCTCAATATGACAAAATGTTTTTTTTTACACAGTTTCATGGAAATTATCATTTAAAAGCTTCATTTAGCAAATTAAATTTTTATGAATTTCTTGTATCAAGCTAAGTTTACCCTATTTGCTATAAGTTTGCTATTTTTCATCGTTTCAGATGCAGTTCTGTTAGAATGTAAGGAAATTACCCTTTTGGAGAATGCGTGTGGTTTGTTTACGTCAAGACTTTGAACATACCCTGATCCAGAACCTTGTCTTCATCGCAGGTGTTCAAGAGTGGCGTTTCATCTTGAAAAATAAAAAGAAATTTTAGTTTTCATTTTGTGTGCATTTGAATATACCCTTAATGACCAGAACAACCGCTTGTTAACTCTGTCAACCAATCAGATGGTAGCAACTCAGTACATTTATGCACATAGACATGGTGAAGACAACCCGCTGAAGAAAAACATGGAGTATCAAAATAGAGAAGAAAGCAGATTCAAGAGACCTTTCTCCAGGCTAAGCCATGGTGCATCCTTGGCACATAGAACCCAACTTTTATTTGCTTCCAACATCGAATGAATCATGTAACCTTCTGGCGACCAACACCTACAAACTATCCAGTTATCTGAGATGAGCTTTTACACAGAGAACTTCTCAGACTTCCTGTGTACATGGCTTACTACTCTCATAGTTTAGGTTTAAAATACTACATTAGTATAATTTTGAAATAGATACTCTTGTGCAGAAAAGAAACATTAGGAACAAATGAAAGACTGAAGTGAAAGATTGTACCTGCAGTGTGCTCCATATGCATCTTAGAATTCATTTGAGGGACCGTGATGGGAACATTTGCCTCTGCAGGGATTGATCTAAACAGTTCCTTAGAGCCCGGTTCCATGCAGTTCATAAAGGGAATGGCATGTTTGCTTTCCATGTAATACATTATATAGAAGTTGCACATTTCATCAGCTGAGGTACCACTGCGACAAGAAAACAAGCACACAAAACTAAGTAAGAATACAGACAACAATGGTACTGGTTTCTAGTTTTCAGCTTTAAAAGGAAATATTATGACTTTTTTTTCTCTTAAGGTATAGTTCTATTTTCTGCACTATTTAGTTTATTGAGAGCTTGTACTGGTTTTAATGTGTTCAATTGTTACTGATAGCAGCTACATGTAAGTTTCAGTTGCCCTTTTGACTGACATGTTGCTGCAACATGTAGGTGTAGATTCTCATTCATCCTGCACATGATCATCCTGAGGGTTTAGTTAAAAACAGCTGGACTTGTCTGGTTATCTTGAAGAAGTTTTGCCTCTCACCCTAGAGGATTCTTGGGTTGTAAGCAGGAGGCTTAGACGTTGTGGTCAGAAACAAAAGCCGTTTTTACAAAACAATGCCCTCAATTTGCTGCAACGTTGTGGCGTCATATGAGAGCCTTAGGTTTTTTATAAGTGGTCAGAGTGAGGCGATAATGTGGTGCAATCGTGTCCTATTGACAAAAGATTACGCGATGGCGGTATAAAAGGGGTATGGGGGCGTTCTCAGCACTCCTGTTTGCCGTCTCAGCTGATTTTATTTGAAAAGCAAAACTTACAGCCCGTGTTTACTTTTATTTTCAATATAGTTGCCGGCTGTTCGGCAGTAGCTCCCTACAAGATTATGATACCGCCCTCTGTTGCGCCAAGGCACAATCGGCATACAGGCAATTACCGCAATATTACTACCAAGCGAGGCAGAACGAATGTCGCAAAATTTGCACATCGCCATGCCAGCACGGTGCATTTATTAGAAACACCACTGTGGTAATATGACGCTGATTTGCCGGCATGGTGTGTCTTGTGAAAAGTTGAAGAAGTTCAGACTATTTCACCAAGTAAGACCTATGGTTAGCTAATTTAAAATATGTAATGTTTTTGAACCCTGCCTCTTCAAAGAATCAAAAACGAGAATCGATAGGAACCGGAATTGAAACGTGGCTTGCCAGGCAACATAAAAATATAAGTGACAAAACGTTTCTTAACCCTCCCACTGTCCTAATGGGTGTGACCCCGTGAGGAAAGTTGACCATTGAGCAGGGTTGATGGTTTATCCCTTGGGTCCACGTGGCAGGGGTGAGGTGGTGCTCACTCCTCACTCCTCACCCCTGCCACGTGGACCTCAAGGGATAAACCATCAATCCTGCTCAATGGTCAACTTTCCTCGCGGGGTCACACCCATTAGGACAGTGGGAGGGTTAATTCAATTTTTAAAGCATTTCTAAGTGTTTCATATAGTGTGAAGAGCAAACGTGTTTTCTACATACCTGCATGCTAAATTTCACAAGCAATGATTATTAAATCCAAAACCAGTGAATCTATTATTGATATTTACACAGCAGAACCAGATTTCACCAATTGTCCCAATCAAACTATCAGAATAAATGTGAAAACAGATTGTTTCTGTAGTTGCACCCTCTAGACATAAACATATTTAATAAGAAAGATTTTTTTAAATGCTTTATGAAGAGGAGATGTTTTGAAATGTAGACGTTGAAATAGACACCAGATTTCCTAAATAATGACACAGCAGCCCCTTTAGCTCATGCTCCTTGGTGCTTACAAGCTAGAAAACAAAAACAACTTCATAAGATTTTTACTGTTTTTTCTGCATCTGTCTCACTTTCATCCTGATTTGTCAGACTAATGTTGATGAAGATCTTATTATAAATGAAGAAACATGTTCAAAATGCAGAATGGGCAAAAATGACCAGATCAAAAAGCATATTCACCCACTTTTTGTTCTTTTTTTTTTTTTTTTACAAAGTTTTGTAAAACTCACCCAATGTATGTTTTGGAAGATCTGCCCTCACCAGTAAACACACATCTGGCAGCAATTGTGTCACCGTACTGTACATTCACCTCTCTGTTAGCAGGATAGAACGCCTAAACAAAAAACACATTCATCCCTTAGCAAAGAAACAAACACATCCCCTTTCTGTTAGTGTAAGACTCTACAAAACAAAGCCAAACTTATGGGCTCGACACACGGGAGGTGACAAACGACCGCGATAAGCTAAATTTGTCACTGTCGCTTTTATTACCTGACACACGGGAGGCGATCCGCGGCAGCGGCCAGCGGCAAAGCCGTCTACGCGTTCTGTTCCATGGCGAAATTGAAACTTCCGTTGTTTTGTTTGGCTGTGTCAGGTTGGAGGGAATTAAGGTTATTTAAGCGGTTCAGAGTTAAAAAAAGTGATGTTTCACAAGATGCTGCTAGAGTTATGTGAAATCTTACTTCTGATTTTACTATATAAAACATAATAATAATCAACTTCTCCTTCATGTTTGCTCAGAGGTGTACGGAGCATCCTGTCCACTCATTGGTCAGTGAATGAAACCTCCGTTGATTGGTCCTCGTCCGAGCGATAGCGATGAAAAGTTGAAAATATTTCAACTTTCTGGGATCGCGTCGCTGGGTCACCTGTGCACGACACGTGCACGAGCGCAAAATTTCACACACACGTTTTTCGCGTTTGGCTTGGTAGGAGGGAGACCCGTGATTATCGCTTTGTCGCGCATGTCTCATTGAAAATGAATGGAGGAGAGGCGATGTCGCCTCCCGTGTGTCGAGCCCATTAGCCTTAGATTAGGCGGGTTTTTAAGATTAGAACTGATCTTTTTTATTTCCACAGGATGTTCAATCATCTCTGTGTAGCGTCCATTTCTGACCTAAAAGGCCCTGCTCTGTTTTTCTCTGCTCAAAGCAAAACCAGAAGTCTCTGACACAGAACTAATCTTCATGAGATATTACTCAAGGTCTCATGCATTTGCTTCTAAACTTCCAGCTCAAGAGAAGAATGAAGACAAAGGACTCTTTCTTTTAATAAATCAGAAGAACTCTATTTTTAATAAGCTAATCAAACAAAGTGTTAGTCAAATAATAAAATGTGAACCAATTTGTGAAATGAAAATGTTTATAATCAGTAGTTATAATAAGTAATATAACTTTAAATGTTTCCACTAGAGACTGATCCACGTAATGTTAAGTCACATGACACATTTCCTTTTCTGACCCAGTCAGACTCTTCCAGATCTGACGGAGGCATGGTTTTGGTGGTACTTGGTAAATCTGTCCCTTTTTGATTCAACCGTAAATCAAAACATCCAAATTATAAAACTATGCCCACGTCACCTTAAACTTCAGTTCAAAGCGTTCTAGAGAAGTTGTCGGAGTGGCCAATCCGTAACTTTCCTCTTCAGCCGAAAGAACCAACGACAAGCTGGATAAATCTGTTTCTGTTCCACCTGCTGCAACGGTTCCTTTCAGAATAAAAGCTGAACCGTTGACCCCTTTTTGGGTCTTGCTAGATGCCAATAAAACTGTCGTGACCTCAAGACAGGACTGGTCAGCAGCCGCGGCTGTGCTACGGGCTTCGGCTCCAGAAAGGTCCAAGCTGGACCTCTACACCTCCTGATCCAGACAGGGACTTTTGCCAAGGGTACGCAGACCGACAGAATGGCATCTCAATGTGAGTTATGAATCTCCAAACCAAAAGCTTAGTGCAAAACATCCTCTTCACTCCCATTAGAACTAATCATTTCTCCAGATTTGCTGGTTCTGAACAACATTCCAGACTACACCATTCTCCGTCTCACTTCACCTTAGTTGCACCATACTTTTAGTGTTTAAAGTTAGTCTAGTTTTAATTTGTTTAGTAATAAATCTTTAAACTTTTAAAACTTGACTCTCTTTCTTTTGTCTCTGAGTTAATACGAAGTGGTTACATAATCCCTGCAATAAAAAGTTCCAAACTTATGGTTCAAGTTATCCAAATATCCATAAGATTGATTTCATATTTCCTATGGAATCTCACATCTTATGGTTCATTAAATAATATGTTAATTTAATCGTTACATCTGTCATTGTGTGTTTTTTGGGAGGCTAGCAAAACTCCCATTAAGCTAAAGTTCATATGCAGAAGCGCTTTGAGCAGAGGTTACTTACCTGAGGTAACTGTGGAGATTGTCGTCCAATCAGGCTCCACTTTCCGTTCCGAATCCTGTAGCCACTTACTACTTTACCTGTGAAAACAAATCCCCTATCCACACATTAATTCATGGACATGAACAAAATCAGAAACAATGATTCTACTAACGTGACTCACCAAGGCTGTGTGTGTGTGTCCTGAAGGCAAACGGGTAGATTGGATATGAAGTATAATCACAAGCAACATCTGAATTTGTCACTACAAAAAGAAAACATTCATTTAAGACTGGCATTATTTTATAGTCCATGTCCTTTCATTTTATGCATTTCAGTTCAGTTCAGTTCTGTTTTGGCCAGGCGTACTGTAGATTAATGCCTCTATTGCACCTCGTAATTTTTATCTTGAGAGGCGCCATATAACAAAAAATGTATTTTTCTTCTTCTTTTTCTTCTACTTCTATTGTTTTAGTGGAGTATGAATGAGACTAAAAGTTTATAAAGTTATTTTAAAGGCAACAAGAAAAAAAACTGTTATTTGAATCTGCTTTTTCAGCTTTTTATGTCCCATAACACCTCCCAGAAGGCAGGGTGATGAAATAATTTGTTAGCATGATGAAAGATGTTCTTGATGGTTCATGTTGATTTGATGCGCTGTGAGGTGGAAAGGTAAGCAGTCACTGTTGGCCTCATCTGTCTACAGCTAAGCAGCCCCACTGTAATGGAGAACCTTCTCATGGTGGGACAATAGGTCACCTACAAGCGCTTCTTTGAAGCTGCTATAATGGATTTGGAAAACAAATTAACTTACGTAAAACATTTTTTCATGCCTCTTAACAAAAATCTAACAATGAAAAAAATTAATAAATTGGTTCTCTCACATTTGTCTAAAAAACCCCACCAATAACACTTTTGGAACCCATCCATTGGTTGGTCTCGCAGAACTGCCGCACTTCCCTGGGTCCTCCATTCATTACGCACTTGTGTATTTATTCAAAACTCTTTCTCTTACTATTTCTAAAAAGGGGGTGGGTGCCTAGTGTTAAGAGTCATGATGTTGTTTGTGTTCTATCTGTACAGAACCTGGACCTCATTCCTGTGGGTGGAACCATCTCCATCCTCAATAAAACAGTCACTGTGGTGTCATCTGCAATTCTGATGATTATGGAAATCTGAAAAGGAACTCGTCAAAAATAAATAAATAAACGACTTTCTCCCAGGCCTCGGTAGTCCAATCTCTCAACCTTTTGCAGAATCTCAGCCTGTCCCCAATTGGTTTTAGGGCACTGAGAGAAAAGGCCTCTATGCTTTCTTAATATCAGACCATCCTCAAAAAAGTCTCCTCACCATGTTTCCTCTGCGGTCTTCCTCACAAATTGAATGGAAATTAACTTTTTGAGATTGAGTTCATTGTCATGGAAAGGGAAGCACAGTTTTTAGATAAATAAATTGCTCAAATCATAACATAACACTCTTGTTAGGTTCATACATACCACCATGACAGAAGCCAGCAATGATAGAAGAAAAGCATCCTAATTTAGACAACTATAAAAATGGGCAAAAGGCACACCTCTTTTTCCTGGAAGGATGACCGTGTCCATAGAAATGAGCAGGTACATGCCAGCAATGAACGGCTGCCTTTAGGAAGGAAAATTAAAACAAAACTGGTTAGTAAAATGTGAGCTCTAATGTCCCACATGACAACTGACTGAACAATCATGTCTGTGTACATTTCTGTGAACACCCCAACAGTAGACTGTCCGGTTCTAACACTATACAGGTGACAAGAGAAGCAGGCACTTAGGATGCATGGAGCAAAATATTTTTTTAAAGATTACAAGTAAAAAATAAAAAACACAAACATGTGGTTGCTTTTGCACAGCACTGAAATGATTCCCAGAATTTAGCTCAAACATGGACTCCACTTAGTCCAAACTTACGGTTTAGTAGTCATTTTTAAACTTAGTCCGGAGCAGTCTATGTGATGATCTGTAAGACAGTAGAGGGTGTATTAATTTTCTTTCCAACATTATTGGTCCAACTGCCTCACCAATCACCTGTACTATGTTACAGGACTGAGTGTCTGACAAACTGATCTGTACTACGGGGTACCACAAGAAGGTTCTGGCTTCCACCCTGAGTGCTACAGAGTCAGGGTCAACTCTGTATTTAAAACTTTAGGTTACTGTCGTAACTCCGGTTCTCTGAGTAACATGAGTGAGATGTCTCACTATGGGATACGCCCCTCCGCGGATTCCTCAGAAGCACGTATCTCAATACGCCAATCCTGATTGGCCAGTGACTGTGACGTACGCGTCACCTGCTACTATAAGTAGCAAGCGTCCCAAAGCGTGCGTCATTCAAGATAAACACCTCTTCTTGCTTCGCCCAGCAAGAAGGGTTGTCTAGTAAGACATCTCACTCACGTTACTCAGAGAACCGGGGTTACAATAGTAACCTAAAGTTCTCTTTCTTAACATTCGTTTCAATGTCTCACTATGGGATATGGAGACTCCCGTACTGCCAGACAGCTTATCCAGCGATCACCAACCTACAGGGGTACGTCTTGGCCTGCTGAGGACCCCACACCCAGAATCGTGTGGGTCATAGCAAGGACAGAGACGTCAAGCTTATAGAAGCGTGCAAATGAAAGTGGAGAAGCCCAACTTGTTGCAGCACAAATCTCCTGGACAGACAGCTCTTGAAAAAGGTCCCAAGAAGCAGACAGGCCCCTAGTAGGATGGGCCCTGAGCCCTACAGCTGCCTGAATGCCCTGACAGGAGTAAGCCAGAGAAATAGCCTCCACAATCCAGTGGGAAAGCTGCTGCATTGTGACAGGTTTTCCCTTACAAGGTCCTCCCCATGACACAAAAAGCTGGTCCCCCATGCGAAAGTTCCCTGTCCGATTAACATACTCCTTGAGCGCGCGATTCGGACACAACTTGTGCAACCGCTCCTCCTTAGGAGAGGAGAAGGGTGGTGGGTAGAAAGCTGTGAGGAGAAAAGGAGCCCACTACCTTAGGCACAAAGGCAGGGTTGGGCTTCAGGGACACCCTCATGTCATCTGGTGCAAACTGGGTGCAGGATGGGAGCACAGAGAGAGCCTGTAAGTCACTGACTTGCTTTGCAGATACCAAAGCCAGGAGTAGCACCACCTTAAGAGACAGTATCTTAAGGTCCAGGCCATCCATAGGCTCAAATGGAGGCCCGGAGAGGGCCTTCAGCACCAAGGACAGATCCCATGAGGGCACCAGGGGTCGAGACACAGGGAGAAGCCTGAGTGCACCCCTCATGAAGCTACACACCAGGGGGTGTTGACTTGCCAATTTCTTCCTAAAACCCGAGCGTTGGGCGGAAATGGCTGCTAGGTACACTTTAATGGTGGAGAAAGCCTTCTTCCCATCCATCAATTCTTGCAGGAAAGACAGAATGACATTTACTGGGCACTGGGAGGGTGAGATATCCCTGCCCTGGCACCAAGCTTCAAACACCCTCCATGAAGATGGAAGATTGAGCTGCCAGCTTGGGACACTAGGTTCCTGCGAGGTGGCAATTTCCAAGGTTGGCCCTCTAGGAGCTGGAAAATGTTCACCAACCAATGCATGGCTGGCCAGTATGGGGCCACCAGAATGAGTGTGTGGCGCTGAGCTCGTACCCTCAGCAAGGTGGGTGGTATCAAGGCCACTGGGGGAAAAGCATGAAGCAGTGCCGATGGCCAGTCGTGCGCCAGCGCGTCCATGCCGAGTGGAGCGTCTTGGTCACGCAGGGAGAAAGACAGTGGACACTGAGCATTCTCCTTGGAGGCAAAAAGATCCAATACGGCTTTGCCGAACCGGATCCAAATTTGTTCCAACACTGCTGGATGCAGGCTCCAATCTCTGTACAGGGGTATCCCTCTGGACAACAGATCCGCCCCCCGATTCAGAACACCCCAGACGTGGGTGGCTCTGATCGAGAGAAAACGTCTGCTGCACCATTGGATCAGTCTGCGTGCCAGCGTGTGTAACGGCATGGAGCGCAGCCCGCCCTGGTGGTTTATATAAGCCACAGTCGTGGTGTTGTCTGTTCTCACTAGGACATAATGGCCAGAGAGAAATGGCAGGAAGCGCCTCAGGGCTAGAAAGACCACGATGAGTTCCAAATAATTTATGTGTGTTCCCCAGAGCTCTCTGCTCCACACACCTTTGACAGAGCGACCTTCCAGGAGACCCCCCCCCCCCCCAACCTGACAGGCTTGCATCCGTTGTGACCACTTTCCTCACGAGAACCAACCCCAAAGACATCCGCTGTGCCAAGAGGGAGGGGACGCACGCTGCAGAGACCGTCACCCTGTGCGCTCTGTGGCACGCTGGAGAAAGTCCCAAAGAAGCCACCCAGCGTTGAATATCTCTCATGTGTGGACAGCCAAGTGGTACTACTGAAATAGCCGACGCCATGAGACCCAGATGTCTGAGGCACAATGCAAACCGCACCGAACTGTGTAGGCAGAAGAGCGCCAGGCAGATTGAGAGCACGTTCACGCGCAGTGCCAAGAGACGGGCCGTGAACGCCTCTGAGTCCAGATTCAGACCTAGAAAGGTTATTTTCTGAGAAGGGAGTAAAACACTTTTCTGCAAGTTTATTCTGAAACCCAGACCACACAAGTGATGGATCACAACCAACGTGTGTGACGTGGCCTCCTCTCTGGACCGTGCCAACAGAAGCCAGTCGTCTAAATAAGTGGCCAGTCGAAAGCCCCCCTCTCTCAGTGGGGCAATTGCCGCCTCTGTACACCTGGAAAACACCCTTGGGCTCAGCGAGAGGTCGAAGGGGAGCACGGTGTATTCGTAACACATTCCCTGAAAGGCAAACCTCAGATATTTCCTGTGTGGAGGGTACACGGGAATGTGAAAGTATGCGTCCCTCAGGTCGATTGTAGTGAACCAGTCATTCTGGTGAATCAGATGCAAAAGGGTTGAGAGCGAGTATTTTGAATTTGTACTTTCTCAGGGATTGGTTCAGGGCCCTCTGATCCCGGATCGGGCGAATACCGGTCCCCCGGCCAAAAATTCCTTCAGGCACAATTGGCATGTCCAAAATGTCCTCCTTCTCTCTATCAGAGAGGTTGGTGAGGTTCAGCCATCGTGTACGTTCCTGAAGCACCATCATGCTCAGGGCTTTACCCGTGGCCTGGACTGCACAGCACTGCACCCGCAAGCAGATGTCTGTCAGCACGGTGATTTCCTCCCACACCTCCGGGTCCTGTTTCGTATTCATGTCTTCACAGAGCTTGGCTTGGTACGCTGAGAGCATGGAGGAGACATTCAAAGCTCAAACCAGGCAGGCGGCAGCCTTGTACGCCCTCTCATTTAGCACCGACTGGAAGCGGTCCGTCTTTGCAGGGAGAGCGGGAGGTCTGGAGGACATTGCAGAGAGCCGTGGGTGCAGGTGGGCTGCAACCAGCAGTTCCATCGGCTTATGCATACCAACGAAGTCCAGCGAGGAGGCTTCTTGGACAGGAGACCTGGAGCTGAAAGGGTGTTTGTCCCAGGATGATCTAACCTCTTCGAGGAGCTCCGGGAAGGCGGGCAGAAGAGGCTTTGCCGCCCTTGTGGCCTGAGGAAGCTTCTTTCCCTCGTAGTGGGATCTGACAGCTTCAGTGACCACGGTGGGCCAGGGGATGTTGAGCCTGGTTGCAGCGCATCTGCAGACTGACTGCATGTCCAGGTGGGCGGCCGGAGAAACCGCTTCATTCCTGGGGAGAGGACGGAAAGCTAGGCATAAAAGCCTGAGCGAGGGGGAGAAAAACGTCATCATCCTCGTCCTCTTCTGAAATGAGGAGTTCCGAGGTGTCCTCGTCATCTCCGTAGTCCAACTCCAACACGTCCTTGACGGGTTGGCTCGGAACTGCCAGCTCGAGCTGGGAGCCCCAGACGGGCTCGGCACACGGTTCCGGGAGGGCATGTTTGTCGGCGTCCCCAGGTGATGGCCCAGGGGCCGGCAGGCATGGGTCCTTCCCCGACAGGCTAGCTTGAAGCGTTAGCCGCCGGCGAAGGCTCTTCAGGGTGAAGCAAGCACAGCTCTCACATGACCCGGGAACTTCTAATGCTAGCTGGGCATGTTCCAGCCCAAGGCAGCCCGAGCAGACCTTGTGTGGGTCTTTGCTCGAGATTTTTTTCCTGCAGGTACAGAGGCGAGCTGCTGCGCCATCAACTCCTCTGGTGGGAGGAGCGGCTCCCATGTGAACTAACTGGTGTGAACAGGTGCACTGGGGTGTGCTGTGCCCCGAACCTATGGTGAAGGTCAGGACAGTAAGTTAGCGTTCAGCGATGGGGAGAAAATATTAGCTGGCTCCGTCTGTGAACAGTTGAGCTAACTTACCTGAGAGATAAGCGACCACCGAAGCGAGAAGAGGTGATTGAATGACGCGGGCGTTGGGACGCTCGCTTCTTATAGTAGGTGACGCATACGTCACGGTCACTGGCCAATCAGGATTGGCATATTGAGATAAGTGCTTCTGAGGAATCCGCTGAGGGGCGTATCCCATAGTGACACATCGAAATGAATGTTAAGGAAGAGAACATTCTCTGGTGACTTCACATGTGAAGATGGCAGAGTGTGGATGAATGACATAGGACTTTGCGGTCTGGTACCACCAGAACCACCTCCTACTGGTGGATTACTACAAGCTCAGCAATGATGGTCAAAATCCAAAGAATGGACATCTGAGAAACTGAATCTTCAGTCAGGTCCTTCAAGATGCTTTCTACTCATTTACACTGTTCATCTGATGCTGGGACATTATTGGTCTTCTTTTTTCTTTTTTTAAAGCATATACTGTACATATATCAGACAAATACAAGCAAAAACTATCAATACATACAAATAAGATAAAATAAAATAAAAGCTTTGTAAAACGCAATAATCTGTTTTTTTAAACCTGTGCTCAGTAATGTACCTTACATAAAAATTTATGACAAAAAGACTGATTTCCTCTGTAAAACAAAGCTTCATTTGTTTCATTTATTACTTTTCAGAGGGAAAGTCTTTCTTGAAAAAAGTCTTGTTACTGACATTACATTATTAACAGAATTTTTGATCATGTAAGAACTGAATACTTTTTAGCACTTACCTCTGAAGGAGCTGACGTCTCCATAATGAATCTGCAGCACAAAATAGGCCATTCCTGAATTTTTTCCAACTCTAAAACCAACATCTGATGAAAAGACAAAAACAATCTGTTCAGAAATCATATCAAAGTAAAGACAACAAACAAACTAAACCAAATAAAATAACATAAAAATAATTAAACAGATTTTTTGGGGGGGGGGCCTACGTGTTCCTTCCTCCAGTCCTGGGGCCAATCCTAGTGAAGTCTATGGGCTAGACCAAGTCACATGCTAGCATATAACTTTAAGTTAGAGAAGAGGTGTAATAAAATAGGTTATCAATCACCTATGTGAGTCTTACCTTTGGGTAGTTTTGTTGGAGGTGCATTCCGTGCCCAGGCATACATAATAGAGGCTTCATCCTTACAAGTACCTTGTGAACTTCCGCAGTCCCTGCAGAAAACAAAATAAGAAGAAATACATTACTCCCAATGCTTACTGCAGAATCTGGAAGGAACAAAACATACAGGCACACCTAAAACAAACAATGACAGGCTATTTATAGACAACCAACAACCAAACCCAAAAGGTTTTATGGTTTTGTAAATCTATTCTTCAACAAGGGGTGTTGCTGGAGATAAAATCTGAGAAAAAGCTGAGGAAACACCCTGCTGACATGCAGGCCTTGAAAGCAGGTAAAGAGATCCAGAGCTTTAAAATTAACCCACATAAACCAGCATGAGTATTCCATCACTTTTCCATAGTTCACGGACAATAAAATGGACTATTTATAGCTACAATTGCAAACAGTGTGTGAATGAGACCACTGTTGTGTTTTCACTGAAAGCTGGCTCCACCTAGTCTCTAGTTTTGCTCTCTATCTGGACAGACTAACACCCACCAATGCAGACAGAGCAGTGGACAGATCCAGTAAGTCCTTAAAAGGTATACTGTGTGTGAATAATAACACCAACATGGTGATACAGTGTAGCGGAGACAATCTACATAACTAGAATTTAACGCTGTGCTATTCAGATTCTGAGAAAGATCAAACAATTTGGCTTATGAACTTATATTTATATATTTATATATTTATATAATCGATAGAAGTTCATACACCAACTGGCTTGGTCTATATTTAATCCAAATATTAATATTTAATTTAAGAGATTTAAATTAATAGCAAAAGTTTATTCATTAAATCAGAAGATTTAAAAGGAATCTTTGCTCGTTCAATAACCAAATATACACCATTCTGTGTTTCATTTCAAAGAAGAGTCAGGTTTAAAAAGTTAAGAATTTATTGCTAACAATTTAAAGATGACAATTTAAAAGACAATTTATAAATGATAATTTTATAAAAACTTTGATATTAAAACTTGGTATTAAAAGCAACCTGTGTCTGAATGAAAACTAAAATAAAATGTGTGTGTTTGGATGTGTGAATGAGAGGTCTCAGAAAGGTTTCTATCAGAGAGAGAAAACGCGTTCTGGGTGAAAGAGTTGTTTTGCAGCTGAACTAAGTTATTTCTTAAAGAAACAGCATTCGGACGCAATCTGTCGGAAGTGTCTACCTCACCCAGTTAGGAGACCCCCTTCTGGATCCGAGATGTCAGGTGGGATGATGAACCCCCAAGCAGGAGGTGGGTAGAAGAACCTTGGTGCGACCAAATTGGTCCTGAGATGTCTCCGGGTCACAACGATTGATGAAACTGATTGCGTCTCAAAAATCAATAACTCTGAAGGAGTTTTGCGTCAGCTGGTTGCAGGTGGCGTTTATTGGAGCAACTCTATCGGCGTGACAGAACAGCTTAGTGGAGGCTTCGAGCGGCCGTCTCGATCCTCTGGGACTCTCGTGCCACGGAGAGCTTTTTGGTGAGCTCAAGAAACCGAACTTGAACTGAGGAGATTAGGTTTTAAAAAACCTCAGGACATGCCCTCTCAGAGATAGAAAGCTTTGGTTATGGAGCAAAGACATGTGAGAGCAGTTACCTTTAACCTGAATTCAGTGTCCTGCGTGGATGACCTTCTTTACACTGTTAAACATTACTGATTATCATAAATCATAATTATTATTAACCCACGAATAATAATTCATTTGAGTAATTAAATACATTTATAATGAACCATGATGATTATTTATGAGCCTTGTAATAGGACAGTGAAAAGAGTTTATTAAAAATGATTCTTTTAAATCTTGAAGTGTCCTTCATCTTGCGGACGGAACAGCAGTCAGATAAAAGGCAGTCAGATTAAAGATGGTTTACAGCAGACTTTATGTCTCCTGTGATGGACAATCTGTAAATAGAAGTGTAGCCAGGACAGCGTGACCCAGCTGGGGAAGTGTGACCTTTGGGTCACAAATGAGGCCATTCATGTCGCTACAACAGCAACAGTGCAGTTACGACATCCTTCTCCCTTCACTGCCACTCTGATAGTAGCTGTGTACGTTCCTCCCAGCTATACACCAGGAAGCTCCGAACCAACAACTTACATCATCGAAAACTTGAATCAGCTGATAATGATAGTTTGATTGTGTTTGGTGATGATTTTAATCATGCAAACTTAAAAACTGCATATTCCTTTCGTTACCAGAGGGGCAAACACACTGAGTCTGGAGTTTACAAAGGCAGCTCCTCGACCACACCTCAGAGCATAATATCATGTTTCTCTTATGTATGTCTCAGCAAACAAAACTGCAGTAGGATTCAGAGTCTGGCCTGTAGCAGCATTATTACTTCATTATCATGTGAGTACACTAACTCAATTATAGTCTGCATAGATAATTGCATGAGTGACACTACACTCAGCAGTACCAACATATATGTATATGTGTGTGTGGTGTGTGTGTGTGTGTGTGTGTGTGTGTGTGTGTGTGTGTGTGTGTGTGTGTGTGTGTGTGTGTGTGTGTGTGTAACGTCACATAATGGCCTAGTTTTAAGACTCACAGGTCAGATACACAGCCTGGGTCACCTTGCCCTGGTTACTACTCCAACTTGCAATATAGTCCTTCACAGGAGACTTAAAGTCTGCTACCATTCCTTTAATCTATGCAGCTGTCTGCTTATCTGACTACTATTCCATCCACAGCAAGAAGAGGACATTTCAAGATTTAAAAGAATCATTTAAATAAACTCTTTTTACTGCTAATCATCAAGGTTCATTATAACTAGGGTTGTGACGTAACCGGTGTAGGGATAAACCCCGGTAAAAAAGTTATAATAATAACCGTCTTGTTTTTTAAAAAAATTATCTCGGTGGATTACCGTGGCTGCGGTGTAGGCGCGGTGACCCTTACCAGCCACCGTATCATCTGCTGAAGTCGCCGGCGGTACATGCACACTTTGATGTTTACAACCAAAACTTTCTTGAAGCTAAAGCTGAGATAATGACCAAAGGAGGAGACGGCAGCGCGCAGGACATTTATTATACCTCAAAGAAGACAAAGTGGGAAGTATGGGCATCTTTTGGATATTTGAAGAATGCCGAGGGACAGTTGATAGAAGACGGCTATCCTGTTTGCAGCACGTGCAGAAAAAGTGTCTGTGAAAGGCAGCAACGCTTCAAATCTCATGACACATCTGCGTGACCATCACCCACAACTCTACAGTCAACGCAAGGCAAGCTAACGTTAGCATTTTAGCTAAAATGCGTGATCCGAGGATTTGGGTTGAGGGAGAATGCAACGAGTCGCTATATAAAGCAGCCGCAGCGCCGCTACCTGCATATAAACCATGCACCCCCAAATTGAAATTACGCTATGCTTAGTCAGCTCACACAGGTCACAGTAACTAAGTTAAAGGTAACTTGCGCTCACATGATCTTTTCCCATAACACCAGAACGGCTGCCCAACCTTCTCTAGAACTCACTCGCAAATGACGAGAGTTCTGTTTTAAAAGTTGGCTATTATCATTTCTAACGAATCAGGTTTTGACATGTAGAAGGACGGTTTAACAAACCCTCAGAAACACGCCTCCCTGGTGATAGAAAGTTCTGGTGTTATGGGAAAAGATCATGTGAGCGCAAGTTACCTTTAACTTGGTTATTGTGACCTGTGTGAGCGGACTAAGTGCACATGATTCTTGTCATAGTTAAACATTACTGATTATCATAAATAATTATTAACCAAAGAATAATAATTCATTTCAGTAATTAAACACAGTTATAATGAACCTTGATGATTAGCAGTAAAAATAGTTTAAATGATTCTTTTAAATCTTGAAATGTCCTCTTCTTGCTGTGGATGGAATAGCAGTCAGATAAGCAGACAGCTGCATAGATTAAAGGAGTGGTAGCAGACTTTAAGTGTATTTATTTATGTATCAGCCCTGGTTTGTCATACACCATCTTCTCAAAGATGTTATCTAAATAATGAATTTAATCTTAAACAAAATTTGACACTTCCTGCTTGTATTTTGATAGTAATTTGCGTATTACCAATAACCAGCGGTGGAGACAGGGGTCCGGCAGCCAAACAGCAGCATATGATGAACTGTGTTCATACTGGCATGAGGTATAAAATCCACTGAGGAAGAAATACATTTGGGTTAGGAGGTGTCATGTTGATTAAAAGTCATTCATTATTAAGTTAATCAACTTCTTCTCCATCTGAGCTCTTAATCCCACAAGTCTAACTGTGACTTTGACATAAACCATAAAGCCCCAGCCTAAACTATTTAAAGAGCAAGTCACCCCCAACCGGAGTCTTACTCAACCCACACTTCCTGTTTGAAAAAAAGGAGGCGTGGCCAGCAGACAGAGAGCTGAGACCCTCATGCACGCTCTCAAGAGCTTCACCAACATACATACACACAGCTCAATCAGTGAGCAGACAGAGAAACAGCAGCCCACTGTAGGACTTCTGTCCACCTTCTCCATCAGAGGAAAGGCAGGAGGAAGTGTTATTTGAAGGAGGCCAATAGCTCTGAGCCTTATTGTTTCATAAGTGGCAGAGCCAGCTGGAGGTGTGGCAGAGACTCGACTGCAGTGCAGAGAGGTGCAGCTGATATAATACTGGCAATGTCACTCAGTACCTCTAAAGCCTAGTTTATGCTTCTGAGTCAGCTCCACGATGGAGAGACGCACATACATTGACGGAGACATTTTGCTCTCGGACTTCTCCGTCTCCTGGGGAGTGTTGAAAAGCAATTGCCCGCCAGGACAACAGAGGGCGTAGCGCTGTTTTGGGGTATCTGTCGTATCCGGTCCAAGATTTACTATTGTGTTTATATTGTGTTTTTGTATTTCAGACACTTTTTAACACGGACAAATTTGTCCTTCATTCTCTTCCACGTCTTCATGTGCTCGCTACCTCTAAACCCACGTTTCCCATCATTTCTATCTACAAAGAAAATGCTTGCTGCACATCATACACTCCTCCAGTCACAGCTGAATAAAATGTTCATATTCTTAGAGTTTTTCTGTGAGGTATTCTTCAACCTGCTCCATGTCTGCCGCTAGATATCTTCCACTTTCTTTGTTTTTGAGGGTGCTGTTGACGAAAGCGGCATCCTGACCAATCACAAGCTTGCGTTCTTCGTCTCGTTTGACGGGCGTTTAGAAAGTGGGCTCGACTCGATAATGGCGTTGCGTGTCTCTGTACCGAAGCTGAAGCATAAACTAGGCTTAAGCCAACAGCAATGGCCGATTCAATGTGGTGCAGAGCTTTAACCTGAAGAGGGTACGATAATGACTGCTTTAGGCAGAATTTTTTAAATTTTGAATAACATGCAGTAAAATGCCTAAATAATGACTACACAAGTCTACAACACTTTTAGACACACAATAATAACAACAACAACAACAACAATAATAATAATAATAATAATAAAGTTTGTCAGCAAAAAAGTTTATTTGGGAGTGACTTGCTCTTTAAAATAAATGCACATGTTTTAGTCCTACATGTCAGGTGTTTGTACATTACAGTGAACATGATACAACAGATTAGGGTTGTCACGGTAACCGGTATAGCGGTAAAACCCGGTAAAAAAGTTGACAATAAAAATAACCGTCCAGTTTTTAAAAAACTAAATTATCTCGGTGGGTTTACCGTGGCCGCGGTTTCGGCGCGGTGACCCTTACCAGCCACCGTCGCTTCAGCTGAAGTTCCCGCGGCGCGCACACGCACTTTTTAGTTTGCAACGGCACCAAAACTTTGAAGCTGAAATAATGGCCGAAGGAGGAGACGGCAGCGCCCAGGACATCCATCAACCCTCAAAGAAGACTAAATCGGAAGTATGGGCATATTTTGGATTTCTGAAAAATGCTGAGGGACAGTTAATGGAAGACGGCTATCCCGTTTGCAGAACGTGCAGGAAAAAAGTGTCTGCAAAAGGCAGCAACACTTCAAATCTAATGGCACATCTGCGTGACCATCACCCACGTCTCTACAGCCAGTGCAAGGTAAGTTAACATTAGCATTTTAGCTTAAATGCATGACGCGAGGACTTTTGGTTGAGGGAGAATGCAACGAGTCACTATATACTGCAGCCGCAGCGTCCTCTGCCAGCATTTAAACCGTGTCACGGACACCCTGTTGCTGGATGAAGCATCTTATTTGTTGATGATGAAGAGAAATATACAATTAGTTCCTTGTCATTGATTTGTTTACTTATTCAATGCCATTTATACTTGAACATTTGGATTTGATTACATAGTGTAGTAGTTATTTTAGTAATTTGTTTAAAGTGGCTATTTATTTTAAATACATATTTTTTAAGGTTGACTTGTACAGTGCTCAAGTCAAGTGTGGACTGGAGTTTTAGATTTTCATTTTGATAATGAAGAAAACAAGTATATGAGAAAACAAGTGGTGTTTATTTGATTTGTTTACATATTGTTTATGTTTCGAATGTTTGGATTTGTATAATTTAAACCTGCACTGACTACTGTAACATGTTCCAGAAAAAGAAGCTATTTGTTCCTTTACTTGTGAAAAGTTGCACTTTTGCTAAGGCTTTGTGTTATTTTAGGTTTAATAAACACTGTTAAACCTTTTCAGAACTATTTCAGTTTGTGTAGAACAGGACTATCAATGCTTTCTGAACATATGCAACACCGTTTAAAAAATACCGCGATAATACCGAAAACCGTGATAATTTTGGTCACAATAACCGTGAGGTTAAATTTTCATACCGTGACAACCCTACAACAGATTTACTCACCAATATATGCATCTTGACTGGTTGGTACAGGAAATGCGGTACAAAGGTAAGTGTCCGACTGAAATACAAAAACAACACCACGATGATAATTACAGTGTTATACAGAGCAGCCATCAACTACAATACAGCATAGAAACATGTCAGTTTCCTGCTATGCATCTATTTAGTCAGCAGGCTGGCACTGTGATGTTGTCATTTATGCTAGAATAGAATAGAATGACTTTATTGTCTGACACCAAGTGGCTACATAAATTTGTCTTTCAACATGGCTCATCATCATCTCATCATTCACACTTTCATAGAACAGTAAATACAATAAAAAATCATAAAAAAACTAAAAACACAAATATGAGCTTTAAAGCCATAAAACCAAAGATGCAACTATATGCCTAAAACACATAAAATCATTTGCGGGTTATTGAAGTTCTGTGTCTGTTGAGGGCTGTGATTGCTGATGGGATGAATGCTTTCTTATGGATAGTTTTTTTGGACAGTGGGATTCTGTATCTCCTGCCTGATGGGAGAAGACTGAAGGACTGGTGGGGGGGATGAGAAGGTTCCTCTGTGGTCAGCGTGGCTTTCCTGCTCACAGAGCGCTCATGCAGCAGGGAAAGAGGGGGTTTGTAGTGAACTAATTATTTAGCCTGCTTGATGTGTGATCCGTTGCAGTTTATTGTTGTGTTTACAAGTGAGATAGATGTACCAGGATGTAATGTTAAACATTAAAATGGATTCTATGATTGACCGGTAGACCCTAGTTAAAATGTTTTTCCTGACATTAAAATCCCTTAATTTCCTGATGAGATGGAGGCGCTGGAGTGCTTTATTGTAAATGGAATCTGAGTGTAGCTAGCTGATTTTGTTGTTACAAAACCAAAGTAACACATAAACTATCATCATCTACAACTAAATGATTGTAAATGTAAAGCACATGAAGTCTGATTACACTGAAAATAAAATAACAAAAGAAGTGCGACAGAAACAAGGGATAATGGTACAACATCACAATGTTTGTTTATTTAAGTTCAGACAGTAAGAAGGAAAACTAGTTATTTATAAATGGCTAAAGCATTTTGTCATAAATAACCCAAACGTATATCTATGTTTTTATTATGGCTGTTGAAATCAATACTTTCTACAGTCAACATCGAAAAAACAGACTGTCAATGTGATACACAGCAAAAAATAGTTTTCAAGGAGATGGCCTTGTTTTTAAACATGTTACTGTATTTTTATTCTAAAAGGAAAAATGTTCTTATGTACAAAAAACAGCAAGTCCTTAAAATAAGCTTTAATGTGATCACATGTTCTTGTTTTGAGTAAAGGAATCTACTAATGGGATGAGCAATTAAAAAAAGAGAAGTCTAATGTTAGATTTAATTGCCAGTTTTACGAAAACTAGCCAAGCAACTTTTGTTTAACGCACTGGCAGATAAAATTTGATTATATTTAAGAACTTTCACCTTATTGCAAGTTGTGCTTTTTTTTGTACATAAGATTTTTTTTTCTTTTTATACCAAACGACAAGGTGAAATGTCAAAAAACAAGGCTGCTGTAAAATCACTCATTGTGTTGTTAAAAATAATTTGATTTGCACCAATTAATATTATTATTTTAACAAACATAAAAGCCAATCTGAGAACTTACTGATGTTTGTGGGATGTATTTCTGTCTTTTAGTATATCGGCTGCTTTAAAAGGAATGAACAACAAACTGGGTCAGGGTTTAGAAATTAGGCCTAATGCATGGAGCTTTGTAGGAAGGGCGTGGTACCTAAAAAACAACTTCAGACCCACTGTTTCAACATTCATGATCCGCTGTCACCTAGTGACCACAAGTCTGGAGTAGTGCATCACTGTCCTAACCAGGCTTAGTACCCACACCCCTTAGGAGATGTTGATGTTTCCTGCTAAATGTGATGCAAACAGCTCCATTTTAAAAAAAAGACCGGATGATTTACATAAACATGAGCTGGCTTTCTTATAACTGCAGTGCAGAACCACATTCAGATTCTGTTTGTCAGCAGAGCAGTATGATGAGAAAATGCCTCTTGGGAGGTTTTTCTTTTTAACATATGGAGACACAAAAGCCCAACATGAACTCACAATAGATGAACACTTCTGTCGGTAATTCAGGACTGAGTGGATTAGTTTACTTTTTGTAGTGAACTTCTGACGTTTAACATCCCAGTTTCCCCAAAGTAATATCATTTAATTTAATAAAAGCCTCACCTGAGTTGGCAAAACACCAGGCATTCGAATATCCACAGAGAAGTTGTGAGAATTTGGGAGCTGCTGTGAGTTGCTTCTGGATGCCAAATCACTAAGTTTTAGGACATTTTCCTGAAACCTTAGGGAGGAACAGATAAACAATGAGGGGTGCTTCGTTGTTTACAGGGAAACACTGAGTAGTTGACAGAATACAACAAATATTTAGTAGCTAAATATAAGAACAACATTTACTAAACCTTCCTAGAAACATGATGAAATGTAGAAAACTTAAAAAAAAATAGACCAGATCTTTTAGCGTGGGTTAGGGTGATATCTTATCAGTAGTGTGAGAGGGCTATGGCATATACAGTATTTGACTTGAGCTTTCCTTTGAGTCAAAAGCAGTTAGAGGTACTAAAGTTTATTTTAAAAAAGGATGTTTTTGCATGTACTTTGACGGTGTATGGTGGACTGCCTCGTGACTGACATCTGTAGCGGTGAGTATGTCACATTGTCCAATAGCATGTGGAGACAGTTTGAAAGACAACTGTAGATTATTCCCCACGACTGAGATCTGTCAATAGACCGTGGCCAGACTATATATTCTCATAGGCCTGGGCAATAAATCGATTAATTAATTAATTAATTAGAGTTTTTTTGTTGCGGGCGATTTAAAAAATAAGTAAATTTAGTTTTTATGTAACGGTGCCTTTTTGGCTCCTTGGCACTTCCGTAGGGTTAGTTTCACATCGCAGTATGGCAAGCAACAACATCATAGCACACACAAAACTGTTGTTTGGAACTGGTAAGGGTTTGCTGCGACAGACATGGAGCCGGAGACCTCACGCTGCAACAATTGCCTAAATCCCATCGCCGTCAAAGGCAGCAACACCACAAACCTATTCCTACAGCGGAAACAGAGGCATCCAGCCGAATATGAAGAATGCCTGTCACTCCAAGACGAACTAAATTGTAGTGACCAACACACCTTAGCTAAAAAACAGCTAACTGTATCCAAATCTTTTGCACAAGGCACCGCATATGACAGGAAAGGGGCACGGTGGAGAATAATCACCAAAGTGCTTTGCACATAGCCAAAGGTATGCTTTTGATTAAATAAATTCAAAATTTGCTTTAAGTTGTTTTCCATTTGTACTTATTGCTTTTCTTAATAATTAGGGGGGGTTTTAGAAAACAAATCATAAATAAAATAAATAAACAAATAAATAAAAAGCCATATCACCCAGCCCTTTATTCTCATATATAAAAGGGCTTGCCAGGCTAACATTTCATATGGTTTCAAGAAGTCAATTTTGACAAGATACTTTCCAAAGAGTTTCGTAATTAAATGGCTTTCTTATGAAATATGTCTTGTGGTAATCTGATGGTAATTGTGCATGTGTTGCACTGTTTTCATATCTGATGGTGGTTAGCACAGGGGTGTAACACAACACAAGAAAAGCTCAAACAAAGGAAGTGCTAAAGAGGGATGAAACGGCTCGCTCGCTGCAGTAGTTGGCTTTACTTTGACTTTAATTTGATTTGATTAGACATTTTGTCCTCAAGGAGAAATTCCTTTTCACATCAATGCACTTGTTTAACAAAAGCAGACCAAACCAAACATAAATTACACTGAAAACCCACATCAGACCGGTTTGATCCTAGTCAGTGTGGTCTGCTGCTGAGGGTGGTGGTTGGAATCAGGCAGGTCCCCCTGCACCTGGTGGATCATATGTGTCCCTGAGGACACTGTGTGTGTGTGTGTGTGTGTGTGTGTGTGTGTGTGTGTGCGTGCGTGTGTGTTCTACTGAGAGTGTGATGTCTTTGTTACTGAGTTAAGTGAGACTGGGTGGGAGAAGACCTGTAATTTTACTGTTTAAGAAGAATGGAAACAGACGCTTCCTGTTTCACTGTTAAGGCTAACAAATGGTGACTAAACCAGGAAGTATGAATAAATGCCCCCTTAGGGCAGTAAATTATCTTAAATAAACATATATTATTAACTGCTCAATGGAAGGAAATAAGCCTTTTACTTACCATTTGGACCCATACAGGGTTTTCTGTACATCTAGGCTCTGACTGAGATGGATGAACGCTAACAGCACCATATACAACATGGAGTCTCCCATTACACTTGTGGATATCGCTTGTCTGCTTCAAGGCTGCAAAGGAGAAACAACAACTTTTACTTTCAAGACTTAAATGGAAAAACGAGAGGAAAACAACAGAGTCTGAGAGTTGTTCTCTTAGCTCTATTCCAGATTAGCCCCCATGAACGTTTACGTTTACTGAGATGATCAAATGAATCTAATCTCTAGCAGGAGAAACTGACTGAAAGTCACCAAGCTGGACAAACAAGAAAACAACCAGGGAAACCAGCTAACTCCATCTGTCTAATTTAATAGTTTGTGTAATTTCAGGCCCGACCTCTTTTAGGGGTTTGAAAACAGAAAACACGCCGCTAAGTGCCTGAAATCGGATGTTGCATAAGTAACTCCGTTATCCGGAAAATAAAACAAAATAATTTGCGTTAAACTTCTATTAAACTGTCTCTCTCTGAAGGAAGTTTAAAGGCCCCGTGTGTGAAATCCATTGAAATCATGATGAAAAAATGTGACTCTTTAGCACCGTGCAGTTCAGAGAAAGTATTGCAGCTACGGTGGCCCACTCATGAGTTTGACTGTATAATAATTTCCAACCTGTGTAGCCTAACCCACACAAAGCTTAAAACAAGCTACTCGACCTCTTTAAAAAGGCATTTATAATTATGACTGTTTTATCAGCCTACCGGTCCTGAAGGAAGCAAGCTAGTTCTGTTATTGAAGCGGTCACGATTCACACACGGAGGAGGGGTGACGTCAGCCGGGAGGTCAGGTGTTGTGAGAAAATGTGTTTGCCGGAAATATTCTGTCCTCCCCTGTCGGGAGATCGCACTTCTGGCTATTTTCACAACATTTGTGAAAAACTTTAACGGGAAAATGATGTAATGTAATGTAATAATGTTATGCTTGTGATTTCTTATCTGTATTTCCTCCTAAAAATAAAAAAGATACAGTAAAAACATTCTTGTTCACTCTTTTGCAGCAAGCTTATTTATCATTTTTGAAAGTTATGTAAAATTATGTGATCTAACTCAGTTTAACCACCTTTTATTTGAGGTAGTTTAGTCCTCATAATGGACAATAAGTTCTGTGGATTTGGAAATATTTGCTCTTGACTGCCTAAGGGAAACAGAATATTTCAGGGGAACATAATTTCCCACAACACCCGTTTCATGTGGATCACGGACCGCTCGATGTAAACAAACTGGCTGCCGCTACCAGCTTATATGGATATGGAGCGATCACTGGCTGATCGTTAACTATGGCTGGTGAAGGAGTGTTGGTGAGCCGGGGACACGTTGTGGACATCAAGTAAACATTGCTGACTTGTCCACCAGCTAATCGTGGCTTACGGCTGGCGTGGTGGAGATCGGCGTCACGAGCTACCGAGCTACTTGTTAGCCATGGCTAGAGCTGGGGAGACGCTGTGTATGCTGTGTGTAAACTCCCATGGATTACCAGCAAAAGGAGACCAAAGTCTAAAGGTAACGTTTGAGAAGAAGCCCTCTGTGCCGAAGTGTCTCTGTAACGCGTGCAGAACTACATCGCCATTAGTAAGGTGTTGTGGAGATAAAGTAAACAACGCTGACTAGCCACTGGCTAACGCTGGAGCGTGTTGGGAAAGACGGCAGGCTGCAGGAAGAGAGGAGACCTGAGTAGAAGTATTTTGGAACGGACACGTTGGGACCGGGTCGGGAGTTCTGGTACTGACACGTTGTGACTGGATCGGGAGTTCTGGTACTGACACGTTGTGACTGGATCGGGAGTTCTGGTACTGACACGTTGTGACTGGATCGGGAGTTCTGGTACTGACACGTTGTGACTGGATCAGGAGTTCTGGTACTAGGAAAAGACGGGTGAACAACTTGAGGTGAGTTTGGGAGTTAGAGACACACTAACCAGAGGCTAGCGTCCAGCGGGCGGGGGTCTGAACATATGCGGCTTCCTTGTGTTGGACATGATAACGAACTGACAAATTTTATGTGTCTTTTGATTTAATTTTTTTATTCAAATTAACATGTAAAGCAACAGTGTAGCTATCCTTTTCTATTTCTTAGTTGAATTAGCAGACTCCATGCTTCCAGGGCGCACTGCTGCCCACTGCTGGTTCTTTCAGGTTACAGTCATAGTCCAAACGAGTAACGTGGCGCTTGTATGTCCCTAAACAGCTACTGTATTTTAAGATGGTGGATGACCATGGAGCGTCGACCACAATTTATGTATATAAAAATGTATAATTTGAAGTTGAGAGGAATATTTAGAATTGATGTTGGTGAGAAATATTAGTAAAAAAGGACAAGTTTGTGAACTGGAAACACAGGATTTGATAGTAAACAGGTAAAAATATCACACACTGTGCCTTTAAGAGTTGACTCAGAGCAAAACAACAAAAACCACAACAAGGATGACTGAGAACATCACAGGTTACTATCCAGATTATTATCATGTCTTAATCTTCAACTTCAACTTGTTTGCTTGGTTTTTGAGTGAACGGGTTTCCTTACCGCTGAAATGACAACTGGCCCTGTCCTTTAATTGTTTGCTTTCTTCCCTCTCAACGCCAGGCCAATCCAGGCAGAAGAACACCTACCCTGGTTCTGATTCTGGTACTGCAAAAGATTTCTTTATGTTCAAAATAGAACCAACTCTCTCCGCTGTCAGCAGCTGACTGGTGCACGATGCAATGTCAAGTGTCAGAGCAGGTTGATGATTTCCTAAGATAAACAAATCCCTACTGACAGGAACTGGCACCGTCAGACACGTTTGACTAGGCTGAGAACAGCAAACAGGATTTTTAAATGATGTTTTATTAATATAATTACTATTTCTAAGATGCTCTGGGGTGCAGTTTTGCTGTGTCACACACACGCATGCACGCTCACACACACGCATGTGAACATATTTCCAAACTTACTTCTGTTCCCCTTTTCTCCTTCTTGCTCTCTTCTTCTGTGCATTAACACTGAAATGATCAAACAAACATGGCACCAACATTAGTAATAGCAGTATTTTATTTTTACATGAAATACTTTAATCAATTCTGCCACACCTGTTGTGTGTTTTGTGTTGCTGTATGACCACCTTGGCTATTTGTTGCTATTTAAGAAAAAACTGGTGTGAAATAAATGGTTCTGTTGATGAGTAAGACTTTAATTTAAAGATGAGAAGCTTAATTCTTTGTTGTTGATGCTTTGCTTCTCATCCCAGGAGCTTCTTTAATCCTAAATGTTGACTTACGTTAGTTAGAATTGAAGAAGTTCCTGATGAGAACTGAAACATCCTTAAAAACAAGAAAAAAGATGTCCAGTCACCTTTAAGAAGAAGTTACACATGAACATGTTCATTTGGTGAAATGAATAAACAGAAACTAAACTGGCCTGCACCTTTTATCCACATGAAACATTCTGGACTTAGATCCTTTTAATGTGCTGCGGTCCTTCATTGAATCCAGACACACAGACTGGTGCTCTGTCATTTACTTTCTCTTTACCACCTTACCTGAAAAGGCAGAAATATTTATATGAACCAACTAAATATCTATTAACCAGCATCAGTTGTTATGCAGTACCTAAAGTGATTTAGTTTTCACATTTTACTTATGTGATTCGCTCTTCGATCAACTTCTAAATGTTACTTTCAGATTTTCAGAGCAGACCACAGTTGATGCTCACATGTTTCTCAGCGATAGAGATGGTGTTCGTCATACACTCACAACTAAAAACACAGGAAGTGTGTGTCAGAGAACATTTGAGAGAAGTTTGAGAAATTAATGAGAAATTAAAATCAATAGTACAATATAATATAACAAAGAAACATTTGCAGGTTTACAACATGAGTGACTATACAAATTAATGCAATTAAATGTTATTTGAGACTCCAGATGAATAACTTTGTGTTGATGATCAGAGGTTTGTGTGAACAAATCCGTAAAAACATTCAAGTAGAAGTTAGACATCACAAGACACGTAAGGTCTTGATGCAAATGTTGCAGATGTTTGCATTTCCACACCAGACACTCTGGGAGAACAACTTGGAACCAGTCAGTAAGCTGCTCCGAATACTTCTTACCCTTACATACTAAACCACCTGTTTCAAATCGAAGAAATTATATAAGGTTCGCAATATTTATCACATTTACATGACAGCAGGGTTTCCCCCAGCGCTTTATAAGCCTGGCGGCCCGCCAGGCTTTGCTTGCCCACCCGCTAGGCTAGGCATCATGCCCCGCCCCCTCCCTGACCCTACCGTGTCCGCTGACATGAACGGTGCCGCGAAACTAGAGCCCTCCATCAGCTGATAAACAGCAGCGAAACGTGTGCAAATCCCCCACCCCACCCCCACCCCCACCCCACCACCACCACCACCACACACACACACACACACACACACACACACACACACACACACACACGTCGCCACCCCATCCCCCCATCCCCCCAACCCCTCACCCCAGGACAGCCGAAGCCACCAGACTTAACTCATTTCTGGGGGAAACCGGACACTTTAACAGTTATACAGATTGACCAATATGGGTTTTCCCAATGCAGACACTGATGCCACTATGTAGAGGTCACAGTCTGCAAATGGCCTATATGTGCAGCCGACTTTCAAGGCCGATATCTAGAAGTTTTCGGCCTCACCTGTAGGGTTGGGCATCGATTGGGCATCATGTTGGGGATTTTAACATAGGACATAATCTTCCCAATCTAAAAGGTTTAAAGATATTGATTGTTATTTAGATAATGAGTAGTGGGCTGACTTTTCCACCCAGAAATTTACACAACTAAAATTTCAACTCACAAAATCAAATCGTAAAATTCATTGACATCATGTCAGAAGAGTGTAGAGCTGACCAGCCCTGCAAATGTGCCATTGAAAAGAAACACACTACCAAAGTCTAGACGATGTACAAATAGTTTCCCAGTTCTTGATATCATTTAAAGCAGGTGCCACCAAGCCCAGTTTTTCATGTCATGTTCCAGCACACCTGAATGGATGAAACTTTATCACCTCCTCACCATGCTGTATTCTACAGTAATTACAGTCTTTAGAGCAGGTGTGCTGGAGCAGGAACCTGAGCAAGTGTGCAGGATGGTGGGACCTCTGATTCAAAAAGCTCACGCCGAAACCTTCTTTCTTTTATTTGGGACTTGCTGCATGTCGCATATAAACGTGAAGCCAGCAGATCAGTGAGGATGTATGAAAAAGATCTGCTCGTCTGATGACTCATCGCCGCTAACAGAAGCAGATGCCAGAGAGAAAAAGAGGACGAAGGTCAGTACTGTGCAAACATAGCAACCCTCTGAGGAGCAGAAAGGATACTATGGAAACAAGGCACCTCCATTCGGGAGTACGTGCTCAACCCAAGCACCGCTATGAGCCTTCACGCAATATTAAGAATTGCGCAATCAGTCAAGAACAAATGTATAATTTGCTCTACCTCTGTGGTCACGACTGTCTCTTGGTTTCATTCATCCAGGTGACAAAGTGGCACGAGTACAAAATAAGATAAGATCTGAATGTGTTAAATAAAGAGACAAAATGGTCCAAATATGCTGTATATGTTTCTTTTTAACCCCTTCGATGTGTTCAAAGCAGAGGGTTTCCTGCTTGTCTTAACAGAAGACATGCACATCAACCCCGACACGCCTGAAGCAAATAAACTTACAGACAACTGTAACAAAATACCTGTTCTTACTGAGCTATAACCCGCAGCTAATGAATGGGCTTCCATCGTGTTCATTAACTGCGTAGCTGATACTGTATCGATAAGCTAATTTTAGCTATTTTGCGGGTTTGTTTTTTCCTCGTTTCAAAGACTGAAGGACGCGACTCAGCGCCCATTACATAAACACAGGCTGCATTTAAAACTAGGAGACAAAATAATAAAAGTGTGTTTAGTAATAATAGCATGATAACAACAAAGACGTACCTGTTGTTGGCTGTTTCACGTCTTTGTTGCTGATGCCTGGGTTTTGTCGGTGAGGAGCTGTGACGTCACCACTCCAACTTTTCAAAGTAAAAGAAGGGTGACTCATTTCCTTCATCAGTGGACCAATACCGGAAATTAAAAAAATTTTTGACGGTCATATGGTCCATGGTTCGTACACGCGTGGAGGACAAGGGATGGCATAGCAGCGGGTCGCCATCTGGATGGGTCCCCATTCGCCTCCAGTGGGTGGTTGCTTACCCAACTAAAAAAAAAACACTTTACAATGTTTTTTCATAAAGTCAGACATATGGTATATGGCATGACAATTAAACTATTGATATACTTAAACTAAATAAATGAAAATCTAAAATCTCAACAGGTAGACTAGAAAAGTCAATAATACCATGTGATCTGTTTCTGCCAGTTGTGCAACCATAAGCCGCAGAAGAAAACGGGTCTAGTTCTGGACCATGGGTCCGTCCACAGAAGAACAAAAAAAATTTATTCAAGTCAATGGGGCTAAAAGAGCTATTTTCTCATTCTGTTTGTTATGTGCCATGGATTTCACATGTGTCGGGAATTTAAAAGAATTGTTTTGATACAAAGAAAGTGCTTTTTTTCCAAATGGGGGGGAAATGTTATTTTAGGTTTTGTGTGAAAATATGTCCAGGACTACAAATGTGCTCTACTAAAGGGACGTCATCGAACCAGACAGAAAAAGAGAGAAAATGGCTGTAAGTTCAGCGAACTTCAAATCATTACTTCAGGAAGGAAAGAAACACCATAAATATGGCTATTTCGTAAGTAGCAGCTACGCTAGAGCAGAGGAGATTCTGTGGTGATGTCATATATGCGTCATACTGACATCTGATTTGTAGTCATGCTAATTACAAACATTTATAAGCTGATGAATCTCAAAGTACATGACTGGGGTGGTCGAAACACACTTCATTACTTTTAATTTAAATAGAAGTACAACTAGTTTACTCAAGGTCTGACTAACAACTTTCTAGCATTCTTTAAGAATAATATCAGAAATATCAGGGCAAGTTTTTCTACCCCATCTACTTCCTACCCCCATCCAACCCCTCCCTCAATCTTGGTCTGTCTTTAGTCCTGTAGATTTCCAGAACATGTGCCTCATTCAGAAACACATGAAACCAACCTCATGCCCTGCTGATTTCATTCCTACTACCTTAATCAGGATGGTTAACCAAATTGGCTCATGCATGTCATGCTGGGTGGCAATTTCTTGACCCACGACATGCAGAATCACTTCACAGAAACAAGTGTGTAAATGGTTTATTTTTAAATGAGGAGCTAAAGGAGGGACGGGAACCAAAGATGCTCAGTACTGGCAGCAGGATTCCAGGAGGAGGTTCTGAGGAGGGAGACAGAGTGAATAACCGGTGGAATAATGGAGATTTTATCTTGAGGCTAAGCTTACCGTTTCTTGGTAGCGGTGGAATGTACATGGAGGGTTTTGGTCAGGTCCAGGTGAGCAGAGGATATCCAGAAGGTGAGAGAATTGATTTATCCAGAGATGGAGGAGCGGAGGTTGATGAGGGCAGGTGAGCGGCTGAGAGCGGGCAGCCAGGGGAGGAGGCAGTGTGGTCTGGAATGCAGGAGTCCAGGTTGGTTCTGGAGATGATGGAATGTGGAGAGAAACCTGAAGGAGAGCAGGGAAAGACATTCAGGGATTTCAGGCGGCAGGTTAACTGGAACGAGATACAGATACAGATGCAGATACAGATACAGATACAGATACAGATACAGATACAGATACAGATACAGATACAGATACAGATACAGATACAGATACGAGGCAGGTTAGAGGCTAGAGCTATCCAAACAGAGAAATCATCCGGCGTGGTGAAGTGTCACACTGCTCCTTAAATTCCCTGGGCCTTGATGATGGGATCAGCTGCAGCTGGTAGCTCTCAGACACGCCCGCCTGTGGACAATGCTCAGCAGAAAACAGAGTTACAGGCAGGCAGCTCACCACGGACCATGACAATGCATTGTAGATTTTATTAATTTATCCCTACAATCTGGCTCTGTACCATCTGTTTTCAAACATGCAGTTATTGAACCAATGCTTAAAAAACCAAGTATGGACTCATCTCAGCCTAAAAATTACAGACCCATTTCTAAATTACCCTTTATCTCTAAAATATTGGAAAAGGTTGTGGCAGATCAACTGATTACTTTTCTGGAACTACACAACCATTTTGATAAATTCCAGTCTGGTTTTTGTAAAAAAGCATTCAATAGAAACAGCTTTGCTTAAAGTTTCCAGTGACATCATGATGAATGCAGACAACGGGGAGGTCACAGTGTTAGTATTGTTGGATCTTTCTGCAGCGTTTGACACTGTTGATCACAACACCTTAAGTAACAAACTTGGTGACTCAGTGGGGGTCTCTGGAACTGTTCTGGACTGGTTTAAATCGTACCTTTCTAACAGAAGTTACAGTGTCTGTATAAACCAAATTATGTCAGATTCTACTGATTTGTTCTGTGGGGTACCTCAAGGCTCTGTTTTGGGTCCACTGTTGTTTCTGCTGTACAGACACCCTGTTGGACAGAATCTTGATTCTTTTCATAATGTCTCTTATCACCTATATGCAGATGATATTCAGCTGTACTGTTCCTTTAAGGATTCTGAGTTCTATAAACTGTCTGAATTACTAGAGTGTCTTTCAGCTATCACCAGCTGGCTAGAAGATAACTTACATCAGTTAAACTCTGAAAAGACTGAATGTCTGATCATTTCCCCTGAGAACATGGTTCCCCTGATTAGTCTAAAACGTAGTCATTTATCCTCTGCCGTCAAGACAAACTTAAGGAATTTGGGTGTTGTTTTTGACCAATGTCTCTTGAAGGTCACTCAAAAACTTTGGTCCGAAACTGTTTTTATCATTTAAGAAATATCTCCAAACTGTGAAGCTTGGTGTCAAAACATGAACTTGAAATGGTTATCCATGTCTTTATTTCCTCCTGTCTAGATTACTGGAACACACCTTTCACATGTTTTAACAAAAAAGCCCTTGACCGCCATCAGTTGGTCCAGAACTCTGCAGCGAGGCTCCTAACTGGAGCAAACAGAAGGGCACACATCACTCCTTTTCTAATGTCTCTGCACTGGTTACCCGTTAACTTTAGAGTTCATTTTAGAATCCTGACTATAACTTTCAATGCTCTACGTGGTCAAGCTCCTCCTTATAACCCTTACTGCTAACCCTTACTGAACAGTTAAAGCCTTATGCTCCAACCCGAGCCCTCAGGTCCACACACCAGAACCTTCTACAAGTTCCAAAGTCCAGATCAAAAGTGGAGGTGATCACACCTTCCAGACTGTTGCATCCCGACTCTGGAATGATCTTCCTTTATCTTTACGCAGCGTTGACAGTCTGAACACTTTTAAAAAACAGCTGAAGACCCTTTTATTTAAAGCTGCTTTTAACTAAACCCTTTATTTCCTTATTTTTAACTCAGATTTTATTCTTTAATCTGTTTATGAAATTTTATAATTTTATGGCTTTATTTTTTCTGATGTTAATCTAATTCTGCTTTGAGATCATTTTGATTTTATGATGTTAATCTATTTATGATTTTATGACTTTGTTTTATTTTGTTTTGATCTATGTGAAGCACTTTGTGATTCTATGTCTGTGAGAAGTGCTATATAAATAAAATTTACTTACTTAATTTACTTACTAACATATGTGCGATCCAGCGCATAAGGCAAAGCGGATTTGAAAATAGCTCTTTTAGCCACATTGACTTGCATTCATTTTTTTTTGTTCTTCCGGGGACCCATGAGCCGACTGGAAAGAGAGGAGACTTAGGCTCCCCATAGTTGCTCACTCTGGATTTGGAGAACGAGGAGACCCACCCAATTTGGCGGCTACACATTTACGCTCGGGTGCAACTCATTTCTTATGTGGCTCTAGTTACTCAGGATTGTGGGAAAGGATATTATCTGTAGATCATTGAAATTGTTTGAGGATTATTTATCTAAGATATGTTTAGAGTTTGTCATTAGAATTATCCTCGTTCTTGATCTGTCCCTTTTTAATTATTACAAAATCATAATTAAAATATTTATTTTAAAATCTATTTTTGTTGCTTTACCCCATTCATGCTTCTTGTCCAAAGGTTATGAATCAGTCTTTCATCTCAATGCATAGGCCTACTGCTCTGAAAGCACTGATTAACTTCAGTTTTTTATTCATTTTAAAATGTTAATCTAGAGAAATATTGCCTTGTCACATTGCCTTGTCACACTCTGTCTACCATAGAAAAATCTATCGTTTTAAAAAATATTTATACTTCTTAATACAGATGTTATTTTTCTCCTTCACCAAGCATCAGTAACAACTGACTTGGTAACTCTGATGTGAGTACCAGTGTTTCCTATCTATTTTTCTTTCTATAGACAATTTTCTGACTGAATAGTTAGCAGCAGGAACCATTTACACAATCCCAACAGAGTAATACATCACACATGACTGAACTGTCACTGTTTCAAGTGTTTCTTACAAATTGTTTGGAAAAATTTAATGTGCATATTTAGTGAGAGGTATGGTTACGGTTAGGCTAAATCCTTGATAATAACAGTTTTCTTCTCTTGACAGGATAAAACACAAAAGCCATCACATAGAAAAATTAAATGTATCAGTTTATGGTCTACATGACAAAGTGAAGTTTTTAACCTTTCTAATTCCTGCCCATGTAGATAGGACATGAAGGGGATTTATAGGCCAAACAGCATAAAAAGGTAACATTAAATAAAGTACAAGTCAAAAAGGTTTGGCACAATACAAGGTATTAAATCATACACTTCATAAAATAACAAAATGTCCAGCTGGGTTATGTTTATACTGCAATCGGTTCAATAACTGTATTAGATGCAGTCAGGAGAGGAGAGGCCCCTCTGAGGCATTTTGTTTACTGAGTAAAAACTAGTCAGGTCGCTCGTGTCTCAATGAGATTCACGTGTATAAATAAAGGTGAAAATTATTTAAGTTCGGAAGACGACCCATTTATGTCCCAGATTCCAGTCCAGTAGGTGACGGTAACACTGAAGTAGACTGCTTACAATCCGCACCAACGAAGAAGAAAACCGACGAAGAAGAAAGATGTCATGTAAAGTCTGCTCATGTAAGCTTTAATTTCATAAATTTATATTATAAAACATTTCTAGTCTCCACAATAGATGGAGACCCATGTTCAAGCTTGTTCTTAGGGCATAACGTTTATATATATATTTCTGCTGCAAAACAACCAGGTCTTAACAGATTTAGCTCCGGATGAAACGTTTTCTTTAGGATTTCTGGATCATAAATAAAGGTTTGTTCGATTAAAAACCCTAAATAGGTTCTACCCTGTTTTACTCTAATACGTTGGAGAGATTGGCTCCTTCGATCTCACGAAACGATGTCAAGACTCCGGGTAAAAATGTAGGATTAGATTAGATTAGATTAGAGGGGCTAAAATGTGGTCAGTGCATCAGAGCACACTGGTGCAGAGGAAAACGCTACAAACACATGACGATGCATTAGATTGCCCCCACCTGAAAAGGCTGTGCTGTGAAAGTGAGGATGCTGTAGGTAGAAGCTGCGTGCAGCACCAGAGGTCCAGTTCCTGAATCAGTAGAACGCTGAGTCTTTGCTGACATAACTTTCGAGTCTCTTATTCTCAGCGTGGTAAAAAAAATAAAAAATAAAAATACACAACTCAGCCTTAGTATCTGCATGCCAGAGATGATCAGCAGCTGAGCTGCAGTGCTGACGAGCTTCTTTCTTTTTTCTGAAAGTACATGCTGATAGTTTCTACAAGTTGAGTTAAAACCATTCCTGACCTTTGTAGCTTTATGTTTCCTTCTAACTCAGGGGTCCCTAAATGATGGACTGCAGTCTGAAGCCAGACCCAAATGAGGTTCTGTCTGGACCCAGATTACCTGGTGAATTGAATTGTTCTTACATGCACGCTCTTTTAACACTCACAGTTATTTCTCTAAAGCAGCATAACGATTTTATTCTTCACAGTGGTTGCTGAAGGCTGGCCCATGGTTTCCCTCTGCTCCCTGCTCTCAACCTCCGCAGAGTAAAGTCAACTGACAGAAAGGTGATGAACACTACCATGACTGGGAATAAAACATTTTATTATTTATGCACCTGTCTGTCTGTGGTAGATCCTAAATCACACAATTTGTTGTTGAAATGGAAATGAACTCAAATGAAACATTTTATTTGGTTCTTTTATGAAACATTCATAATTTTAATTAATTAATAATCAAATCAATTAGTTGATGGTCATTAGAAGCAGCCTGAATCACTGACTGGATAACCTGGATTTTTTTAAAAAACTCACCTGAATATAAAACTCCAAAGAGTGCATGGCATAGACTTATTCTGTTCTTCACTTCTTGGTAAAAATAACTATTTTACTTTTTATTCACATACAAAGTGTTTGAAATTGACATGTCAAATCTGCTGTTTGCTTTTATGAAAAAAAAATGCATGTAAATAAAAGTACTTTGCACTTGTATTTTTTTATATTTTATTTTTGTGCAGGTAAAATGTTAAATGTTTTTTCCACCTGCAGATTGTGCCTTCACAAACTAACACTTTCCATGTGAAGTAGATCACCATGGGTCAGCACAGCAGTGGTGTTTTCTCCCACAACGCCCCGGGACTCGCGCTGTGCCTCGCTGCTTTGCTTCTGTGTGCTGCAGTGATTTATCTGAGTCAGGACAAGCAGCAGCGACACACCCATGCAGGCTGTCTCCCTCAACATTTTAAACTGACTACCATGAGGAACTGTACTCCCTGGCTCCAGTGTTCACAGATACGTGCAGAAGTGCACAAGCTAAAGGTGATTGGCCAGGGAGCCGTTAAGAAGGTAGGTGGAGTTGTACTCGAGTATAAAGGCTATGGATGTTTTAGGATCTATCACAGCCACAGACAATATGTTACCTCAGAAAGCATTAGACAAAGTGTGAGCTATGACCGTGAACTTGTAATTTATATTAGCTAGCCTTTATTTTCCCTGTGGGATTGATAATGTAACGGAATCTGATTGAGAGACTCACCAGAGCCAACAGTCGGATAAGCTCATTTCTAATTCAAAAGCAGCCAGGGCGTCTATAATGGTGCTTTCACATCTGGTTCGGCACGGCCCAGCCCTGGTCAGGTATATTGTGTTCACATCTGGGTAATCTGTGTGGTTTTCGTTCTCAGCTGACCATTTTTTAAACCTGCTCTCTAGTGGTCCGCTTTGTGCTAAGCCCAACACACCCTCTACGGACTGATTGGCCAGCTGAAGTTCATGCCTATCTATAGCGGGAGCTTCTGACTGGCGGGTAGAATGAGCCCTCAGAGCCTTCCTGCATGTGCGATTCATTTTCAGTCTGCATGTGGTGGAGTAAACATCTTCTGTCACTGCTGCTGGGATCTTCTGCTCCAGCCTAGCCTGGCAAGCCAGACTAAATAAATGTATTATTTAGTCTGGCCATGCTCCATTGACGGCTCTCGGTTGTGGGGCGGGTTCTACCGTTGTCTTTCAAATGATCTCCGCATTCCACTGGACAGAGAATGTGACATACTCTTGTTTCACTCTGTTGCATCATCCCACCCACCAGGCATACAGAGTGCCGTGATTGGCCCACAAAGCGGATAAAGCTCTGTGATTTGTTCACTAAGCAGATAGAGCGCTATGATTGGCCCACCATTATGGACCAATCACAGCTCTTTATGTGTTTGAAACCCCTCTAGAGAGCTGTGATTGGCTAGCCAGAGTCCTGGTAGGAGCTGCGGAGGTTCCAATGGAGCGTGCCTAGACCAAACTTTGCAAAGCAAGAATTTGGTCTAGTTCACTAGGCTAGCTCCAGCCAGGAGGACAGACTGTTGTGAGGAGCACTCAGTAAGAGAATAGGAAGCTGTGTGCTTCATTTCGGAGTCTCCAAAAGTAACACTGCTCACGGCCTCCTTTTGTTTACTAACAAAGGAAAACACCACAGACTTTTCCACACGTCTTTTGCCCCGCCCAAATGTTTGGAGACATCCGCCTTCCTGAGAATAATACGCAAACAGAACCTGGCCGCGCAGGGGTGGGCCAATGCTACCAAGACCGGACCGCGCCAGTCCAGATGTCAAAATGCCATAAGACATCATAGCAGGGCTGCAGTCTGATCGCCTTCATTTCACGCAGCTTTGATGTAGCAATTCATTCTAAAGAAGTCCCTGTTATTGAGATGCACCTGTACATGGCCACAGCCCCTACAAGCTCATCATCTGACAAAGCTCACATGTTAAATTTATCCCATATCCTGTCTAGAGGTGTATATGTTATGAGCTCACCAACCCCCCCTTTTTTTCCTCCTCAGGTTTATCTTGCAGAGTGGACAGGTCACAAGGTGGCTCTGTCTAAGCTGGCCTCTCTGGATTACCTGGAAGACTTTCTTCATGGATTGTCAATGCTGCAGGCCTTGCAGGGCTCACTAGTTGTGCAGTTGGTGGGGTTTTGCCTCGAAGACTATTCTATTGTTACCCAGCACCACCCACATGGCTCACTGCTCAACTTAGAACATGTTTTCAGACAACAGCAGTACCAGCAGTACAACACGTGGTCCTTACGACTGAGACTAGCCACAGATTATGTCACCATCCTTCATTACCTTCACAACAGCCCAGCTGGGCGGCGAGTAATGTGTGACTCAAACAGCCTGGAGAAAACGCTCTCACAGTTCCTGCTAACGAATGACTTCCATGTGGTGGTGAACGACCTGGACGCGCTGCCCGAAGTCAACTGGTCCAAAGGTTTACTGGTAAAATGTGGCCATCGAGAGCTCACTGGGGACTTTGTTGCCCCAGAGCAGCTTTGGCCTGTCAGAAATGATGGGACGCTATTTTCAGATGATTCCATGCCTGCATATGATGAAAAGACCGATATCTGGAAAATTCCAGATGTGACACAGTTCATATTGGGAAGGGCACCCGAAGGAGAATTGGTTCGCTTTCACCTTTTTCAGATTCACAACGATTGCAAGAAGGAAGACCCTAAACTCCGTCCTTCAGCTCTTGATGTGTTGAAAGTGTACAGATCAGTTTACAGGGCCATGGTGCAAGACGCTTCTGGTGTTCGGGAGATGCTTTAGAGCAGGGTTATACAAACCTTTCAGTAGGAGGGCCAGATTCATCAAGGTAGAAGTTCTCATGGGCCACAAACATGATTATTTTTAGGGCTGTCAGTTGGCCGAAGGTTTTAATAGTTGTTAATCACATGAGTTTCATAGTTAACTTGTAACTTTGTGCACTGGTCACGGTGGAGCCTGGAGATGCGTGCACGGTCTGGTTGACAGTAACGCCTGTTTTACTCACAGAGCAGACATGCCTTCTTTTACACTTAAGAGTTTAAAACTTTCTCCCTCCTTTCATGTTGACATGCTCTAAGTAAGATGTAATATTTGTCTGCATGAATTAATGAATGTGTTAATGCAATAACATGTTAACTTTGACAGCCCTAATTTTTGTCATGAAAAAATGCAAACTAAAGTTTATTGTGATTTTTTTTTATTTGCACTGCTCAAATTTTAACATCATTTTGATAAAAAAAAACATGTTAAAATTGTTACTCTACTTCAGCAGCCTGCTGAGGAGACAAAATTGCACTATTGTAGAAGAAGTGGAGGGCCGCATATTCCAACAAGCCTTCTGTAGAGGGTAACACTGTCCAGAACCACTGACTTTTCTCTCTGTAAACAAATAAAACATCTTTTGAAAGGATCACACTTTGCTGTATTTTTATTTTACTTTTTGTAGGTTTTAAGAGTCAAAGAGAGGACAGGAGCAGAGCTGGTCAAGTAGCTTTCAATCTTCCTACAGACTGACCTGGTCTCTAATCCCCTCTTGTGGTCTGACCTAGCAACACAGGGCGGTTGGGTGGCACCAGACCTTGAGCAAGTGTCTGATGCTATTGTTCATTCGTGGGTCATTGTTAAGAAAGTTGTGCATGTTATTTTTGTGGAAACCATATCCTTGCAGCATCTGATGTATAAAAGGGCAGAGGAAGAGTGGGTATCCGCGTTTCCATCCTTGAATATGGACCAGTCGGTGCTGTTGCTTTAAATCCCTATCAGTCTCACCTCTTGGTAACATTTGTGGAGCACATTCTTCCAGGTTTGCCTGGATAAGATAACCAGCAACTACCACCACTGCATCCAGGTCAGTGTTTACTGGTAGCAAGTAGCCCAGGGCTGTAGCAGTGGTAGGTTACGGTGGGGTGTAAACAGCTGTTATCATGATGGCAAAATATTCTTTTAAGTAGGTAGAAGCAGCAACATTTTACAGTCTGATACTCAAAAGGTCTGTGGAGTAGTGAGTGTCTACATAAGTGCGCTTTTGTTAGTGTTGCATCAGCATCTATTTGCACAGACCCTGACAGATGCAGGAGGTAAAGAAACTTGGATTTGATTTTATTAGCTGTTTATGTAATTTTCCCTTCCCTGATGAATGCATTAGTGTAGAATATTTGGAATGTGCTAGTCGAAGACTAGCTCCCCTTTTAGTTCTTTGTTTTACGCGTTTTATGATTCATGGCATCCTACCAGACTCGATGGGAATTCTGCTTGTCCAAGTTATCAAGAACAAATCTGGGAAGGTGACCTGCTTGGATTATTATCATAGTGCATCTGCACTAGCCAGTATTTTATCCGAGGTTATAGAAAAAAAATCCTACTTGACAGGATCACTGTGTATATTATTTCCTTGGATAATCAGTTTGGCTTTAAGCTAAAACATGGTACTGTAGCGGTCACACTTTATAGCGTGACAACTGCAAATTAATTATGACCAATACGATGTGATGATTCCATATAAATATGAAATATCAATCTGATTGATCACTGAATGTTTAATCAGAAGATTAAAGTTACTTTTACTTGTTCAGGGACTATAAACACACTTCACATTAATTCAGACAGTCAGGTAAATAGTTAAAAAGGAATTTTTTTAAAATCTTTATTTCATTCAAAAAAAAAATAACACAACAGATACTAAACAATATTCATGAAAACACAATATATATTTGAATGAAAGGGAGCAGATGGAAGAAAAATCTTATTATTTCTGCCCCCTTTTTAAACTTAAATATCAATTTATATTTGTGCAGTCCCTCACCAGTTCTTTCAGTCCCGTAACTGTTCACTTTTGTTAATTATTATGTCCACATCAATTGTCCGTTGTCATATCCACTCAACACACGTGATTTAATGTGTAGACTGAACACTTTTAGAGTTCTTGACTCTTTCCATTCTCTGTCCAGGCAATTCCACAACTTCACACCATTCACAGATATGCCCATTTCCTTCATTATTGTTCTAAATCTAGGTTTTTTGAAGATTTCAAATCCCTTCAATGAATAACTGCTATCTCTCTTTTCAAATATATGCTGAATATTCTTTGGCAATGTACCTTTATTTGCTTTATACATTATATGCAATATTCTCCAGTTGACCAAATCATGAAATTTAATTACTTTATATTTTATAAATAATGGGTTAGATGAAGCTGTACTATGAGTGTTGTCTATAATTCTCATTGCTCTTTTCTGCAAAACAAACAAAGGTTGTGTATACGTTCTATATGCAGTTCCCCAGATTTCTACACAATAATTTAAGTATGGCAGAATCAGTGCATTGTATAGTAATAACAATCCTTCACTATTTAGTAAAAACTTTACGCTATATAATACTGCAATGGCTTTGGCCATTTTACCTTTTACATAGCCTATATGTGATTTCCAGCTTAGAGCTTCATCAATCATTACTCCCAAAAATTTGATTTCTTTTACCCTTTGAATTTCCATGTTATCTATTTCTAATATTACGTCTATATTTTCTTTATCATTAAATAGAATGAAATTAGTTTTTTTAAGATTAAGTGTTAATTTATTTACATCAAACCAGTTTTTAACTTTTATCAGTTCAATATTTATCACATGAGTTACTTCATTTATATCAGACCCTGAATAAAACAATGTTGTATCATCTGCAAACAAAACAGAACCTAGTTTGTCAGACACATTTACCAAATCATTGATATACAGGTTGAACAATTTTGGTCCAAGGACTGACCCTTGTGGCACTCCATAAGCAATATTTCATAGCTCTGATGTAATGCCATTTATCTGAACATATTGCTTTCTGTTATCTAAATAACTTCTAACCCATTGATGAGCAACCCCTCGTATTCCATACTGATATAATTTTTGCAGTAACCTTGAATGATCGATAACGTCAAAAGCTTTCTTTAAGTCAATAAAAACACTAATAAAGTATTCTCTATTGTCTATCGCTTCAGATATTTTCTCTGTTAAATCCATTATTGCCATTGTTGTTGAATGTTGGGTCCTGAATCCATACTGTTCATTATGTAAAATCATATTTTTTTCCAATAAATTTATCCAACCGTGATGCAAAGACTTTTTCTAGTATTTTGGAAAACTGTGGAAGTAGTGACACTGGCCTATAATTTGTGAAATTATGTTTATCACCATTCTTAAACAGTGGAACCACTTTTGCTATTTTCATAGCATCAGGGAAGACTCCAGTAGAAAGTGACAAATTACATATATAAGTAAAAGGATCAATAACAGATTCTATTATGGTCTTTACAGTCATCATGTCCAAATCCTCACAATCAGTTGATCGCTTATTTCCACAGTTTTTTACAATTTCTCATATTTCCTCTTTTTCTACTTTGCAAAGGAAATTACTACTGACATTATTTACTACTGTATTCAAATTGTCATCAATTAAAGTGTCATGACCCATCAAACTCCTCCCTAAATTTACAAAAAAATCATTGAATTCATTAGAGATTTCTTTTACATCATAAATGTCTACATTGTCCTTGACAAAGTAATTTGGTACCTTAGATGTAGTTTTATTTCTGTTCGTCACACTATTTATTATTCCCCATGTAGCCTTTGTATTAGCCTTATTCTTTTCCAATAATTCACCATAATAATCTTTTTTCCTTTTCCTAATTATTGCTATTAATTTATTTTTATATTTTTTATATCGGTCTTCTGTTACTCTTGTCTGTGATTTAAAAAAATTCCTATACAGCAGGTTTGTTTTGCACATGCATTTCTTATTCCTTTAGTCATCCATGGTTGATCTACCCTTTTACCACTACTTTTGAATAATTTACAGTTGTTATTATATAATTTCATCAATTTTTTCATGAAGGACTTATATGCAGTGTTGACATCCCTTACATATACTTCCTCCCAATTCTGCATTTCAAGATCCTTCTTTAGCGCTTCCCATGCTCTAAATGATCTATCTCGTTTGTAATTTAACGAGGTTTCTTGCTTTATCAATTGTTTATTTTTCAGTACTGTATTCTTTTCTAAACTAATGATTATACTTGGCCGGTTCGGAACTCCGCCAGAAACTGAATTACTCGAGAAGTAATTCTTGTTTTATTAAACTACCTTGTTATGATTTCTGGCCAAGTTTGGCCAATCAGAATTTGACAAGTATCTGAGTATTTACCAACATCCCTCAGAAAGTTAAGTCCTCTACAGCTACAAAGATGTTTTTATCACTGTGAATGAGAATGTCTTGAAACACCTATGTGAGGTGAATCTTAAACTTAATTTGTATCTTATGAAGATGTGAATGAGAGTAGATAAATATCAACTTGTTAAATCAAACACACACTGATCATAAGATCTGCAATGGATCAGTGTAAGAGCAATATTCATTTCAACTTCATTGATTTAAGCACAGATTATTCAAACATTTCATTTAAACATCTTGTTCATTCAACCATATGATTAATTAACTTATAAGTTGTAAAGCCTTGTAGGATTCCTGTGGATTCACTTTTACTCAGAGTGAGGAATCCAGCAGTCTGACTTTTAGCAAAGAGATAAGGGCTTTTGCGGGAGACCTTGACAGTTTATGTATGTCTGCGTTGAAGAACAATAAGCGAGCAAAATGTTGATTTGTGCGTCTGGATCCTCCAGCTGGTGTAGCCTTGACTTTGCAGCTCTGGCGTGTATGAAAGGTTATGCTGTGTCAATTAGAGGGTGAAAAGTGACCCTTTTGATTCAGTACAGTTCTGACATGTAAATACACTTAAATAAATGGTAAACTGGTGTAGAAGTAGAAATTCTTCTGTGTGTTTTATTGATGCTTCTAAGGCGTTTGATCGTGTAAACTACAGAAACCCTTTTGTTAAGTTAAAACAACAAGAGGTCCCTAGGTTTATTGTGAGGATCCTCTCTTACTGGTATGCTCACCAGAAGATGCAGGTTCAATGGGGAAGCAGCATCTCTGCCTCCTTTGGCAATGGTGTTAGGCAGGGTGGAATTTTGTCTCCTGTTTTATTCTATGCTGATGATCTGTCAATGCAGTTGAGAGCCTGTAACACAGGATGTCTGCCGGGTAAAACTCTGATCAACCATCTGATGTATGCTGATGACCTGGTGGTCTTCAGTCCAAGTGGTGCTGGTTTACAGCAGCTCCTAAATATCTTTTCTTAATATGGCGTGCAGTATTACATCCAGTATAATGCTGTTAAAAGTGCTATCTTGATATGTAGAACCAAGCAGGATAAAAGGCTAAACTTTCCAGTGTTTAAACAGTCTAATAGTGATCTTAATGTGTATGAGAAGGTGAAATACCTTGGCCACTTTAAAAACGATCAAATGTGTGATGATGATGATGATGATGATGATGATGATGATGATATCTATAGACAGTGCTGTAAGCTCTATGCACAGGCCAATACTATAGCACCTAAGTTTGGTTTTTGTTCACCTCCAGTTAAGGTGGATTTACTTAAAGCATATTGCACTCCATTTTATACAGCCCAACTGTGGTCATCCTACAACTGCAGTAGCATGAATAAGCTGCATGTTGCATGCATTGATGCTTTAAGAATCCTACTCAAAATACCCAGAAGGGGCAGGGCCTACCAGGTCTTCGTAACCGCTGGCATTTGTACTTTTAAAGCTCATTTAAGAACATTAATATTCACCTTCCATCTTTCAGTTCTTTTTAAAACACAGAAAAGGAACCTTTTCTGTGTTTTAAAAAGAACTGAAAGATGGAATTTGAAACTAAACACAACAAGAACACACCAAAGATGATTAATATTCACCTTTAGAGATAGTTCTACTAACTGTGTGATTACTCTCAGTTGTGTGGAGCATCTCTATTTTTATATTCTTTAGATTTTACATGCTTTTCTTACTTTTATGCATTCTATTTGTTGTTTTTGTCTGTTATTTTTGTGCATTTAATTCCATTTATAATTTTTAATGTTTTGTTTTATTTTTATTTGGACCCAAATGTCTGTTAATTAAGATTATCTTTCTATGTAGTCAGTGACTCGATGCAATCTGCTGGGTTTCCTTACTCAGGAAACTTTTAACCAATTCCTGGACATTAAAACAACAACAGCCTTCCCCGTCGTGAATCAAGATGGGTGAGTCCATGAATGTTAAGTGACAGTGTGATATAGATCTGTCAGACTTGCAAATCCCAGCGTTTCGCCGTCTATTTTCTATCAGAAGCTTAAGCAGGAGATGGGTGTAGGAGACTATTTTCATGCAGGTTCAGTTCAGCCAACCATACATTTAATGACATAAATGTACGCTGCTAAGAGTCAAGGCTCTTCAGTGGCCCCCTGCCTCCCTACCCTCTAGATCCGCCCCTGTATTTTAGTGAATCTAGGTTTTTCAGTATATTTACTGAATACCTTTGACATTTTATTCTCTTGCAGGTAACCTTGATAACATAGTTCATGTCAGTTGGGTTGCTAGTGTGACACAATCCGACTGTAGTTCAATGTGTTTTTATTTCTTTTAATTGTTTTAGTGCTGGACCAAGTCGAGCTAAAAACTGGACATTTCTGGTCACCAGCTGATTATCCAGTGCACGTTCCTGATACTTTGCTGGGACTTTGTTATTACTGAATCGTACAGCTTCTGCAGAGTTTCTCACAAGCTACTTGTCTCAGGACTATGTTTGTGAGTGCCACTGTATTTCTAAATATAAAAATAATGAATTACAACAAGAACTTGTCTGAGTACTCACATAAGTAAACAAACTTAGGCTTTCAATGATCCTACTTTGTTAAAACATTTTACTAGACCTACTTCAAGACCTCTGGAATGCTTTAGGAAGTAATTGCAAAGGTCCTTCTTTGTTTGATTATGAAGGCAGCAACATAAGTACTCTCCCTCTCAAGAGTTCATTATTTCTTAAGTGTGCATACCAATTAAAGAGCTTATTTTTTGTCTGAAAGCTTTCTGGGAGAACTGACAAAACACAACCATTAACTCATTAGGAGACAAGGCCATTTGTGCAGTACCTTTTTTTATTTCTGGGTTTTATTTCTGTGGTTTTCTTCTCCCTAGAATTTACAGCATACAAAATACCAGCAGTTAAAGAGCAAGTCACTCCCTACCAGAGTCTAACTCCACTCCCAGTTCCCTATATGAAAAATGCATCAAAAGGAGGCATTGCCTGGCAGAACGTGAGGGCGGAGCAGCTAACAAATACATACACACACACAGGCTCACAGCAGCAAAGGGAGTCTAAGTCACGCCCACCGTTTTCTGGACCGTGAGTCCCCGGAAGAACAGAAAAATGAATGCAAGTTAATAGGGCTACAAATACAATATTATTTATTCCGCTTGTTATGTACCATGGATTTCACATATGTAGTCAGAGAATTTCACAGACACATTTTGATACCAAGAAAGCGCTAACTTTTGAATGGGGGGAAAACGCTATTTTAGGTTTTGTGTGAAAAAATGTCCAGGATTACAAATGCGCTTCACCAAAGTGACGTCACCAAACCAGACACGGAGAAAAACAGAGGGAAAATGGCTGTACGTTCAGCAAGGAAAGAACCACCAAAAATCTGGCAATGTGGTAAGTATCAGCTACGCTAGGGGAGAGGAGATTATGTGGTGACATCATATATGCGACGTACCAATGTCCAATTTTTAGTCACGCCAATTACGAACTTTTACAAGCTGATAAATCCAAAGTACATGACAGGTATGGTCCAAACACCCATCATTACTTTTCATTTAAATTGAAGTACAACATAAGTGCAATCCAGGGTCTAAGGCAAAACAGATTAGAAAATAACCGTATGTGTGGCCCTTTTAGCTCTATTGACTTGCATTCGTGTTTTTCAATTTCCGAGGACCCATGAGCTGACCGAAAAGGGAGGAGACTTAGACTCCCTATTGTGACATCATATGATACCAGCTAACGTCATAGGGTACTGTTTGGCCAACGGCGATCAGTTAAAAAAAAGGTTTATTTGGGGTGACTTGCTCTTTAAGTTCTTTGTAATTTGTCAATGTTCACAATATACCAACATATCCCGACATTTGTGTAGTTTGTCTGCAAGAAAAACTGACCTGCTGACAATCAAAGAGCCCTTCTGCTCATGTACTCCCAAATATTGAGATATTTACAATTAGCTTAAATTTGGACTTATTTAAATACCTCTAGTTTTCATGAATACATTTAAAAAAAAAATGCATGGGGAGAGCAAGCATGCTTGGGTTTTCTCCTGTTGACTCAAAGTTGTTGGCAGGTGTTGACCCTCCTGTTTATTTGTATGTGTGGCCCTGTGGTGGACTATAGGATCCACCCCATGCCTTCACCCCTGGAGGAGATTCAGTCCATGTAATAAAAAACTGACTGAAACTATTCTACAACTTCAGGGTCTGACTTACTCTGACACTACTTTAAGAGTTCATTAGATAACACCCAGGTATCTTTAATTTTCCTGCTAAGATACAGCTCATATAATAATTGCAATGGAAACAACAAACTGTCCATTCAATGACAAAAAATACACAAAATGTAAATCACTAAGAGATGGCTGATGAAAGACCCCGCCATTTCATCTGACAATGGTGTAAAACCAGTTTTAAATGTTCTGGGATGATGGCGTTCCACTGTGGGAGCCAGCATGGTCTCTCAGTGCTTCTGGCAGAGCCCAACGCGACTCAGCAACATCAAGATGTCTCTGTGAAATGCTTTTGTTAGTATAGCATAAAAAAATGGGTGTGCACAAGAGTTGAGAGGATAAAAAAGCACAAGCAGCACCTACGGAGAAAACCATCAGTTAATAATTGTTTAGAAAATGAAAGAATTCTGTGTTCAGGCTAAAGAAAAAGTCCTTACCTTAGAGTCTGTGATGGTCATTAGAGGCTGGTGGAAAGCTGCAGACAAACCATAGAAACAGATAGGAACCAGGCACAAGAAGTTGGTAAAAATAAGAACGGCCATGCGTTTAGCCATGCTTGTGTCGAATCGGCTCGAGTCGTGCTGGGGATTGTGCACCATAAAGTAGATGTGAAGGTAACACAAGCATACCACAATAAAAGCAATGACGTTGATGCTCAGCACAGAGATGATGTAAGCCTGGGCAACAGTTGTCTCCGTATCCATGGGTAAGCAAATGCTCACTCTCTGGTAAGTGTTCACACCCAGCACCGGCAGCAGCGCTATGATCACACAAAGTAACCACCCAACGAGCATCAGCACAGTTATGTGACGCAGCCTCATGTGTCTGTCTGGCCTCATAGCATTAAAGATGGCATGCCAGCGCTGAAAGCTGATCAAAGTTAATGTGTACACAGATAACTCGCTGGCAAACACAGATAAAATTCCTGCTAGATTACAGCCACTTCCTGTTTGCCAGTAAATAGCATACTGGTAATATTGGGAGTGCGTGTAGAAATCAACAAATGCTATGAGTAGTAAATACATCCCCATGCAGCCGTCTGCAAAGGCCAGGTGACCCATAAGGAAACGGGTCACAGACATTTTCTGCTGGCAGGTCAGCAGGGTTAACAGCACTAACGAGTTGGCTGAGATGGCTAACAAGCTGACTACCCAGACTAACACCCTCAGGAGGCCTTGACTTATCACATCATCACAGGGGTTTAAGGCATCAGGCAGAGGTGTGCATATGGGTCCGTTGTCGATGTGAGGATCATCACACAGAGCTAGGTCAGAATCATCCCTGACCTGATCTGAAGATAAACTCACAACAAACAAATCTTTATCCTGAGGCTGATTAGCTGGGCAGCTCATGTTGTAACCTGCACTGTGAGGGGTTGGAACATTAAGGTTCTCTTCCACATGCAGGGCAACTTGGTGTTCCAGATATTTCTGTGAAAAAACAGCGGGAGATTCCAGCTGCTTTCCCAAAGCAGCCCTGGACAAGTTGCAGAAAACGGCCTCTGTGTGCCTAGAGCAGTAGATGAAACAGGATTAGTTACCGCATGCCTAATATCTATTTGTACAAAGTGCACAAAAGCAAAATTTCTGAAAGTGTTGTAAAGATAACATCCATTTATTTTTAGTCAAATCACCTAAAAATAAAAAGTTGGATGAGAATTTCAGAAATCAACATTGCAAAAAAGACTTATTTAAGGAGAATTTAGTTCTGTGTGTCCTTAATATTTCATATTTTTTTAACACATAAATAAACAAATGAATGCAATTTATATTTCAAATGATTAAGATACAAGTTAATAAAGCCATGGCAGCTCTGAAATCATCCAAAATAACGAGGTCTGCATCAGATGTTGCCCAACCAGAACATTCTGGAGAGAAATGGGCCACTGGAACAGAAAACCTTGGACAATGCCAGAAAATCTGTTGGAATGCTACTCAATGAGCCAGGCTGTACGGATGGAAATGGGAACTGTGGAAATTTCAGACGAGCTGAACATTAAATGAGTATTTTGAGATAGTCTTTCATTGCCCTGTCTTACTTTACATTTTGCCTATCTAATTCCCAATGACCTTGAGCTTGCAAATGTTCTTTTATTTTTTCCTTGAGGTTTACGTTTATGATTACAACTCGTTTTGGCTTTAACTTGAATCTGAAAGCTCATCTGCAGAGAAGCAAAAATCTAGAAAAAACTGCATTTAAGTCAAATAGAATTAATATTTTATAAAAACATATTTAATTAATTAATTATTACCATGTCAAACTATTTAATGATATTTAAGTAAATGCACGAACTGTCTGTTACTATTTTATCTGATAAACAAATAAATAATAAATTAAGAATCACTTGTTCGTGCTATAGGCCATCATGTATCACAGAATTTGTCTGAACAAATTATTTGTATAATTACTTAATTAAAGATAAATTACTGTAACAATTCAGTATCAATATTATATGAAGATTTAAAAATGTTTATGGAAGTAAAATAAAGCAAAATATCTTCTTACCTTCTTAATCTTTTAAGCATCTTAAGACCACAGCAGTGGCTTGGAAAGGTCAAGTGAGCGGTCTGTAAGTGGAGAAATGCACTAAAGGGAGGCAGTGCTTTGAGGGTCAATGTTCTTTTCACCTGGAGTTTCTCTATGTTCTCCATACCTACAGAAGGTAATGAGTGTACTTGGGTGTCTGACAGGTCTCTGGAAGGACACAGAGCTCAAATGAGGCCACATATTTAACATATCTAATGTAAAATACTTTGGATTTTAAAAATCTGTGTAATTTTCTTTTTTTTTTTGTGTCATTTGAAGTTAGTATTTTTCAGTTATTTATTTGTAGTTAAGACCTGATCAATCAGTGACAACACTCAAAGAAAGTGGGAATATCTCCAAACAAATGCAGCCCCTGAATTTGGACACAGCAGACAGAGGTCCTCAGATCAGGGTAATGATCATGCTTAGTCAGATCTAATTTTGCTACATAAAATGTTAAATCTGATTAGTTCTTCTTACTTGAAAAAAGCATGCAAATCAATTGTACTTAAAAGAATAAGTACATGGGACTAAGTAATTATGTGTAGCAGCTACTAATAATTAACAAGTAAAATGAACTTAACTATAAGTAATTTTAACTTAGTCAAACCAGTACAAAGTACATTTGTGTACTGATCTAGTTCTTCTGATTTTTACGCAGTATGTAAGCTGTAAGCAAAATTTCCAGTACATTGTACTAGTTTGTCTCAGTAATAGAAACTTGAATTTAGGTCATGTGTACTTATAATTGTAAGTGTATGAAACAACTCTTGCTCAGAAAAGTCTCAATGATGTGCCCAAACACTATAAACCTGCCTGTAAACATGCCCTATCAGCATGTTAACAAAGGAGTACACATTAATATCCAGGCCTGCAAACAGAGCAGTCAGTGATGCCAGCTCACCAACTTTCCTGACTTATTTAGCAAGTTTTCAGAACCCCTCTTATAAAAGCAACTTCCTGCACAAGTCCCTTTGCTCCAATCATCTAAGAGTGTTGGAGTTGGAGAGTAGGAATGTAAAACACCACTTAGTCAAAGCTTCAGTCATTTTATACAATATTATCCCAGCTACTCCATCTAACAACCACACTTTTGCTGTATTTTACATGAAACTTTGTCATCCGAATCACTTTTCATGCCTCAACAAATTAATTCAGTCTCATTTATATCAAATCTGATGCTGAGATGTTTCAGGTGTGTCAGATGTGTTTAACAAATTATCTCTATTTTTATATAATTGATGCAGATAACTGAAGTTTATTTAATTACATGATTAAAAAAGTCAGTGTGTGTTACTTGTAGCTGAATATAACTCACAAATGAGTTGGCCCATGAATCACTCCATCAAATGCAAATTCATCAATGCGTTCCAAATCCACATTCCTGTGAAGGTACCTATAGAGCAGATTAAATGTAAAATATGTATAGTGTTAAATATATTTCTGATGTTTTTGGTCAACTTTAGAATTTTGCATTAATCTAAACATGTACACACATACACATGTATGTAACTGAGAATACTGAGCCCTACTGTTCCACAGATGCAATTCCAAATATCTTACTGTAGAATTTACTGCACTGATTTCCGATTTGCTTCAACTGAGTCTTCCTCGGTCAGAAGGAACAGTCAACTCCATTGGTACAGTTCAAGCTGTTTATTAGCATTCCGTTCCAGTGTGTACAGATGTCCTCAGAGATGTGTGTGTGACTGTGGGTGTATACTTGGGATGCGATGTGATGAGATGTGGTTATTAACAAGTATGCACACAGGAGGTATACACCCAGGAAACACTGATTACAGTTTTTTTCGATTGCTAAAACTCAAAAAGCAAAAATGAGGCACAATTTTCACAACCTCTACTTCTGTTCCCAATCGCTTGACTCAAATTATCACTACTTAAGATTTCCTTATCATATTAGAACTCTGATTTTCCTCCTTTACACTCTGATGTCAGTTTCACATTACCTTGCTGTCAAAACACAGCACACAATTTTCAGGTTTACACACACTTCTCACATAAATTCTCAAAGCTTCAATCAACAACACACTAATATTCAAATCTCTAAACTTTCAGGTCTGGCGAGCAATTTGCAATCAGGGACTGCAGCGTAAAAGTAAGTTTCCACAAGGCTACCCAGGTGTATGAGTGGTTTCAGGACCACCCACGGTTTTCCATTTTATACCTTCCACCTTATTCCCTCTTCCTCAATCCCATTGAGGAGTTTTTCTCAGCCTGGAGGTGGAAGGTGTACGAAAGGAATCCACAGAGCAAGGTCCCACTATTTCAAGCCATGGAGGAGGCTTGTAGAGATGTGGCCTTTGAGGCCTGTCAGGGCTTCATGAGGCATTCGAGGTGGTACTTCCAGCGCTGTTTGGACCAGGAGGACATCGCCTGTGATGTTGATGAGTCCCTCTGGCCAGACAAAGACTGGAGGCATGATGCCCCCATGATTATGCCCCATGATTATGCTTGTGTGATGTCTAAGATGTCTAATGTTTGTCTCAGAGAAAAGTGGGCACTGTCATACATTCAGTGTGTAATTCATTGTGTTTCATTTAGACAATTGTGTTTTCAGTTTTGCTCTTCAGTGTTCTTTCCATGCTTGGTAGTGTTCACCCAAAGGCTACTTGTGTTTAAGCAATGAATGGTATGTGTGTGTCATGTGAAAATTTGGCTGTGTTTACCAAATGAAAACACGTGTTCCATTTTGGGAACACGTTACGATATGTGATGGCAGGGTTTTGTTGCAAAGGGAAGCCAAGGTTTAGGAATTTGTGTGTTATGTTTGGGGTTTTGTGTGTGCAGTTTTGAAAGAAACGTACAGTTTTGAAAAACTTGTTTTAGCAATCGAAAAAAACTGTAACACCTCAACTCCTCTCAACTGCTCAGTCAACAAAACAGCTGGGCACACTCAGGATGCCATATTATATGCTGAGGTGCATCATGGGAAATGTAGTGTGATCAATGCAACACAAACGAGGGACTTTTAACACTTACACTTCCTCCAGTCTGCTCCCATTGAAAGCATAGCCCTGGATCTCTCTTAATCCATTATTATTCAGAATGCTAGAAAAGACAACAGATAGAAATGTCCTGTAAACATGCTTTCTGACCTCTGAAGAAAAAAAAACATCCACAGAAGTGGTATTTGCAGAATGGGAGTCTATAAGGGAATAAAGTTATTTTCTGATTCTGTTTGGTATGTCTGTGCCATGGGTTTAATATATGATGTTCTTGAATTTTAGACACAGTTTGATGCCAAGAAAGCAGTTATTTTTGAACAGCGACAAAAGTTATTTTAGGTTTTGTGTAAAAGACGTAGTGGACTACAAATGCTTGTCTCACCAAATTGACACCATCGAACCAGACAGGGAAGAAGAGAAAATTGGTTTAGTGAGCTTCGACTCCTTCCAGGACAAAAGAAGCACCATTAAACGTGGAGAAAACCACTATAAATCTGGCCATGTGGTAAGAAGCTACACTACGGGAGAAGAGATTATGTGATGATGTCATATATTCAACATCTGATTTGTGGTTTTTTCAAAGGTGGGGTTTACTCGCTTATTCAATACATTTGCAGTGTTCTCTAGTGTTAATAAATGCCTTATGAATATTTCTTTAAAAGCTGTGATGCTCCTGTTCTGAGATGCAGAAGTTTGCTGGTGCAGCGGTGGGCTGAAAACAGCAGGAGTCAGGATTCTGATTGGCTAACACATTGCTTTCAGCTATGTTGCAAAGTCACTATCACCAAAACACTCTGCCCTCTCTCCTCCCTGCAAAAAGAAAAAAAAAACTTCCTGTGGGTGGGCACAAGCCAAGATGGGCGAAGCTATGAATGCAAAATCACAGTGTGACTTAGGCTTGTGAGGATTTTCAAATCCTAGAGTTTCAGATATTGTCTATCAGAAGCTAACACAGGAGATAGGTGTAGGAGACTGTGTTCATGCATTAAAATCTCAGCGTGACCGATTATAGTCTGAAATAATATTTAAAAATTTGTTTTCAGTGAACCACACCTTTCATTATGAACTTTTACAAGTTATAAATCTCAAATTATGTGACAGATATGGTCAAAACACACATCATTACTTTTCAACATATGTGTGATTCAGGGCGTAAGGCAAATAGAAAATAACCTTTATCCACGTTCGCTTACATTTGTTTTTTCTTTGATCAGGGTACCCATGAGCCATAGGGAGGAGTCTTGGGTTCAAAACCAGTTGCACAGGTTTGCATCAATTATGGCATGGACCAAGGAGATGCTCTGCCCCCAATACTGTTCTTCATAGGTCTGGCTCCCCTCCACCACATCAAACAGTGGCAATGGATGCTAGTTTATAGTGGAGCAGTCAAGATCATCCTCCTCTACATGGATGACATCAAGCTGCATGCTAAGAATGAGTGAGATAACGACTCACTGAGCTAACTCACTAGCAGCTTGGCTAGCTTGAGTCAGAACCACTACACACATGGCCTGACTAAAATTTCAAGGAAATCAGTAAAATACTCACAGTGATGAATTGGTTTGTGAACATATTGGGTCACTGAAACACGGTGTGGTGCAGGAAGTCCTGCACAGTGTGGACATAGTCCCAGTGGTGGGAGAAAGACTGTACTGATCAACAGGCTCTTAGCACAAGACCAATGGAGGCCAGAGTCTAGAACAGTGAATCTCAACTGGCGGCCCATGGGCCACATTAGGCTCGCCAGAACTTTCCACCTGGACCCCCAACCCTTTGGGCTCTAACACCCCCTAATTGGGGCCTTTGAAGTTTAGCAGCAAAATTCATGTCCCAGATATCAATAATTGTTAAAGCTCTCCAAACACAACTGAAACTACATTCAAAACAGTTTAAAAGCCATTTAAAATAATAATAAAATAAGATACAATAACAATTAAAATTTTTTTTGGAATAACATCTGGCCCTCACAATGTCTGATGGAAAAATCTCTGGCCCTTGAACACATTTAGTTGAAAGCCCCTGGTCTAGAAGATCCAAGATAGCGTCTGCCACATCAGACGGGAGACGGTGCAAATATGTCTCTGAGACAGTCCAGCACAAACCAGAGAAATGTAAAAGGCAGGCAGCCAAAGCAATACTCAGATAATAACCCACAACCACAAAAGGGGTCATGGATGTGTGCATGGGCTGTTTGCATGTCTGGTTAGGGTTAGGGTTGTGGACAGCCCTGTCCAGACACACACATGAAGAGGTAAATGTGACACAAGCTCAGACACTTAAAGATATGGTTATCTACTAAAATGTGGAAGTTATCAATGAATGTTATTGTACTGATCAAACAACTGTTAAAGAGACTGTGTAGTTTTTGCTATTAATTTCTGGAAATATCCATTAAAATGTTGTTGAAAATGAATGAAATGATGCCCAGTTGTTGAAAAATATTGGCAGCTTTGTAACATATAACCATAAAAATCATGTAAAATGCATGGGAGTGGGTCTAAGGCCCTGTCCACACGTAGCCGAGGATCTGCCAAAACGTAGATATTCTTATACGTTTTGGTCTGTCATCCACACGAAAATTGAGTTTTTTCACACGAAAACGGATCTTTTTAAAAACTCCGGCCAAAGTGAAGATCTGCATTTTCTCCATTTTGGGTGTCTGCGTGTGGACAGACAAAACCAGAGTTTTAAGGTCCGCAACGTCACTTTCCGCGACAAAAAATGCTGACATCACGTGTGCGACCTGTGTTTACACTAGCCGACAGCTGGATGCCCTCAGCGCTGTGCTCACTTTATCAATTGTCCAAGCGCTTTCTGTTTGTTTGTTTTTGCAAGCGGAATTACTGCTCCTTGCGAAAGACCACAGACGAAGGACAAGGTTAAGAACGGGGGAAGTACTGCCGCCTACAGGTCTGGCATGTCCTTAACAACGTATTTATCCGGGTACGTGTGGACAGAGTTATTTTTTAAAACGAGGTGATGTGGATGCAAGTTTTTGGAGGGGCGGATATTCGTTTTTAAAAAGACCCGGCTACGTGTGGACTAGGCCTAAGTCTCTAGGCAATGCCATATTAGATGCCATGTTTTCTTCTATGGGAGCCCATGAGGACAAAATGCATTTACTGATTTGTAACAAACGGTTACAAAACTTTCGTCATTCTCAAAATGTTGTTTTACACATTTACCTGTTCACTTTTTGCCAGTGATAAAAAGGAGTCTGATGTGCTTGTTATTTTGCTAAAGTTTGCACTCCCCAGGGCTTTTTGACCCTAATGGGCATCCATTGGTATGGTCTTACTCCAACACAAAAATACTGCTTGCTTGCAATGATTTAGGTATCTACTGCCCCTATCGCCAGGAAAAATACACACTGTCACTTTAAGTGGTACACTAACCCAATAATAGCACACATAAAAACTTTAGGCTTTAAAATGTATTATGCTGACACTGACTATTAAAGTTTTACGCGCACATGAGCAGAATCTACTTACATGGTTAGAGCATTCACTGATATTCCAGTAAAAGAATTAGCAGGAAGGGTTTTTATGAAGGCATTGTCCACTATTTCCCTGTTAAAAAAGAATGATAATAAATTCTTACCATGTAAAATCTCACATTTTATTAGCTTAAAATGTAAATAAAAGATAAATATTTACACTTACAAAACAAAATCCAGTTGTCTTGACTTGATATATTCCAGCTTGGGGAATGAAGTGACAGCTGTGTTCATGATTCCTCTGTAGTAAAACATGAGGAGAAAGAATTAAATCACAAAGTTCTTCTGCTGGTTCTAAAGGCTTTATATTATTTTGGGGGGAAATGGTCTCAAAATGTGAGTAATTTGAATTAGACGTACAGATATTTTAGATTTGGAAGTTCCTTAAATGCCTCTTGATCGATGTATGACAGTGTTTTAATACCATGTAGCTGTCTGTTGGACACACACACACACACACACACACACACACACACACACACACACACACACACACACACACACACACACACACACACACACACACACACACACACACCTCAGAATTCTCACACAAAATAGTATTTCTTTATCTCTACTGCGTAATAATTCACTTCTCTCTAGAGCAGGGGCCCTTTGTGGCATTTCTGCCCTTTTGAAGTAAGAACAGTGGCTCAGTGGAAAGAGCGGTCACCTGCTAATTAGACGGTGGGTAGTTTGATCCCAGTTTTCTCATCGCATATGAAAGTGTTCTTGGTCAAGACACTAAACCCCATGTAATTTTATAAATCATGTTTTCTTCATTTTAAGAGTTCTTAGAGGTTGCAGGCCCCTGCTCCAGTGACAAATGGTCAAACCAGAAACTACAGTAAGCAGAAAATTCTGGTCCCTATCGGAACATGTGTATCTTACAGGATACATACATGTGCTTGAGCGTGGACAGGTTGTAAAAGGAATGCTTCTCAAGAAATCTTAAATTGTCGTCATCAGTGATGTATCTGAAAAATTAGACAAAACACTGTAGTTGGTATTTTTAATTTATCAGTAAACAACTCTAAGGCTGAAAACTGGGTGATTTGTTTGATCCTAATAATCAGTTTGGTTTTGAGAGTCTGTTATCTGAAACCCTCTGACAAAAAAAAACAAACATTTACATCATGTTATAAAGTGGTATTAAAATAACAGTTTGCAAATATGAAACATTTGAGAGGAGTTTAGACATCAGTTTGTAAATAGCTCCACTCAGGGTCAGAGACACACTTAAGAAGGTCTCAATAAGAGTAAAGATGCTGTTTGTAAATAATGGTAATGAAGACTGACTGTTAATTTTCATATAGTAATTTGTGTTTGCTTTTCAAACAGCTAAGTGACATCCTGCGAACCAGCCAGTTCAACATGTTTGAAAGAAAAGAGTTCACACTGAGTAAAAGACGACTTACATGTGAGAAATGTTGAGCAAATTGGCAAAGGCATTTTGAGGAACAGAAGAAATATTTGTCTTCACAAGCCATCTGAAACACAAATAGATTTGGTGTTCAGTCTTAACCTCATCTTTAATAGCAAAAGCAGAAAAAGTTACTTACACCTCTTGTGTGGTGGAACCAAAAACAGGCATGACCTCAGCTCCAACACATGAAACCCTGCTGATGCCCCGGTCACATCTACATGGGGGTGGACAGTGTTCCAGAGAGAGAGACAGACCAACTATAACGGACATAAAGGAAGGCAGATTTAATTTAGGCTTCATTGTAAATGCCGTAACATTGTCAGAAAGACTGCTCAATGAATGAAGTTTTAAAAGCCACTGGACTGCCTATTAGGATCAAGACCTTCAAAATAAAAGTTAATGTGAAGACTTTCAAAATAAGATACATGGAGTTATAGCCAAGGATTGTGTGCTAAAAAAATATTAAAAACTGTGTGTATTCCATGTGTTTTTGTTTTCAGAATTTCATTAAAAACTGTATTTTTGGTTTGAAAAATGTGTTTAAAGCAAAACCTCAAAGCAGTGGTATTCAATTCTGGTCCTGGAGGGCTGGTATACATCACATTTTAGTAATTTCCCTGCTCCAAGTTCACACACTAGATTCAGTGGTTGAGTCACTTATGCAGCACCTTATTAGGCTCTGCAGAAGCCTGTTAATTACCTGCTGATTGAAATCAGGTGTGGTGAAACAGATTTTAAGCTAAAACGTGCTGGATACTGGCCCTCAGGTCTGGAATTGAATACCCCTGCTTTACAGGGTTAGTGAAAGGCCACCCAGCCCCTAAAACCAGCTCAGTGGCCTAACGATACTGAGCAGAACCCTCTATAGCTGCCAGGCTTCTGGTAGAGGACCCAAGCTTGGAAGGATGAGACCACCCGTGGAGGGTGAGATAGGAGTGTGTGTGTGTGTGTGTGTGTGTGTGTGTGTGTGTGTGTGTGTGTGTGTGTGTTTTGAAGCAAAAGTAGAATTTACAAATAAACTTATTTTAAAATAAATAAATTTTACCTTTTCACGAGGAAATAAAATATCAAAGTCAAAAGCTCCAAAAAGTGGTTTCTGCATGATTATACATTAAAATTAATGATGCAGCATTTGCATAAAATTTTAAGCATTTTGGATTACGTCTCCAATCATCCTAACAGGGCCTCTGATTGTGTGTATTGCATATTTTTAAAGACATTTCACAACAATTTTTATTTATTATTTATTTTTTTATTTTATTTATTGAGAACCTCATTAGCTCTCACTATAGTGTTGAGCTATTCTTCCTGAGGTCTCTTTCAATTTCATTACAAATATTTTACAAAACACCCCCCCCCTCCCCCCACACACCCACACACCCAACAACAACAAACTCCAGGAGCTCATTATAATCATACCAGCTCAATTGCAATAATGATATACCAGTAATTTACCACACACTTCAGCGTTCATGAAAAATCTAAATAAGTGAATACGGAGAGTTTACACAGAGCAATAAATATATATATCCAAGAATCAAGAAACATGTCACATCACATCCATAACAAACACAAATTATAGAAGCTGTCATTTCAGCCACATTTACAATTTACTGTGCAAAATTTACTGTTGTGTAAACAAAACAAGCTTTAACTTCTTTTGAAAACATCTTCTGTTATTCTCTAATAACAAAAATCTCGGTATGGCATCCATGCAACCATGGCTCTGTGATAAACTGCTCTTTGCCTTTGATTTGTTCTGCAGCGCGATAGTGCGCACCTTATGTCACTTGTCTGTCTCGTCATGTAATCATGATTGTCTGAAAAAATGATAACTTTTCATAAATTATTTTAGGTATTTTCATAATTATTATATTTCTTATAAATGTTATCAGTGAATACTTTAATCTACATTTCACTGTTAACCAGGCCAACCTATCGTGCATCATACTTAAATTTTTTTCCACAATTACAACCCAGAACAATTCGTGCAGCTTTATTTTGTGCCACTTGTAACTTATTTAAATTCATTAAAATTAAATTCAACATCTTGTTATTACCACCTGAAGCCAGGTCCACCATGAAAACAAGCTACCAGTCTGGTACCGTCTGTGTGTCTCCACCAACTGTGGCTTCAGTTCAACTCGAATTTGTTACTGGTTCCCAGCAAGTTTCCAAAAACAAATGCCTCACCTAATCAGTTCCAGACCCTTTACATACTTAACTGATGAAGTGACAGAATCCTCTCAGCTTTTTGAGTAGTTACTGGGGACAGATGTTCTCATTAACAGAGCTGTTCCATTGCATTTATTCAAGAATAGTTCAGTAACTATGTAACGGGACTTTTACAGCTGTGTCTGAGAAGTTATGGGATGTTTGGCTGAGTAGACATGCTGCGTGCTGTTGAGTCACATCTTTTTAGCGCGCGGACAGTGGGCAGCCCACGAGCCGTTGCTGAGAAGCGGTCGCGCGCCACTACTCGTTTCTGCTCCTCTCTCCGGGATGAACGCAGCTTTGTCTCGTGTGCAAGTTGAAAATGCAGCTTTCTCTGAGTCCGGGAGCTCGTTGGAGAAACTAGAAGTGAAAACCAAAAAGGAGCAGCGCAGCTGGATGCGACAGTTGTCCGTCGGAGCTAAACTTTCGCTGTGAAGTTAGTGTAAATGAACGCCATGGCCTCCTTCTCCTTCGGGAGGTTTCTCTGGGTGCTTTTCTTAAGTCCTAGGGTGATGTGTGACGGTGAGTGCCTGCTTTTTCTGCATGAGAGAACGAAACATTTATTCAACACACACTCAAATGTGAAAAGTGATAAATCTGCGGAAATGGGGAGAGGACGCGCAGTTTAAAGTGGGTCTGCTGTGATAGAAATGTGCCGTTGGTAGTTTCTACAGCCTGGACGCTTTTCCACCCAGCTGCTCTTCTCTAACGCACCTTTACAAGCAGCCTTCTTCATTCCACCTTCGTTTACTGTTTCTAACATGCTTTAAAAGCGGAACCGTTTCCCAGAGCTGTGGCCTGCTTTTCATCCCTGGTTTCTGGAGGACAGGGCTGGTTTGTAAGGGGGGGCTCGCCTCCAGGAGCCACTTAAACAGTCTTTGTCCTCCTCCCGCTTGTTGACATACCCCAGTTACTACAGAAAGGTGCTTGTGTCGGACTCAAAGGGCCTCTGTGCCGTTGTCATGTTAATTGAACGCACAGCTAGAGGTAATATCGCGCCGTTGTCACTCATGCTAATTCCGTGAGCCTCTCTGCGGGGGTCGACGCTGCGCAGGTTTCCTGTTTGCAGCTTTTGCACCAAGGATTTGCCATTTGCTAATGGGTGGGTGGGGGTGGGGAGTCAAAGGCCCAATAATTAGCACCTTCAGCCGTCCTGCAGCAGCCTCATGGGGCTGCAGGGAGCATTTCCTGACTCTTGGACCCTAGACCATATTGCTAAATGGTTGCTGCGAGTGGGTTTTTGGTTTCCACGTAACTCATCTGTTTACGTATTATTTCCAAATTAATATGTGATGGTAGATGTTTATGTTTAACACATTCCAGATGTGTCAGACCACTGTGTAAAAGTCCGTTATCCAATCACACCAGTATTATAAATGGCCAGTCTTTGACACAGTTATGGTTTATTTTAGACCTTTTTGTGGTTGTAAGTATGGGATGTTGGATCTGGACACTTTAAACTACATGAAGATCTGTTCTGTTAGACAAACACTTTTTTTGCTTGATTTTATAGTTTTGCTCACATGGATATTGGTATTGTACGTTTTCTGTTTCTAACTGAGCCTCTCAGCCCCAGGGAAGGAGCTGTTCATCAGCCTTGTCTGGGCTTTGAGGCTGCTCAATCTGATGGGAGAAGGTTGACTGGTGTTGGCTGGATAGGTTCAGTTCATCTTTATTTCCTTTACTTTTTGCTGTGGATGGAAATGTCCTCAAGAGAGGAGAGGCTGCTGCTGGTCATTCTTTGAGCAGCTGTTTTCTGTGGGCTAATCTGCTGTTGACACATCGAAGGTCAGCTCTCCTGAGGAAGTGTGAGTTCACTACAGCAAAAGAATCACGATGACTCAAAAAGGGCATGAAAGTTATTCAGAGCATCAAGTAGCGATGGACTCCTCCTTGAACCGTCACCTTATCGTGGTGGAGGAGTTTGAGTGCCCTAATGATCCTAGGAGCTATGTTGTCTGGGGCACTTAGTGCCCCTGGTAGGGTCTCCCATGACAAATTGGTCTTAGGTGAAGGGTGAGACAAAGAACGGTTCGAAGGATCTTTCATGGCGGTTAAAACGAAGAGTCGGAGTACCCGGCCCGGAGGGTTACCGGGGTCCCACCCTGGAGCCAGGCCTGGGGTTGGGGCCCGTGAGCGAGCGCCTGGTGGCCGGGCTTTCGCCCATGGGGCCCGGCCGGGCCCAGCCCGAACCGGATACATGGGCTCGTCCAACTGTGGACCCACCACCCGCAGGAGGAACATGAAGGTCCGGTGCAATGCGAATCGGGTGGCAGACCAAGGCGGGAGCCTTGGCGGTCCAATCCCCGGACAAGAAAACTAGTTTTTGGGACATGGACGCAGCCGTGGTGTGGAGTGTGTCGAGTTTGGTGGCAGGAGAATCTCGTCTCTGCTTTTTGCGGATGATGTGGTCCTCCTAGCTTCATCCAGCTCTGACCTTCAGCTCTTGCTGGGTAGGTTCGCGGCCGAATGTGAAGCGGCTGGGATGAGGATCAGCACCTCCAAATCTGAGACCATGGTTCTCGACCGGAAAAGGGTGGCTTGCCACCTCCGGGTCGGGGGAGAGGTCCTACCTCAAGTGGAGGAGTTTAAGTATCTCGGGGTCTTGTTCACGAGTGAGGGTAGGAGGGATCGGGAGATCGACAGGCGGATTGGTTCGGCGTCTGCAGTGATGCGGACGCTGAGCCGATCTGTCGTGGGGAAGAGGGAGCTGAGCCAGAAAGCCAGGCTCTCGATTTACCGGTCGATCTACGTCCCAATCCTCACCTATGGTCATGAGCTTTGGGTAATGACCGAAAGAACGAGATTGCGGATACAAGCGGCCGAAATGAGTTTCCTCCGTAGGGTGGCCGGGCTCAGCCTTAGAGATAGGGTGAGGAGCTCGGACATTCGGGAGGGACTCGGAGTAGAACCGCTGCTCCTCCGGATCGAAAGGAGCCAGTTGAGGTGGTTTGGGCATCTGGTCAGGATGCCTCCTGGACGCCTCCCCGGGGAGGTGTTTCGGGCATGTCCTGCCGGCAGAAGGCCCCCGGGTCGACCCAGGACACGTTGGAGAGGTTACATCTCCAATCTGGTCCGGGAACGCCTTGGGGTCCTGCCGGAGGAGCTGGTGGACAAGGCCGGGGAGAGGACGGCCTGGAGCTCCCTAGTTGGGATGCTGCCCCCGCGACCCGGACCCGGATAAGCGGAGGAAGACGAAGACGAAGTAGCGATGGATCACAAGAGCAATCAGCATCCTTACAGTGATGCTTTGTACTCAAAAGGTAGTCTGGAGTAATTGATTGCCTCTTTGGACAGAGGTTACTTTTTCCACTTGATGGCTGCATCCATTTCTCACCTCCTAGTTTGGATGGATGTTTACCGCCTTTGTGCTAGTGACATCACCAGTTGGTGATGCTTTCAGAGACAGAAGTATAGTCCTCCAGGTTCACACTGCCTCTATGAGTAGCACCTTCTCTGAACACCAGCCAGTTGGTGCACTCAAGAACAGTCCTGGAGCAAAATAATGATGATCTAAAATATCCAGGCAGAATGACTGAGCATAAATAATCTGAAACAGCTGATTGTTGGGGAAAATCAAAAGTTAGCAGACTTTACAAGCTTTGATAGGCATAAAAAGTGAGATGATTAAGCTTGAAAGTCAGAAGATTTTAAAGGGCTAGCATTACCTAACCTACATAAAATGTGTTGTCGCGCCAAAGCGGAAGTTCCATGTAGGTCAGAGATGGGGTAAAATATCCCACTGAAGTTCAGAAGCACATAATGTTGAGATCCCAAACCACTAGAGGCCAGGAAAGGCAGCCCCATTCAGCACTTCTGAAAGGTCTTTCAACAGCTGTAAACCAAACGTTCTCCAGTTTACCACATTTTTTCCCCCATTTTCTTACAGTAGGAATTTAGAGATGAGAGCACCTTTTCATTTTGTGTTTTTCTCATTTTAGTTTTATTTGTTTGTTTTATTATGTTGTTGCCTACTATAAAACATTAGATTAAAAACCGACTGGTTATTGATTAGAAATTAGCATTTAGATTGTATTCTGTATCTGTTCAACAATACATTAAGTATGCAAGAAAACAGCTATTTGTTTTTTTGTAGAAAAGATCTGTAAAGCTTTGTTGACTGGAGGCAGAAAACCTAGTGATGGGTAGGGCTGCAACAAACGATTATTTGGATAATCGATTAATCGGATGGGGTCTCGACACGATTAATCGATTAATCGGATTACATGGGGAAATTTTTAAAAACTGCTAGGGAAACGTTATTTCTCTCCTTCCTTCACTTTATTTAACACAACATTATTAGAAAACAGTTCAATAGCAGAAAAACAACATGCCATCACCTAAATTGTCTTATAAGGTGTATAGACAGAGACCCTAAGCTACATCTATCTGTGATCTAAAATGCTTGGTCCAAGTTAAACAGCTTAAGGGCAATTCTCATCTGTTTTGTTTGATCTCATCTGTTAATATTTATTTTAAATGTAATTAAACATAGGCTGTGAATTAATCAAAATTGATCACTATTTCCAAAACTGACTGAAAAAATACCAAATAAAACAAAAGTAAATGAATGCCATCCTCCTTGCGATGATGCCCTGGGCAACTGCCATAAAGTCACATCAAGAAATGCTGCTGATCATTCCAATGATCCCAAATAGACTCACATTAGGCCACATGAAAGCAACTGAACCCAAAAATATATTAACCAGTATATAACTGCACTCTCACACAACACGCCTGCAGCAACAGTTAGGACTCCTCCCTCCCTTTTAAAAGCGTTTTTGCTTCTGAGGACATTGTGGTTGTAAAACCACATGCTAGTAGTCTGGCCCCGGTGTGATCAACCAGTTTCTGCGGGAATGTGACGGCGGAACCAGGGCCAGATTAACACTTTGTTGTACCCTGGGCAACAATATTCAAGGGCTCCATCATCACGACCCAAGGATCACCATAATGTGGTCACATACAGAATATTTTACTGTAATATGCAGTAAATATACTCAATACTTGAATGCCTGACAACACGTAACCCGCCCAGAGTAACCTTTGACCCACCTCGTGTGGACTGACCAATGAGGAGAGGGTCTTAACTTGAGGCCCTCTCTTCATTGGTCAGTCTGCATGAGACTGACTCTCAACTGACGTTCAGTCGTAGGCAGCGAAGCGTCTCTGTGCAGCGCAAAAGCCCGGGTGGACAGTTTGTTTAATATAGGGTGACCATATTTCCATTTCCAAACAAGAGGACAGGGGATCTGTGCCTATGACGTCACACTATGGCAACGCCACACAAACCATGTTGGGACCCATTTTTTGTAAGAACTAAATTAATATCAGATTCTGCCAATTAAAGGGCTCTAAAACTATTCATATGTAAATATTTTGCATATTTAATGCAAAATCTAATTTTTCTGCTTTAGTGCTGCAACAAGGTTTTATTAATAATAAATTATTATACCTTTTGTTTTACTACAGCATCGGTAAGCTTCCTGTGCACAGATTATTAAGGATGCTTGTTTCAGCTGTGAGATTAGACGATAGGATCAATGAAAAAATAAGTTGTCACACACTCCATGGAAACTTTCAGAGAATCCACAAATAGTGGCTTTCAAATGGTTTTGTTACTTTTTGCAAGTTTTTAAAAGAAGCAGATGAGACAGCATGTCTGATAATTTAGTTTTTCATCTGATAATATTAGAACATGTCAGTAATGTCTGAGGGGCTTTTATAAACAATGTATAACTAACACTCCTGGAGAGGGCATGAATTACACAGAGGCTTCTGGGGAGCCCAGTTATGGGGAGGGGGGGGGGGGGGGGGGGCATTTTGCCTTGGCCCCCAAAATGTCTTGAAACGGCCCTGGGTGTGTGACTGAGTTTTGAAGGTGATCTGAATTGTATCAGATGTATAAATATTACATGTGTATAACTTAATGTTTTTTATAGGTAAAAACGTGTAGTGGAGATAAATCTACCTACATTTGACTTTTCAACACTTTGTTTTGTTTTCTTGTTTTTATTTAACTATTTTCCTGTCTTGTCTGTCTCTCATCTTCCTGCATCTCCTCTAAACTCTCCAGAAAATCTGCTGCCTGGATTCTTACCTTTTCACCTCATCAGTTACTTTTGAGCAGATCAAAGGGATCTCCTGACCGAAAAGCGCAGAGCGCGTTTTCGATGCTGCGTGAGGTGACATCACCACAGCAGAGGTGATGAGCTCCGCAGTAGCGAGCTTCAGGCACAAATAAGACAGAAAACAGAGAACATGTGCGGACATGAACGATCGTGTGCTAATTATAGTTTTTTGGTTGCGCCACTTTGAGAATGGACCGTGCGCTGGAAGCAGCTGCCTGGATCGCTGCGCGACAATGCGGAACCGGTTCGCAGCAGCGCAAGTCTGCCGGCTCTCCCTCGCGCTGATCTGCTGGTACTGGCTCTCCCTCGCGCTGATCTGCGGCTCTCCCTCGCGCTGATCTGCGGCTCTCCCTCGCGCTGATCTGCCGGCTCTCCCTCGCGCTGATCTGACTTGCTCTGGTCTGCGCGCAACGGCGGGCGGGAGGGGGGGGGCGCTTTTGGAAGAGTTGTGCGACACAACGAATCGATGACGCAATTCGTTGCCAACGCTTTTAGTAATCGATTTTCATCGAATTTATCGATTCGTTGTTGCAGCCCTAGTGATGGGAATTCCGGCTCTTTTAAGAGAGCCGGTTCTTTTTGCTCAGCTCACCAAAAAGAGCCGGCTCTTTCAGCTCCCTAGTGGCTCCTCAGATTTCCTGTTGCGTAGAGTACATTTATAACCAAAATAATGCTAAACTATATGTAAAATGATTTACCAATATAAAAAAATGCAATATATCAAATATTTATCATTTATATGGATTTAATAACTGAACATTTTAAGAAATCTACACTTTCCGACTGCTGGCGCTCATTTTCTCACGTCTCCGTCGCACTCTCCTCTCTCGCTCTCCTTTTTCCTCCTCCTCATTCCCTCATTTCCCTCCACCCGCATGTGCTCTGCTGTGTGTCTGAGTCTGATCCTCCCTCTTCCCCGCCCCTACTGCTCTGTGTGTGGACAGTCTGGACACACAGTTACACATGTTGACCAATCGCCTGTAGCTTGCACCGAGGCAAGAGGGGAGGGGGAGGGGAGGGGACGGCTCCCAATGACGAGCCGGCTCCCGTCGTTCACTTCAAAGAGCAGGCTCTTAGAGCCGGTTCGTTCGTGGCCGACACATCACTAATAAAACGGGTCTTACCTTTGGCTTATTGATTTGTTAAATTGGTTGATAGTTTTCTAGTTGTTGCTTTTTTGTCCGAAAAATACATTTTAGTCAATCAGCTACAAGAAAAAGGATCGGGGACAGTCTTTCTTCAGTATTGTTTGTTGTATTTAGAAATGTATGAATGATTCTCTCAAGTCTGAGGGTTTGAAGTCTGATTTATTGTGAAACAAAAAAAAAAATAGGCTAGCACTTTAGATCTAACTAGTCACATTTTAAATCTTAATTTATATATGACTAGAACATGAAAATGTTAAGTTTCTATCTACATCAACAGCCTGCTGGAGATACAAAATCTAGTATTGTTGAAATGTAGTTGAGGGCCGTAAGGAATCATTCCAAGCCACATTTTGGACATGCCTAATCAACAGTAAAAGAAGCCTTGGAAAGGTCTGTGATTAGTGCAGCATGGTAGTCTTTGGGGTCCAATGATTCAACATTGTGTATCACTCTCAGAAAAGTGTTTTCATAAGACAACGGTACTTCATTAGAACGCAGGTACTCCTTGTTGTGTTCATTTAGGAGCTTTTTAAGAACCCAATGAATCTTCATCAGTATCCAGCAGTTACATAGTAGCTTGTTACCTTATCCTGACGACCACCTGCATTTTTTGTTTGTACAGCTTTGAATACGAAAAACGATTTAAAATGCTGCTCTGTGTTTTTAAAGCCCTATCTCCGTTATGTTTAGAGTCTTTGGTTATGGTTTTCAATTGTTTATGACTGGCATTTCAGGCTTTAAGTATGATCAGTATGTTTACATATAACTTTCTCTGTTTACACTTTATTTGTAATACTTTACTGGTTTTGATTTAGCAGATCCAAGCCTCCCAGTGGAAACAGATGGTCTGGCAGAAGCTCAGAGTGGATCTGCACCCACAACTGAAGGTAAAAAGTTTTCTAGATGTTTTCTGAACAAGGAGTTACAGATGTGTGATAACGGCTTTTTAAAACTCAATTTATAATCAGACCTGCAAAACACAGGTTTTAAATGGGGTTTTGTTCATGTTTTTGGGAGACCAGTGTGTCATTTTTAAATTCACTCGTAATATTTTGCACTTTTGAATGTCAGTGATATTTTAATTTTGATCTTGTTTTGAATTAATTAAAGTCCCATAGTTGTCACACCCACTGGTTAGGTGTGGTGAAAATTGTCCTCCGCATTTGGCCCACGCCTGTGGGGAGCGGTGAGCTGCAGACATGGCCGTGCTCGGGAGCGATTTGGTGGTTTAATAATAACGGACTAGGAAGAAAAATGCATCATGCGTCTGGCTGCATTGTACTTGATGAATTGCTAATCTATATAGGCCCGTTACAACTAAAAGTAACTATTGATAGTAAACTATTGTAGTTTTACAAAACCGGTACAGCATGTGCGTGTGTCCATTTCACCTCTCTCTAGTGACCCTCTGACTCTATGTGATGCAGCTGACTGTTCTGGTCCTGCTGGACCTGACTGCAGCCTTTGACACTGTTGACCATCACCTGCTACTGGAGAGGCTGAGAGACTGGGTAGACCTATCAAGAACTTCTCTGGAGTGGTTCTCCTCTTATCTGTCTGAGTGTTCCTTCTCTGTGGCCATCTCCAAGTTCCAAGTCTCCACCACATCCCTCACCCATGGTGTCCCACAAGGTTCTGTGCTGGAGCCTCTACTGTTCCTCCTCTGCTTCCTCTTCAGCACATCCTGAGCTCTTTTAAAGGAATCTCTTACCCTGGGTTTCCACAGGAGCCGTCAGCAGCACGTTACTGCAGCAGCACGTCTTGCTCGCGTAAACTGCTGCTTGGCCCTTCCCACGAGACGCGAAGCAGCAGGGGAGCAGCTGTCACCGACAGAGCACGAAATCACACGAGTGACTTCGTCAGTAAACACAACAACAAGCAGGAGAAAATTACAACATGGTTTGTGTTTTATGTTCTGTCCGTTTTATAATCGCCAATACGGACCTGAAAAACAAAGGAGACCGCTAGCTAGGTGATAACTTCTCACGGGGACGCACAGTTAGTAACCTTTTTTAAAAGTAAAGCAACCGGAAAACAGTACGTTCTTTATTCTGAAAATCTCGGGAGCTTCTCTCCATTTCCGCGTCCGATTTCCTGTCTTTCCTTTCCCAAAAATGTCGAACTTGACCCGTTTCAGAGGCGTCGCGCGTAGAAAATAGAACCGGCGCGTAAAGGTCGCGACATGCTGCTCCTGAGACGCGGCCGACTCGCGCTGCTGATGGCTGCCGACGGCTCTAGTGGAAAAGGTTCTGTTGACCACAGCGGTTCCTATCAACAGCTATGACGTGCTGCTGCAGTAACGTGCTGCTGACGGCTCCTGTGGAAAGCCGGGGTTACCATCTTTACGCAGATGACATCCAACTGCACATCTCCTTTAAGCCCCATGAGATATCTAAGCTGCAGCTGTTACACTCCTGCTTAGACTCCATTAAAACGTGGATGGCTGGGCTTTCTACAGCTGAATGAAGATAAGACTGAGATCCTCATCTGTGCCCCAGAAAAGCTGGTTCCCAAAATCAGAGACTCTCTTGGTCAGCTTCCTTCTTACACCAAACCCTCTGTCTCGAATCATGGTGTGACCTTTGACCCAGCATTCACCCTGGATTCACGTCAGTTCTCTTGTTCACTCTTCCTTCTTCCATCTCAGGAACATTGCTAAGCTGAATCTAGGGCTGAAATGATTCCTCGAGTACCTCGAATAATTCGAGTACAAAAAATCCTCGAGTCAAATTCTCTGCCTCGAGGATTCGTTTAATTCATATTTAATTAATTCGTGGCTTTGCAGTCGCCCGTGGTCATGTTTCACCCGGACTGAAATAAGTGACGCACATGCCCACTGGACTGCACACGCGAGTAGCGAATGTAACTTAACTTTCTCTTAAGCCATGGCGGACAACATGGACCCCGGTGGAGTGCGAAAAAGACAGAAAATGTCAAGATGTGGGACCATTTTTCACGTCGTTAGGCGGAAAACGTACTCCAGTGTAAATACTGTAAAATGGATTTAGCCTAGCACAACACCACATCCTCCATGCTGCTGCAGCGCCTGTAAATGTCACTTCTGCAAGCGGACTCGGAGCCTCTACAAGATAATGCATTTTAGCCTGTTTTTCTATATATTCTGCGGACACTGTGCGACTTTTTCATTTGTAGCACTCAGTTTCAGCTCACACCGTACGTCTGGTAGCAACACGTCGGAGTTAAAATGTGCTAAAAAATAGCATTATTACACTAAACGTCGGACTTTTTATTGTGTTATTGATGTTTGTTGTCCCTCGGGATTGCTGCAGGAGGACATGGGTATTTATGAGAGGAAAACGAAAGAAAGTAAATAAATGTTTTGTGATCAGTATAATTTGACAAAACCACAGCAAACATGCTTTCTCGACAATCCTTGTTATTGTGTGAGTAAAACAGTGTTGAAATTAAAACGGACGTGTGTTAATAGGGAAACAGCCGGCGAGCTGTTTGCGCATGCACCGTGAGCGGTTCTGGTTCTGTTTGGGCCGCAGCCGCTCGCAGCGCTACTTCAACAATTATCCTCCTAGTTTTTGTCTGGCTTGCAGGCTAGCAGATTCTCGCACGAGGGGAAAATCGGCTCAGGTTGTTTACTTATTTTTTGCACAGCCATTTGTTTACTGTGAAGTAAAGTTGAAGTGCTGAAGTTTTGAAAACTAATTTTGAATAAAACTTGAAGAATAACTGGCAATTGCTTGCTCATTTTAACAGGTCTTTCATAATTATAACATGCTATTTGATATAATGGTTTACAAATACAAAAGGGTAATTTATTAGAGTACTCGATTAATCGAAAAAAATATTCGATAGAGTACTCGATTACAAAAATATTCGATAGCTGCAGCCCTAGCTGAATCCAATTATGTCCAGGGGTCTCATTTATAAAACATTGTGTAAAATCCTTACAAAAACCGTACTTAAGCTCAGCAAAAATATTTACAGTGGGGCAAAAAAGTATTTAGTCAGCCACCGATTGTGCAAGTTCTCCCACTTAAAATGATGACAGAGGTCAGTAATTTACATCATAGGTACACCTCAACTGTGAGAAACAGAATGTGAAAAAAAAATCCATGAATTCACATGGCAGGATTTTTAAAGAATTTATTTGTAAATCAGGGTGGAAAATAATACAGGTGTGAATCTTCTCTTGTCTTTCGATTCGATTACGATTATTGGGTCAACGATTCAATTCGATTCGATATCCCGATGCATCACGATGCATCACGATTATTTCATATTGATTTGTTTTCATCGATAAGTAGAAGATGTCAGATAATTGCTTTTTATTTTTTTATCTAAAATGTAATTGACACAACCTGCCATCCCGCAAAAGCTCTCCATTCACAACAGGTCAGGACAAAACATTTTAAACATTTAAGAAGATTTAACAAAGTAAAGCATCTGTTTCCTCGTTCAACACCACGCCTCAGGCTGAGAAAACACACTTTGCAAAAACTCACAAAATCTAAAAAAGTACAGAAAACCTACAGGACACATAATGTAATAATAAAATACATAATGGGTTCATATAGGAGTGTTTAATGTCTCTGAGCAGCTTTAGAGTCAAATATTTATGGCACAGTTGAAGGGTGTCAGAAATAACACCAAATGAAATGTTTGACTTAGTTTATTTTATTTGAACCCAGTGGTTCGTTTCTGAAATGTTGGAGAATGAATCAAGTTCTGTTTGATGCAGAAAATAATAAAACATAAAACTAATTCTAAACTTCCAATAATATTTAAGATGTGTGTTTTATTCTTTCTGATAATAACACCAGCAGAAGGCTGTGGGCTGGATTAGGACTAAATTACCCAGCTGATGGATCTCCTTCACTAACCAGCTAACTACAAACCTTTCCACTAACCTGTCCTGTGTGACCCTCACCCTTTAACCCTCATGTCCATGCTGTCTCTGGAGGAGCAGATAGGAAACAAGACCTCCTGTAACTTAAAATGAACCAAAGCTTCCTCCCAGTTTCTCTTTAAGCTGAATTTAACATCAGTTTATCTTCATGAAACAAAAGAATAAAGTGGAACAGAACTTCTATCTTCTATTTCTCTCTCCTTTTAACTTCTCCGTGTCCCTAAATAAAAGAGACAGATGATCACGCTGCAGCCGCCGTCATTGACCCCGCCCCCTCCCCACGGCCGGATCTCCCTACATTACAACAAGCAGTCTGACTGAACGCTTCCAGGAGAAATAATAATGAAATTATGAAAATAATAACGCGTGTTTGGAGCATCGGTTTGGAGGAGCGTCCTCCGATCGTCTCTCTTGTGTGAGCAGACAGTGTCTCTCTCTCTCTCCCCCTCTCTCTCCCTCTCTCAGTCGCTGATCGAGCGAGCGGAGCGCGCCGCACGACAACCCGCTCAATTAACATAATTCACGGCCCAAATCCAACAGAACCGGTCGGGCTGATTCGGTTCCGGTTTGGTCTCGGGTGACAACTCTAGCGCTCAGCCCTGCAGTACCACATTAAGGCAGAGGTAAATGTGGAGGACGCTCACTCTGACAGATTTGGATGCAGCGCTTAAAAAAACAAAACTACATTCCACCATAATCGATTATGGCGTACTCTTCTACGATGCAGAATCGTTTATGTCCGCATCCCGATGCATCGATTATTTGATTATTTTCCTCAGCTCTAGAAAATAAGTATTTGGTCACTTCAAACAAGGAAAATCTCTGGCTCTCACAGACCTGTAACGTCTTCTTTAAGAAGCTTTTCTGTCCTCCACTCGTTACTTGTATTAATGGCACCTGTTTGAACTCATTATCTGTATAAAAGACACCTGTCCACAGCCTCAAACAGTCAGACTCCAAACTCCACTATGGCCAAGACCAAAGAGCTTTCGAAGGACACCAGGA